GTCGTCCGGATTAGCTAGAGAAAAGAGCAAAAGCTTGCACGAAAGAAATGGTGCAAATTTTTCAACAATTCTTGCATTCTACGATCGTGTTTTATTTCTTCTCCCGACAAGAGGATCTTTCTCTGACGCTCTGCTTCCGCGGAAACTCGGTGGCTCTCTCTCTCTCTCTCTCGTCATTCATCCAAAATAAAGTGCGCCTCAAATTTATATTCCCCTAGACACGCGTTCGACACGCCTGCGAGTAATCCACGGGATCTCTTGGCATCCTGCATTCGATCCGTCTTGTTTTCTGGGATTATGTCGCTCGTCCGATGGGGAGAGATATCAACTATACCACCCACGAAGAACGCTCCTCTATTTTATTCTCCACGACCGTAGTTTGGCCGACGCCCCAGGGATGCGCTCCGTCGACTGACGGAAATACAATTATTTGATTCGTCGAGCAACAAGTGGGTTCGGGAAGAGGGACGGGGGGGGGGAGGGTCGGGTGATTCTCTCAGAGATTTCGATGCCTCGATAGCGAAACCATCCGCGCCACCGGATATCGATGCCGCATCGATGCGCATTTCTAATGTAGCGTCGTAATCCGTTCCTAGTCCGACAACAGCTTATAAAAGGTACATCGGGTGAAACTTTGTCTTTGCTTGCTTGCGACTTGTTTTGCGCGTTCTTGTCCCCGAGTCGGCGACGGCGGCGCGTACTCGAGTCGCGCGACGTTCTCCGAGAATGCAAAACCGGCTTAAGCGACACAACTTGGAACTCAAGACAGATAATCGGAAAAGAGAGGATATATGGCTAGAGAGGAGAGAAGACGATTGAACGGGGGGGGGGAGAGGGAGGGAAGAGAAAAGGTAGAGAGAAATGCAACGAAAGGGGGAACCATAAGCATTGCTACAAAAGCGCAGCCGTTGAGCGCAATCCTTGGTACGCCTCCCATCGTTCCATTGCGGCAACTCTCCGACAGTTAACTTGGCTAAGACGGATCGTAAATTACGCCAATATTTCCGCGAAATCCTAACAAGATTATAAACCAGATTGTAGCGGTCTATGCGGCCGCTGCGGCCTTCCCGCGTTCCCTCCACCCTCCTTCCGCCCCCACCCCCTCCCCCTCTTTTCCCCCCGGGACCTTTCTTAATCTTCGTGCCTCTCGACCGAAGAGCCGGAGAGTGAGAAGTCGAGTGATGCGAAGAAAAAAGAAGAGGGAAGGAAAGAGAAGAGAGAGAGAGAGAGAGAGAGAGAGAGAGAGAGAAAGGGCGGAAGGGTGCGGAGGGAGGAGATCTATTTATAATGCGTTTGCGTCTTTGCAGGGGCCCAGCCGGTGAAGGCAGTAAATGTCACGTGTATTTCATATGAAACTCCACCCCCTCCCAGCTATTCCTCGCAATGCCAATCTCTTTTGCCGGTCTGATAATGCCAAGCGCTAACAAAGTTAACCCGCGCGAGACTCTCTTTCTCTCTCTCTCTCTCTCTTTTTCTCTCGAAAAATCGTTTCTCTTCTCTCCTCCCTTCCTCTTTCTTCGTGCTTCGTTTCTCGATCTTTACATCCTGAAGAAATGTTGTTCTCTCGTCGATGTCGAAAATGAGGTGTGGATGTGACGGAACTTTCACAAAGGATCGCAATAATGGATTATTACTTGATTACCGAGATGTCAGGTCGTAGATGGAAAGACACGATCTTACGCGGTAGCGTAAACCGCAAAACCACAAATTAGCTCGTAAAGCACGCGTTGGAAAGTGTAGCATACATGTGTTTCGACTCTCAAAAATTAAAAGTTTATTTGCTTTTCGAAATTTATATTATTTTGGACACATATCGAAATTCCCCATTTCTTTCCTGGGAAAGATTTGATGTAGGAAAATGAGTGTGAAAGTCGGGGCTGGACACCCTTATTTCGACGAGAAACGGCCAAGCTGCGGGCAGTCTTTCGCAGGGGTGTATTCCATCGGCGGCTCGTATTCGATAGATTCCGGGGCCGTCACGCGAGATTCCGGGAAAAGTCGTTTCGCGCGTCCGAAACCTCTTTAAAGCACAGTCAACGTATGTGTGCGTGTGTGTGCATATGCGTGATCGTGTATGTGTGTTAATAAAGGCCTGCGACGTAACCGATCGTTATTAGATCGGGCACTCCCTCGACCCCGCCGCGCCTATCCGCTCTCATCCTCGCAATAACCCATAAAATGCAACATTTTGTTTCGTATGCCAATTATCCCCTCCACGTGTACGCTGCTGGACGGATATATGGCACCAAAGAGACGCTCGTCGTTTGGTCTCTCGACTTTTTTCGTTCATATTCTTCGCTTCTCTCGTTCAGGAAACCATTGTCAGCGTCGATGGGAGAATTTTCTGAAAGATAGAATTTTTTTTTTACTTTACTCATACTTTATGCATCTTGTCACCGTCGTGTCATTCGTCGGGAAACCGGGGCGCGCGGGAGGTGATGCTCTTCATCATAAAATCTCACACGTGGACGGAATCTCATATGCGGCGATAATAAGACGTAGCGATGAATGGCTACTTTGGCTCGTCGAAGGTAGCGTGCGATGGCCATCGTCGCGCGATACTACTTCGCTACCACTACTCGAGGAGACGAGCCGCGGTGCGGCGCGGCACGACGGCCGTTATAAAAATAACTGCTGATTGGACGCCCTACCAAGAAAAGTCGTAATCGCATCCTGAAACATTCTCTCTCCCCCTTTTCTTCCTCTCTCCTCTCTATCTCTCTCTTCCTCTTTCTCTCTCTGTCGGTCTCTCTTCTCTTATTTTCCCCTGTACTTCTCGTCTCACTGTTTCATCTTTCTCTCGGCGATCATTCCCGCTGTTTTACGTGGCGCCTCTCCCTCAATCTCGTATCGGGAAGCGTAAGGAGGGTAGATTCTTCATTTGTCTTCGATTTTGTAGGAATTTGTAATAATTTTGACACTTTTTTTCATTTTTTAACGTAAGCATTGGGTGTTTTACTCGATGCGCGAATTTTAACAGAATTCTTGTACGATTTTCTAGTAGACTTTCTAGAGAGTTGGATCTCGACACATGGCATCGCCGTAAGGGATGGGAGAGAAGACGGCGATCGGTCGCCATTTTGTGCAGCTTTTATCGCCGCGCCCTACATAGGAGCATTAAGCGCGGGTTGCTGGGTTGCGCGTATATCAACAATAATTGCAGGGCCAATAATAAACCCGAAGGGAGCGCGCTCGATAGTCCGAAATTGCTGGTTCCCCTACCCTAGACGCGGAGCCGCGCGGTTTTATTGCCTCCTCTCTCGGTCGGCCAGGAATGGCGGGCAGAGGCCCCCCTCATCGTCCTCGATGGCGGATAAACGATCCTGCGATACGGCTCGCCTTCTCCCTTTCTCATTGTCCGCACTCGCGTACACGTGTATCTGTAACGCCGCGTTCGCCGAGACGTACGGAATCGTTCGCGAGCTCGTAAAGAGCCCGCAAAGCGGGCTCCGCACGCGCGATAGTCGCGAGTATTGCCCTTGTTAACGCCCCGTTAACTCGAACAAACCTCTGGACAAACTCGTAAAATCCACCGACTCTGTGGAAAGCAACCGGCCAACGCGGCGAAGGGGAGAGAGAAGCCGAACGAAGCCGACGAAATGTCAAAATCGAATATTACGATGGAGAAATACGTTGAATTATCGATGCCGAGACACGCGACGCGACACGAATAAAAATCATATCCTCCATTCCCGCGAGATGAAACGATCGTAATTGCTTGTTTTATTGTCTAGATATCGACTATTCCGATCGTTCTTCTCGTGCGAGATGATTCTCGATCGTTTCAGACACGCGTTTGCCCGCGAATATTTATGCGCGACTCTAAACCTCAGATTACGCCAACTCGTAAAAGCCCGTTTACGTTTACGTACTTTAAAACGCGCACTACAGTGCGATACTGCTGCTCTTGTTAACACCCCGTTAACTCGTAGCTCAGGCAACCTCGTAAAATTCGACGGTCCGGCTACCATGGTAGACGCTCCTCGTACACACGCGTGCGAATTAACCGAAGAATCCCTTCGTATCTGTATATATGAATGCTTTCCGCTTTACGAGAAATATTTCTCGCGGTATTACACGCTCTTTCGTGTATGGCAAAGAATATTAAATTGTATTAAATCGTCGTATTAACGCGCCAGATCATCCCATGAATGCGCAATCTTCCCTTCCCTTCAATTTTAACATACAATAAGCTCCGATGTATTTAACAGATATTATCGAAAGCAAGAATATGTTGTCGCAATCTTTGTTAGAGTCGACAAAGTACTACCGTTGTTTTACATCAGACATTAAGGCGAGAAATATTTCTTGTAAATGACACGTGAATTATTTGCCTTCCTCATCTAATGATATCTTCGATAACGAGATATTATGATCGTGATTCTCATCGGATTTTTCCCTGCGCGTATTTCCATCTTCTGTTCTCCTTTATCACTCTTCTTTATTTGTTATAGAGCGATATTCCCTAAGGAAGATCGTAAAAGATTACTTGCGTGATCGTTGCAAATTCATTATTGCTCTTGTTAACGCCCCGCGTCTGGATAAACCTCATAAAGTTCAGCAAGTTTTACGCTCGTTCCTCAAGATGCGATCGATCATGCAATGAATAAGAGATACTGCTGTTATGATTTCTCATTTATGATCTACCATCGATTTTGTGAAATTCCGAAGTATATTTTTCGCAAATCTCTTTAAATATACATTGCCATTTTTAAGTATTAATTAATATTATCATGCATATTTGATGTTGAAACAAATTATTAGAAAGAAAAAGAGACATTAAATTAAGACAATATATTATTATCCATAGATATTATCGGATGTTGGAAAATAAAATGTGTATAATTATTACGTGTATATTTATATTGTATTAGTTTCACGCATCACATTGTTTACTCCTTCATTGAAGTCTCCAAAGTGGAGAATAAATATTATAAACGATATTTTATAAAATACATATAAACAATGCGCAGATAAAACTAAAACTTTTTATTTTACAGGGACACCTATTAATCGTCTACCTATCATGGCAAAATCTGTACTGGATCTTTACGAGCTTTATAAGTTAGTGGTCACGCGAGGTGGTCTCGTCGAAGTGATCAACAAGAAGCTGTGGCAGGAGATCATTAAAGGTCTTCGGTTGCCGGCGAGCATCACTTCCGCCGCGTTTACTCTACGCACGCAGTAAGTAGATCGTGAAGTTTCCCATCCGGGACCCCGGTTTATATATCCATCAAATTCGCATACAATAAGTCTTAGCCAGCGAAAAGACTCATCCGAACGTGAAATCTACGACGATAAGATTAACGATAAGACGAGCGCGCGCTTGATGGCGAATTATTGTTCAATTGTACTCGGAGAAAATGTAATAAAAATTACAATTGTTTTAATTTTCGTGAAACGTATCATATCAGAAAAAAAAACATTTTTATTTAATAAAAAAAATATTATATACATATTATATAATATTTACAAAGTATCATAATTAGAAATATTCTGATACATGTGCATAATTTACAATTTTTATGGTAATAAATATTTTAATATTATTATACTTCAGTTTTAAAATAAATGTAAAAAGGAATATATTTTCCTGTAATTTGTGTAAAACTTTTTTCTCCGTGTACTATCAATATTCAGTCATTTTTCATTGATATACATTTCTGTGTAATTAATTCCCGTAAGTCACAATTTCTCATTAGAATCCGTCGTTTATATAATTGATTATCAGTATTCTCGATGCATTAATTAGCGAGATTCAACCTCGAGAAGGTAGAGGGAGGGGGACAAAGATATCGCGAACCCGCGAGTCGACAGTTATTACTGTCGACGAGGAGATAAAACAACGTAAGTGACGAGAAGGCGTGTGACGTACAGGTGCATCGTCTTAGACGCGATCCCCCCGCGCGATCCTTCATGCGTAGGACACCTCGGGACGGGTTGTGACAACCTGGAGAACCGTTGGCACGCGATATATATTCGTTTATATAATACCACATAGCATATCCAGTACGCGGGCCGACGAAGATTTATCTGCCGTTCGCGCGCTGTCTCGTTCCTCTCTCTCTTTCTTTCTCTTCCGAAGGGGGAAAAGAAGACAGACGTCTCTAAATAGAGATTCGTCGACGAGATTCAGAAAGCCGAAGACGACGACGACGACGATGACGATGACGACGCGAGGCATCCCGTTTATCCACCGGGGGTTAGTCTTCGTCTACGAAAGGCAGAAGGGGGACGCAAAAATGTCTACGAACCGCGGAGAGAGAAGGGAGGAGATGAAGAGAACAGAGTTGACGCATTATAAGTAGTGCGGGCTAATATGAATTACACGGACGCGATGCTCCCCGCTATAGGGGGGTGGCTCGTGAAAATAACTCCGCGCTTTGTACGCGACAGAACGTCGGCGGCGCGTCTCGTCGCGTCGCCTCGCACGCATCCATCATTCCGGCAACCGGCTATCTTTCCTCGACAACGATATGCGTACACGCGCGATGAGAAAACACATAGTCTTGGATCCAAATGGAATATTGCTCGCGAAGAGTCTTTTTATCCAACAAGAAACAACACGTCGATTAATTCAAACTCTATTTATTGGCTTTTGTAATTATCTCTCCATCTTTTCCTCTGGAGATATTAGATTTAGATAGAATTCTACGTCCTTAAAATGAACGCCAATTTCGAGATCTCTTTATAAGCGAAGCTAATACTGGATTGCCGCGCAAAGATATACCATATTTATTTATTTATCGAACGACCTGTGTTAAAAGCGAATTTGATTATCAGCCAAAGGAGGGTCTCGCCGACTCGTCCGGACTCTTATTGTAAAGTGAACGGCGATGCGGAGGCGGGTCCAGACCAAAGAGCTAGTTTCGTCCGCGGTCCGCCAGACAATCGTAAAAACCGAAACAATGCCCGCGCGAATTATAAGCGGTTTGTGTAACGAAAATATACCCGCCTTGGGGATGTTGAAAGCAGCATAGAATTTAGATAATTAACTTGTATACAACGATAAAGTTGTAATTTAATTCGAAACGCATAATTCGTATCTTATAAGGTTTAAATTTAAAAATATCAGGATGTAATTTTTTATAGATCGGATAATTTTAATTAATAATTTAGATTCCGAAGGTATAATTATATTCATATTTCTCTTGTTCGTTTCTCTCCCCTTCTTCTCGAAACGAATCGAATTTTCATCAAGATCGATCTCCCTGGTTCTAAAAATTTAATCTCTAATTAATTAATACGGCTGATTAGGTTTTACTCTTCTGGATTCTAATTATAAAAAAAGAGTAAGTCAATTTTATCACAGAGTCGTGTATTTATAGTATTTTTTAAACAATTTGAAATGTTATTGAAACATCTGTAAGAAATATTCGCTGGCATGAAAGTAATAGCCACTTTCGCATAAAACTTATCGGATCTAGTATGCATATACATACATTTCTAATAATAAAATGTTTCTCTAAACCTGTTAAACAGCCCGTAAAGACATTTGTTCGAGCAAATTACACTTATTAAATGGTATCGCCCATCTCTAGTGTGCATACCATTTAATAAGTATAGCATCGATATAGCAAAAATATCGAATAAAATATATCGATATTAGTAATATCGATTATCGATATTGACAATATAATAATAAAATAGTATCTCATAAAGTAAAATATTCTAAAAAAATAACTTTTAATTTTGTGATATTGATATCTCTATTATTGCTTGCATTCAATATATATATATATATATATATATATATATATAATATACAATAAATATATATAATAATATAAAAATATATAAGAGATGCCTAAGGCCCGGTTCAACAATGGCAGTTAGCTTAATTAGTAGTTATACTACGATTCATATCGGAAGTTCGATACACTTATTTAAATATCGATACATGCTAATATCGGAAAATAAAATATCGATACAAAATTATATCGATATTAAAATTAAAAATATCGATATTTTGAAATATCGATACTGTATCGCCCATCCCTAATGCACACGCTTAATCATATTTTTATCGACAGGTATATGAAGTATCTGTATCCCTACGAGCAACAGAAGGAGAATCTCTCGACTCAGGAGCAACTGCAGACAGCGATCGAGACGAATCGACGCGAGAGCCGCAGAGGCAATTACACTACTTACGCTACCAACAACGAAAGTATGGTCGCGCGAAGTCAACACAATTCTTTGTCGAATACATTGTCTCAATTGCCGTTGGGGCTGCCGCTCGCCATAGGCCAAATGGACATCGGGGCGCAATCGCCGTTCGTAAACGGACACCCGCAACATCATCCCCATAACCCACAGCATTTACCGCCGAACCTATCATCTAATTGTAAGTCTTTATTTTTTCCTCTCTTCTAAGAAGCAATTCTTAAAATTATCAAAATATTGTCATCTCATACCTAACATAATACATAAGCTTATACTAACATAAACTAACAATCTGTTATCGAAAATAGAGAAGAGAGAAGAGGAAGCAAGAAAATGAAAAACCACACACATCTAAAAAATGGTGTACGGAGAATTGAGACGAAATGAAAAAAAAAACGGAAACGGGAGGAGAGATAGAGGGTTTAATTTTAAATCGCGCTTCGGGCCTCCCCGAAGATGATGATGCGAGAGAGCGAAGGAGGCGTAATTGATTGTACGATCCTTCGGAAGACAGGCGTTAACGGATGACTCTCGCTAACGAGCATTCCTATTTCCCTACCCTTTCCTCTTCCCTCTCTTTCCACCTCGTCTGGGCTCGACAACGATCCGGGGATAACGTCGCACTTCTCTCCTCTAGTCTTCGATCGTTTCCTTGTTTAGTAAATATATGTCCTCGAATATGTCGAGTGATATTGTTACTTGCTCGTTACTTGCAAAGAGAAACTGATGACAGAAGAATATCGATAATCATTTAAAGATTGATATCATATAATTTGGACATTCAATTACTATTGCAATTCGATATGTTCTAATATAACGCACATAAACAAGCTCGGAATCTTATGGATGTGATTTTAACGAATATTGACGCGCACATCATCAGAATTCATTTGCTCATTGAACATTGAGCTGACAAAATGAAGATTTAAACAAACAAGTCTCGAACTGCAGCTCATGCTCGATGGATCAGTGCCAATAAACGAATTTCGAGCAGCGTCGTTGCTTTAATTCAGTAGGCGCTGTTAGAGAGTGTCGGGAAAAGAAAAACAACATCTATGACATTCTATGATCGTTCAATGTGTATACAAAATGTTTAGGATTATTATCCAAGTTATGCTATTATTTTTCATTTCAGATCCTTCACGAATATACTTAAATCTGAGATTCACTAACTCATTACTGTAATACTTGCAAGATCAGAGAAGTAATAATTTTACATTTAAAAAAGCATACAATTAATTTTACAAGAATATACTCATTCTCTCTGTCTGAAAATTATTTTTTCTAATATTACAAAACATCTCGGTGTTTTCAAAACATGATATGTAAATAAAGTATAGATATATCTCTATAAGCACACAATATTCTTAGGATATTGTATAAATATTATTAATTGTTAATAATATTTATACAATATTTTTTATATCTATACTAAAGATATTCTATACTATAGATTTACGAGGAATCTAAAGAATATAATTATCGAGAACGCGCTTCATAAAGAAACTAATCTCCACATCTCTACTAATTTAATTGTCTCTGTTTAGTGTAAATCGCAATTCTAATATATCATGTTTGTATAGTTACAGAATACATGAAGAGGCTTCAAGAACAAAAACCGACTACTAATAACTCGATAGGTCAACAACAGAGTGGCGGCACGCCGATATCGCCATCCACGACGGACACATTTAATGCGCTTGAATTGTCCAGAAACCTATGGCAGATGTCATATAATAATAAAATATATTCAGGAATTCAACCATCCTACTCCTCTACGCCGTCTGAGTCGCCATCAGTGCCGACAAATAGTCCGGAACAAGAGAAAGCCCTAGATCTTGCAAATTCTGCACATAGGTAAATATGGAGTACATTTCTCGTTTTTAAAAAATAGGCAGGGGCGAAGGAGTATTTATTTTTTAATGACAAAAAATATTTTTCAATTAGGTCAGACCCGGTATCTTCTCCAAGTGCTAGTAGATCAGTTAGTTCACCACCGTCCGGTAACATGAAAAGAAATCAAGATGCTACGGATCTCTCCCCTTCAACATCTACCAAAAGAGTATTTTCCGATGAGGAAAATTTATCTGAGAGTACGCCCAACAGTATGCGCGTTATGCAAACGGTCACAGTTCGAGGTGAGTTAAATATTTAATATAAAACTTGTTACATTTATATTTATTACATGTAACAAATAAATTACATGTTTTATTTTATTAAATTCATTACTCATTCTTCATTTATTTTACGTATATAGTAAATTTATTTATTTAAGTTATTACATGTAACGTTTTAAGTTATTACATGTAACAAATAAATTACATGTTTTATTTTATTAAATTCATTACTCATACTTCATTTATTTTACGTATATAATAAATTCATTATATGATACAGATATATATATATATATATATATATATATATATATATATTAGAGATGAACATTTGTCCTTTCGCTAAAATAATTCATCATACAGATATATAAAGAACTTCCTAAAAAATCAATCTTATCTCTCTCTTAAAAGTTAAATTTATATATAATTTAAAAAGAGATTTGTTCGTTACATCTCTTTTCTTTTTCTCAGACAATGGACAAAGGGAACTGATGATTAGCGTGGAGCTCAATGGTGTAACATATGAAGGCGTCCTACCAGCTAAAAATGATGACGCCAGCAGTACATCATCGAACTCGAATACCATAAAGCGCTCACGAAACAGCGAATCGTGAACGCTTTGTGGACATAAAGTATTGAGAGTACTTAACAGATTCTCGTGATTGATTCATACGGAACAAATTAGCTACGAGAATCTATTGTAAATAAAAAAAGAACGCCAGTATAGTCAGTATATCGCTTTGGATCGATAATATCCAAAACCTTTTTACGTTTACATTACATTTTTTTCCATTACGTAAAAACGTAACGGAAAAAAATGTAATGTAAACGTAAAAAGATGACGTAGATGAGGTATGACGTGAAACTAGTGTACTTTCTGACGAAAAACTATTGTAAAATTATTCACTATTTCAATTATATTTATAATTTGTTGGGCAGTACATGAAGCATACATAAAGAGCTTATTAGAAATGTCGTCGAGACTTTTTATGAATGCAGAAAATGCAATAAGCTCCTAACTCCTACCTTTTGATTTATAGATAGATAGATAGGTTTAGAATAGATTTTTTTGTATATAGCTTTATATTAAATGTAAATAAATTAAACACAATTTTTTTTGCATTCGGAATAAATATCCCGAATGTTCGAAAAATGACATCGTTCCGCGTTTAGAAACCGATAATATTGAATAATTTCACAATAGTTATACCGATTTTTTAGAAATAAGAATTTTTAGAAATAAGCATTTGTAAAGAAATAAAAAAAACTGTGTAATTATTTGTACATAATTGATGAATATGACTCTGTTGCAAATAAACTGAATTACACAGATTCCTATTTTTATTTTTATTTTATGATTATTATGTGCCGCAGTAAGCAATTGATCCTCTAATCTCTCACTATAGTATTAGATTATGATAGCATTAGAAATGAGAAATAGCGACTTTTTAACAAATTCTTGAAATAAATTAATTTTCTTGTGCAAGTTTGTTCTGCATTCGATATAGATTGTTTATAAAATATATCAAATACTTTTCGGTCTATAGATTAATAAATACATATATATGTATAAATCACTCGTTATAAAATTTATTTTCGTCAGAAATAAAAAGATCTATGAGATTGAGTTATATGTGCGTTTATTAATGTAAAATAATAAAAAAAGTTTTTGATATACTTTATCAATCTGTATTATCAAACAAATAATAATGAAAAAATTAATATTATTTACAAGAAAAGAGTTCACATTTCTTGCTCCTAATAACATGTGTCACAATACAATAATTACAGAAAAAAAAGAGTAGTTTAAAATTAATAAATTTATAATGTGATATTAAATTTATGATGTGTATCTACAGATTGATAAATATAATAATTATGAATGTATATAAATATAGGAGTATAATTAAAAATGATTAAAGAGATTTTTGTGAATAAACGTACATACATTTTCGACGATATTTTGTTTTTTTAATTGTTTCGTTATTGAGGGACATTGTTTACAAAAGTAGTAATTATTAACATTAAAAATCTCATAAATTGCTATTATTTTGAGATTTATTATAAGAGATATGAAATATTGTAACTATTTATATTTGTTATGCTTTACTATAGTTTTTGTTTCTATTGCCATCATCTTAAATATATCATAATTTATATTCTTTTGTATACATAAATTTGATTGATGTTAAAAAAAAAAGTATATACCGCCAAAGTTATTAAGGTTCTATACATCTTGTTTTATGTTAATGTATTCTTATTATGTATATTTTTTTATTTCACTTATTTTATGTATATTTTAAAGTTAATACTATTAAAATTTTTTAAATAACGTATCTTGTACATATGTGTTTCATATTTTCTAAAGTATCTCGATTACAAAATACACTCAATTAAATATATATATATATATATATATATATATATATATATATATATATACAACTGTATCACAAGTGAAAAATAAATTTCAAATGTATTAGTGAGTAATTAAACTTTACAAGAATGATTCCAAAAAGTTTGTATATTGAAATATCAACTTATATTTATAATAACGATACTGAGATTTAATATCTTTTGCTTAACGATGATATGATCTTTCAATATATTACTTACTAATTTTATTTTAAATTAACAAGTGAGAAAGCATCGGCCAATCATAAAACTTTAATTGTTTTATTAAATAGAATCGTAATTATTTTTATTTTACTTTTTATTAAAACATTTTTACATTTTCATTTAGTTTCATATATATTCATTTTAAAAGAAATTTTTAAAGCAAAATAATAAATTAAAATAATATGTGGTAATTACTCACTAAAAATTGTGAAATTGATTTTACTTAAGATTTTGTAAGACACATACAATTTAACTTTTTAATTCAATTGAAATGTATTTATATTATTGCAAATTTAAATATAAAAAATAATGAATTTAGAATTTTATAACATAAATAAATTATACATACACACACACACACACACACACACACACACACACACACACACACACACACACACACACACACACACACACACACACACACACACACACACACATATATATATATACACACGTATAATTTTTGTTATAAAATTCTATTATATATATATATATATATATATATATATATATATATATATATAATAGAATTTTATAACAAATTATATATATATATATATATATATATATATGTATATATATGTTTCATATGTAAAATGTCAAGTATCTTATGAAAAATAGCCGTCAGGATCTATATGTAAAATATTTGCTAATATATATATATATATATATATATATATATATATATATATATATATATATATATTATAAAAGTCATCATATAATCGTGAACTATATTTGGCAATAATAAAATATCAGATGTAAAATAACGAAAATGACAAAACAATAGCGAAAATTGAGTGAATCAAAGAACTCGAGTGCAAAAATAAGATATAATTTCTTAAAATTAGATATACAACTTTGAATAAACTGGGAATAAACTCTGAAAAATATCTATATTTGATGTATATGACATAAATTTTTGCCAAAATAAAATTATATAGATTTATATTAGATTAAATAATACCTTTTAAATATTTAAATTAAAATAATTATTTTTGTATAAATTTTACATTGTATTAAATTATGATTATATTAGCATTCTACTTATTGTATCAATTTTAATTATATATACGGGAGTTTTCATAACTTGGACGATTGTATAAATCAAATTATGCATATAATGCATATTTTCTCTTGCAAAGAAAAAACGAAATATTTTTTATGTTTTTTATGAAGTATTTGATTTTGTTATATTCAATGATATATTGATATTATGATATATTTCAAATAAAAAATTAAATCCTTTTTATATGTATTTCTTATGTATTGCTGCAGAGATCAATCAATTTTCCTATAATTCATTTTACGTCAATTTTATATTCTGCTATTTTCATTGTTGCTTAAATAGATTTGATTGTTGCTCTAATAGATTTTAGCTATGGATGATTTAATATCACATTATCTCTAGATATATCTGAAGACACTTAGCGTAATTAAAGAGTTATCTTTATATATAATGAAACAGAGAATTGGTCGATTTTAGCATGACACATTCGCAATTTGAAAAGAGAAAAATGTTCTTTTGTTCCTCTCTTTTCATTCTGCCAAGTTTGTTGTATTATGAGAGGATCTTTAGATCTAAGCTTATATCAAATAAAACTATTCTATAATATCTAACAAAACTATTCTATTCTAAATATAAATTTCAAATATTTATTTATAAAATCCATTAGATACATGCTACTACCTGAGAAGAAAATGTAGTTACAAAAACATTTTGTATAAAAATATTACAAATATATATTAATAATAATATTGTCACACTATATTAATAGCATAATGTCTATTAATATGAATTGTTACGATGTGATAACAAATAATTCAATTGCGAAGTAATATCAAATTGAATTCTTCGTTTTATTTGATTAAAACTCAAAATATGTATAAATGATTTGTGAAAATAGAGCATTAACTGTTCGAAATATTATTAAAATATCAATGGTGAAATGATATTGTGTTTTTAGTAATGAGGAAGTTTTTATTCATATTTTTTGATATGAAGAGATAAAATGCACAATGAAAAACTAGCAAATAAATATTTTAAAGAATATGATAAGGAATTATGTTAAGATCCATCGTGAAAAAATAGAAGCAATTGTTAAGGACATACTATGCAGCGATATAGTTTTTAATTATTGATTTTTCAATTATTGCAAAAGACATATTGTACTTATATATAGATGTTATTCAAATATATATAAATATATATATATATATATATATATATATATACATATATATACATATATACACATATATATATGAAACTAGCAAACATATAAATTGTAAATAATATAATAGTGAAAAACAAGAAGGCACATTGATAATGTTAAATGAATATATAGTCTTCATATATAAATAAAAAAAATAAGTTATTGTATGTAAATGTATGTAAACACACATTATAGCCAACATTATGAATAAAATTGATGTTACTTTTATATGATCTTGGATATCAAAATAGCTACAGTGTAATTCTTTTTTTTATTAGAAATTCTTTTAAATTTTAACTGAAAAAATTTCTAAATGTCTTCCATTAAAATATTAATTTAAAAAATACACACACAGATACGCAAATAATGAGGTAAAATGTTTAATGTTTAGCTAAAACTAAATATATATATTGGCAAAATAGAAAAAAAAATATATTAAATATGAAAATTCTCGATTATCGACGATAAACTATTTTTTTCCTCTGCACTTGCAAAACTATATTGTACAGATAATAGAGATAATTTCTTAAGTTGTTCTTTTCCGATATTAAAAACAGAACTCAATAACTGTAATTCCTCTGATAAACATGTTTCAAAGATACCTTTGTCATCAGTCTAAAATAAAGTTATGTTGTATGTAATGCTATTGAAATCTCGAAAATATATCAACCTTCTTCTCATACTCACTCCAATTGTTATAGGATGTCCAACTTCATATAAATATTTAAATTGATGAGACACATAGGACGGTACTGTTTTACATTTAACATTTGATGTCAAGCATAACTCTGAACAAAAAGATAAAAGTGTAAAAAAAGAAAAATAAATACTATTAACACTTGTGGAAAAAAATATAAATGTAAACATATATAATAATATATATATATATATATATATATGTTAATATAAGAATTTATAGATTATAATGTGATGCTATCAAAGATTTCTTACCAACAGGAATTTTAGATTCCAGTAACATATCGAACAATTGCTTAGAACCTTGCAAGCTAGGATGGATGCAAGTGCAGTGTCCCAATCGATTAGGTTTAAATTTTAATATATCAATTATTCCCATTTCATTTGGAACCTATGTATATATTATTTATGTATACTATTATATCTATTAATATACGAAAAGATTAATATACACTTGATATTCACCTCTGCACAATGAGCTGCGATTTTAAGTCCTGCTTTCCTAGATATTTCTAATAATTCTAAAAATGAATAATCCACAGTTGGATCACCGCTAAGATCAATACCAACAATATATTCTGGATATTTTTTCATAAATTGTATTGCAAGATTAATATTTTCTTTTGCAGATTCGTAACCCTGTTTCCGATTAATCGATATCAATAATTTTACAAGAATTTGTGGAAACTGTGATTTGGATGTTCTGTGAATAATATATCAGATAGCAATTTATCAATTTTGCTTCTACAAGATAAATGAAAAACATGCCATATAGAAATAGAAATTTACATTAAAATCTATTATATATGTCTTAATTTTGAGATTAGTGTACTTACTCAAAAGCTTTTATTATTGCTTCAAGATATTCTATCTTTGTCATTGAGTCCTTTACAGCACGAGGAGTGCTTCTTAATTCCAAATAGATCACGTTGTCCTCATGAAACTCTTTTATTACATCGCAAGTAGCAGTAAATACAGCTTGTGGTGTAACTGTTAGTGCATGCGCTATATCAAATACTTTAAAACATCTAGAAAATAGATATTATCTATTTATGTTTGTACTATTTGTCGAATAATTTATAATATTAGAATTATATTTTACAGGATAAGTATAATAATGAGAAATATACATACTCACTTAAAGATGAGAAATTAGTGGTATTCATAAAAGCTTGATCGGACAAGGCAACGTCTGAGTCTTGCATCTTGTATAATTTTTCCAGGGTTTTCATACTTAACGAACCATTTAAATGTGCATGGAGTTCCTAAATAACAGACATTAAGTTAATATATCAAAATATAAGATTATAGAATACGAAGAATATGTCTTTTTTCTATAATTTAAGCGTTGCTTAAACGCGAAGAGAAAAGCGTACCACTTTAGGTAATTTTCGACAGAAATCTTGCATATCCATTATAATAGAATATTTCCCAATGTTTTTTCGCGCACACAACTTTTCAAAAATTATATATAGTTATATAAAGGACGAAATTCCCGCTACATAAAAAACAATAATCACACTCGCACTGCCTTGCTTTTTATTAAGCCTATTTCATCGAAGATTGACATTGAAGATCAAGATTGAAAATATTGGCCAATCAAAAGGAAGAAATTTTAGTTCCTTTTATTCTCATTGGTTAAATTTCAATTTTTAATCTTCCATCTTCATTCTTCAATGCACAGTCTGATACGGATGGCACCTGATTGATCACGTCGCCAATTGGCCAATTCAAAATAGGACTCTCTGATTGGTTAATCGTTACTGGTTACCCTAGGCACAGGTCGATATAATTGGCTGTGGTCAATCGCAACGTGGTCAAACGGGACGCTCCCTCTGATACGGGCTTAAAACAGAGTGAGGTAAAAGCTCTATCGTTTGTCTCTTTCTAACTTATTGCACTAGTGTAGCAGTGCAGCTGAAAAGAACAGACTCAGGAACAAATCTTAGAATTTCTGCTGATTTGTGTATTGTCATAATTGTCATATTGGAATTTTGTAATAATATAAAAAAAGACATAAAAGACAAGTTCTTACGATTTAAGCGACAATATAAATCATAATTTGACATTTGGATTTTTCTTTTTTTCTCTAAAATATTTATTAATTTAAAATGGTTAGTCATTTTGGGGAGGTAATATTTCCATCATCGCGAGCATTTTGGGATGATGAAGACGAATATGAATCAGATGAGAACTTGGAACATTATCTGTAAGTTGAAATTGTGATATACACACAGATATTTATGTTTTTGTTTCAATTCAAAATAAAATAATATAAAACAATCGATTTTAGGAAATTAAATGTTTGCTGGCTAAAGAAGAAGCCAGAACATATGCAAAAATTCATCATAATAGAGGGAGAGCCATTAATTCGTAATAATTTCTTTTTTGCAATATTAATATTTTAAATTATCTATTGACATATGCTTTTAATTGCTAAACTAATTATATTGTTTCAGCTTTTGTAAAACAATGCTTGTGTCATAATGCGGAAGAAGTATGCATCATTGAAACTGAAGACCATAAAAAAGTTTCTGTCATCTATCATATTGATAAACAAATATATTTGTGTATAGTTTTACCACACTTTGATACAAAAAATGCAGGGACACTTGTAAACCAGGTAACTAATTTGTTCTATAAGCTATAATGTTCATTTATATTAATTTTGACTTATATTTTGATACTCTAAAGAACATGTATCCATATTTTTACAGATATCTGATTTATTATCAAGTACAGAGAGTACAATTTCAATAGTGTGCCGTCATGTATCACAGTTTCAAAGTACAAATATTCCAGAAACACCATCATTTTTAAGAATATTGGCTACCAAAAATGCAAATGTTGCAAAGTATAAAATTGAACCATTGGAACAACCAAATATTGTATTTGGAGTTGGAGCAGGAGGTTGGTATTTACATTAGTATTTACTTGGAGTATAGATAAAATATATGAATATATAAATATAATATATATATATATATATATATATATATATATATATATATATAAAGGACATTTTGTGAAAATGATGAAATTTGTCATCTGTTTCAGTTTTATCTTATGCTGAATTCAAAGGCATATCGGCCAAATTATATGTATTATATATTGATAATTTTGTACTGGATTCCAAGTGTGCAGAACCACTCTTACAAATTTTAACTAATGAAACAGATTGTAAATTACAGTATCCTAAGTTTACAGAAAATTTTTTTAGTAAAGGAAACCTTTACATGTAAAGTGTTTTTTCTTTTTTTTTTTGTTATTTTCCCTACATAATTTTTAAATATAATTTTGAATATTGATTTTCTTTAATCTAACCTAACTTTTGATATAAATCAATGATATAAAAATAGGAAAAAATTATAGAGGAAATAGTTCTGTTTATAGTAGAAAAAAAGTTTATAAGTACATGTGTATGATAACAGTAAATATAAAAGTATAACATATATACAAAATTTACAATTAAATTAATATATTCTGCTAGATTTTTTTTCGCCATTAATTAAAATAATAATGTTCAAGTTGATACAATTTTTATTGAATGCATGACATATTGCCTTTTGTTATGGTTGCGGTGGATAATAGCTACGTGGTGGTGCAGTAGGTGGAATTGGATTATTTGCTGCAAAGTATGACGCATTTGTTGGATAGGAATATGGTTGGAAAGGAGTTTGATTAGTAGCCGGTGCGGGCGGTGGTGTAGGACGAATAGTAGCAGAGGATCCGATATGATGCATTGTTGGTACAATATGATTCATTGTATTCACAGGAGGAGGTGGAACTGAAACGTTCGTAGGTGGAAACGCCGGTGGATAATTTGTATTATTAGATGCTGCAAAATTCGTTGGATATGTGGGAAAATGTGCCGTTGAAGTCTCTATTGGCTTTATTGTATCCACAATGTCCGAAACTGATGTAGTTGGACATCCGTTTGCAGAAACCACTGGTGTTTCTATCTTAGAAGACTTTCCAGGTGTCACTAAAGCACAATCTTTTATTAATATATTTTTAAATATATGCTAATACATATTACATGCTTTTACCTTGACTAAACATATTTACTACTTACCATTTGGTGTATTAGATGCAGATTCTATGGTAGTAGTAGTTGCAGGTCGTTCTCTACACACCTCGCTAGATGGTATCATGGGTGGCGAATCTGGTGGTTTTGTGTTATTAGCTTGAGAATATAAATCCAAAACTTGATGACAAATATCTAGAAATAGATAATGATATGATAATGATATGAAATTATAATGTGTAATAACAGAATATAAAATACTTTGAGTACAATTTTGGAATTTTACCTTCTAAAAGATCCATAGTTACATCTTCAACAAACATATCCCACCAGCGTAAATGCTTTGGCTGTCTTCCAACCCAATCTACCACTTCAAATTTACTTAGTTTCCCTGCCAGGTACATTAGAGCAACAGCTATTATCTCTGGCTCCCATTGTAGTGATAGAGTGGTACATAAACTACAAGAAAATATAAATTATCCTTATAATGTCAAATATTAGAATATCAAGTAATAATTCATTACAAAGTTATTACCTATCATTAACAAATGTCCAAGCCATTTGAACCATCTTTTGCAGTTTGTTTTTATCGCCTACATATAAAATAAAAATTACTTTAGAAATACCAGCAAATTAACAAAATCTACGGTTAATACATATTTCATCTAATTTTATAATATCTACAATATAGATTACCTTTAAGACACTTTGCATATTTCAATAAGTAGCTATATGGGTGTTCAACTTGCAGATCAAATTTAATAGTTTGCAATAAAATTCTTTCCAAGGTTAACACTTCTTCCTGTCAATAATAATTTAATATATAGAATATATGTATATGTGTATACATATATATATACTCTTCGTAAAATATCTTCAACAATATAATAATTTTCTTTACAATAAATAACTTACTTTAGGATCTTCTCCAAATGTCATAAACTTTTGTTCAGACACCAAAGTCTTAGCCGTTCGTATAATATCTTTGCATTTTTTTGGAGTTTCCTCAACTTTGCCAGCAAGGAGTAAACAACAACAAGCCGTTACCTACATATTATAATAATGCAATTAATAAACGATAGAGTAATTTAAAATTAATACACACATACACGTGCAAGTATACTTACATATCGTGGAAAATTTTTAAACGAATGGAACATGTAGAATCGATGGAAATAAACGACACCCGTTGCCATCGTATTATAACCTAAATCCATCTTTGTACCAGTGTCAATTATGAAACGTGCACCTTCCTTTCGGTATCTACATTCCGTCTCGTAATCAATTCCATCCTGAATAGACGGTGTATTGCGTAGCTCTTTCTTCTCATAATACCAGCACGGCATGATTAAACCACTTCCTATATAGGAGTTCAATGTATACTTTAATAGATATACATTGCAATGGGTTATATTCGAGATATAAATCACGTTAAAAAAATGAGTCACCAAGTCACACGATTGTTATGATTGGTACATTAATTGGAATTGTGTATACTGATAATTAGCTATTTAATCTGTTAATTTGTAACGTTACACTTGATTTTTTAGTACTCGACACACATACCCGGCAGGCTTAGGGCTTAAATTATCTATTGTAGATCGGGACTAAATGTCATACATACATACATCGCATCTTTAGGGTAAGGTTACATTTTTACGACATAATACCGAACATATCTGTTGACCATCGGAGAATTTGACAGTGATCCTTATCAGGATTCTAGGAATTTTCTATTCGATAGCCAATCAGTATCTCACAAATATTATATCTAATTTCGTCGCATAAATGTAATTGCACCCTGAATTGTAGAGGCTACGTCATCGATCCATCACTGCTGTGCATATACTTAAGTTGAATATATGTATATATATTTCTATATGTGTGTATACATGTGCGTTAATGGTGGTTAATAGTTAACCGCGAATTCCTGCTATGAGTTGATATCAAAGCCAATTAAAGTTAATGAAGTTGTTTTTTTCAAATAAGTTAAACACTTATATACCTTAGTAACGGCATTACAAAATAATAAGTGTTTTACAAGACTCTTTGTTGAGCGTTGTGTACAATTCCGAAAATAAACGAAACATTAGATATAATGCCGTTGGCAACTCTAACGGCTCCTTGGACCGAGCACCGCGTAAATGAGAAGGTAAAATTTATTAATCCTTCTTTCCGATGTATAATTCTTTTGACATATGTGATTTGAAAAATTTTTACTTTTTTTTTTTTAAATATATTTCTCGTCTTTATTTCAACATTTAATGCACACTTTATAACATACTTTTATTTTCTACTTGTTGCTTTAGCAAAGTACAGATATTCTTCCGGCCGAAAATCAGGAAGAAACAATGATTACTCAAGGAAATTTAATTGAAAGATCAAATGGCTGTTCAGAGTCCCATGAGATTGAAGTACGTGATATGGTACGGGAAGGTTACGAGAAAGCTGAACCTTCTCACTTTGAACTATTGAAAGTCCTCGGCCAAGGTTCCTTTGGCAAGGTAAAAATAACATATGTGCATTGAATATATATTTAAATACTTTTAGACACTTTGCAATAGTTGAAATAATTACTTTACATTTATATATACAATTTTATTTAATTTATAAATATTTATAGGTATTTTTAGTAAGAAAAGTTATTGGAAAAGATAGTGGTACACTATATGCTATGAAAGTCTTAAAAAAGGCAACATTGAAAGGTACTTGAAGATGTTATTAAGTATCAGCAAATATTTATTTATTATTACTATTATTTCATTACATATTTGTTTTTTTTTAGTTCGTGACAGAGTTAGAACCAAAATGGAGAGGAACATATTAGTTGATGTGGAACATCCATTTATCGTCCGATTGCATTATGCATTTCAAACAGAAGGGAAACTCTATTTAATTCTAGATTTTTTAAGAGGAGGCGATCTCTTTTCCAGATTATCCAAAGAGGTAATTGTTAATGATTATATAAATGTATTGTTGCTTTGTATTCTGATAATTTGTAATTTTTGATAAATAATATATATTAATAATATATATTTGTAATTATGTATATAATTAATGTTTTAGGTAATGTTTACTGAAGATGATGTTAAGTTTTATTTGGCTGAACTGGCACTTGCTCTGGATCATATACATAAACTCGGAATTATTTATCGAGATCTTAAACCTGAAAAGTATGTATTCGTTCATGATATACTGCGATTTGTATCTCTTTAATATAGATATCCATTATTAGTATGTTTGATTAATTTTCTCTTTTTTTATACAATAGTATTTTGTTGGACACAGAAGGCCATATATCTTTGACAGACTTTGGCTTAAGCAAACAACCTTTGGATGATTCAAAAGCATATTCGTTTTGTGGCACTGTTGAATATATGGCACCAGAAATTGTTAACAGAAAAGGACATACTTTTACATCAGATTGGTGGAGTTTTGGTGTCTTAATGGTTAGATTTTATATATCTCATTTGATTATATGATGCAACTGATGAAAATTAAATATTAAAAGAAATTAAAAGCTAAAGATTTGTTATATATGATATTTAAATATTTTCAGTTTGAAATGCTGACAGGTGCTCTTCCATTCCAAGGTGCAAACCGTAAAGAAACAATGACGCAAATCTTGAAAGCTAAACTCGGAATGCCACATAATCTTTCACCAGAAGCACAAGCACTTTTGAGGGTATTATTTAAGAGAAATCCAGCAAATCGCCTTGGTGCTGGTAATGTTGAAAGAATCTATTATTTTAATATTCTGTACAATAAAATAACTTTTAATTTTGAATAACATATGTATGATAGTCTTTATATACAACTTTTGTATTCCTAGGTGGAGTGGAAGAAATTAAGGGTCATATGTTCTTTGCTACTATCGATTGGGATGCTCTTTATAAGAAAGAAATAAGACCGCCATTTAAACCAGCTGTTAGGGAAGACGATGCGTTTTACTTCGATAGTGAATTCACCTGTAAAACACCTAAAGGTGACCGATCTCCTTCTTAAAAAACAGAAGAAAAAGGAAGAACAGTGGAGTAAACTTAAATTAATAATAATTAAACATAGGTCCTGATATCTTTGCGAAAGAAATTCTTGTATCTCTTCAGATTCTCCAGGAGTACCACCTAGCGCAACTGCTCACGAATTATTTCGCGGATTCAGTTTTGTTGCGCCTTGTTTGCTTACGGATGCGGATCACGCTAAATTATTGGAAAACAGAAACTACGACAGTATCAGCGCTAATTTTCCATCTTACGTTAATTCCGTTTCTATTACTGACGAATATGAATTCAAACACGAGATTGGCAAAGGAAGCTACAGCGTGGTTTATTTAGCTGTCCATATAGCATCCAAGATGGAATATGCTGTAAAGGTAATATCTTGCAAAGTTGAAATGGAATGTATTCCCAAAGTTGCACTTGAAATAAAGGAAAATTAAATAAAATAGGTGATTGAAAAATCGAAACGAGATCCGACGGAAGAAATAGAAATTTTATTACGATATGGCAGACATCCTCATATTGTAACATTAAGAGCTGTTCACGAAGATGACAAACGAGTATACCTTGTGTTGGAACTTTTGCGCGGTGGTGAACTTCTCGATCGTTTGCTACAGAGACGAAACTTTACCGAACGGGAAGCTGCCGAAGTCATTCATACCATTACAAATGTGGTGCATTATCTTCACGAAAACGGAGTAAGTTATAATCTACAGAATATAAGTTATATTAAACAATTTTGTACATATATCTTGATCTCATACACATCTGTATGAAAGAAAACAATATATATGACTGCATTAAAAGAAAGAACAAAAACAAAACAGGTTGTTCATAGAGATTTGAAGCCATCGAATATTTTATATGCAAAGCCTGGTGGTGATCCAACGACACTTTGTATATGCGATCTTGGCTTTGCGAAACAATTACGAGCGGAAAACGGTTTGTTAATGACGCCTTGTTATACCGCAAACTTTGTAGCGCCCGAAGTGCTGAAACGCCAAGGATATGATGCAGCGTGCGACATTTGGTCACTCGGAGTTTTATTGTACATTATGTTAGCTGGGTAATGGAAAAAGAAATACTATGAAAGTTATTATATATAATTATATATAATTATTATTGATTTATTATATATAACTGATTGAAAATGATATAATTTTATCGGGCAGATACACGCCTTTTCGTAATAGTCCAGGAGACAGCGCGAGCGATATATTAGACCGGATTGGCCCGGGATATATAGATGTGGAAAGCGGGATATGGTGCCATATTTCGAGTGAAGCTAAAGAATTAGTTAAGAGGATGCTGCATGTAGATCCCAATCGAAGGCCGACGGCAGCTGTTATTTTAAAATATCCATGGATTGTAAATCGACACCGTATACCTCAAAAAGTTTTACCAGATGTTATTAAGGATCCACATAGTTTGAAAGTATGTTGAAGTAAAAATATACTTTGCTTCCATTGAACATTTTGTTAATCTTTTAAACTATTAAATGTTTTGTCATTAATAATAGATATATAATTATATATTTCTAAGATAATTTCTAACAAATCTACAGTTTATATATCACACAATACAATCATATTATACAATAAATCTTACTCTTTAGATGGCAGTCGCAGCGACGTATAGAGCAATGGCGAGTAGTCCGAGATCACCGCATATTGGTCCTGTGGTTATGTCGGAATTAGCACGTCGTAGAACACAAGGCAAAACTGGTGGTCCCACTCCAGTTTAAACTTAATCTCTTGTATAACTGTATATGACAGATTCAACTTTTAAATTAAAGATTTACTCAAGATGGAGATATGGAGGCATAAATATGGAGAACAAAGTTGTTTAAAGTACAAGCGATTTAAAAAATATTGGGAATATATAATTTAAATTGTTGATATTGTGATGAATAGCTTTCAATATCGTCAATGGAGAGTATGCGGAAGGATGTTAATGACAGAAAACCGAATGTGATATCTATTTATAATTTTCCATATATTGTGTTTAATATATACTTATATATATACACCTATATTTGTCACATGTTGCCATGATTCGGGAAAGTGCAAACGATTATGACAGTTGTCAGAAAATATGTACTTTCTTATAATTCTATAATTTTTGAATCTTTTTTTATTTACCAATATTAAATATAGCAAGAAGAGATGATAATCATGTTGAAGTAATAATCAATTACAATTTCTCAAATACTCTATAAATACATAACAATATAAAAGTATTTTGATGTATTATGTGTGAAATTTTATCTGTGCAATGTAGTTTGGTCAAATCAATTTTTTTTAACTATATGTATACCAAATAAGTGTCTTATATATTTCCGCCTAGGCTTGTGACTTGTAATTTTAAAAAGTTTCTGAGAATCCCAGTGTTTTTATGGGCACGAGTTCGAAAAGAAGTGTGATTGCGAAATTGCGAAAAATGAGATAAAATTATTAATCATTGTTTAATTGTAATATTTAGCTAATAATTTGTTAAATAAATTTAAAATTATATAAATTACACAAGTATAGTTATATATTAATGCTTCGACTAGTCAAAAAATCATTTTTGGGAGGGGTTTTTTTATTATTTATTTATATTTTTTTATATATACATACTATAAATATAAAATATATAGCATATTTTCTATGATAAGGAGAAAATTTGTGGAAAGGGAAGGGAAGTATCAACAGAGAGAAACCTGAGAGCGGCCACCTCGCTTTAACGGGTATATTGTCCTAATGCGCTCCCTGACAAAGTGGACGTCAACTACATCCATTAAAGTCGATAATAATACATGGTTCGTGTCTGAGCTATGGTTCATGTCCAAGCTATGGAGTGACTCCAAAAGTGATACTTCTATGGAATAAAATGACATGCTACAAATGAGTCCAGGCATTCAACATGCATGAATACAAAGTCAAAGTCATGAAAGTTCTCAGAGGGTAATATATAATTGCACAATTTCTGGTTTTGTTCCGTGCTATGTGCACGAAATGCCGGTAGCATCAGTGCTATATAACAATTAAATACTTATGTGTGTAAATTGATAATAAATAAATTATTCAATCGCGACAGATACTGTAATATTCAAAGATGAAATAAATATTTTTCAAAATAAATTGGTAAATAATACGGCTCTATGTATTTATCAAAATGATAATTAAGTAAAGAGCATTAAGAGCCCACAAAACGCGGATGGCAATGCGTAAATTATTTCGAACATTAATTGTTCGCGAAATTTTTTTTTTTTTTTTTTTTAAATGCGTTATTAGGAGAACATGATTTGAGAAAAATCATCAACGCATTATCGACCTCTTCGCAAAATATATTCTCCTGATAATATAAAATAATAAGAAACGAATTTTCGAAAATTTTCACGCTTGCGTTAACAGGAGAACATGATTTGTAAAGAGATCATCAACGCATCTTCGACCTCCTCGCAAAATATATTCTCCTGATAATATAAAATAAGAAACGAATTTTCAAAAATTTTCACGCTTGCGTTATTAGGAGAACATGATTTGTAAAGAGGTCATCAACGCATCTTCGACCTCCTCGCAAAATATATTCTCCTGATAATATCAAATAATAAGAAACGAATTTTCGAAAATTTTCACGCTTGCGTTATTAGGAGAACATGATTTGTAAAGAGGTCATCAACGCATCATCGACCTCTTCGCACAATATATTCTCCTGATCATATAAATTATAAGAAACGAATTTTCGAAAATTTTCGCGCTTGCGTTATTAGGAGAACATGATTTGTAAAGAGGTCATCAACGCATCATCGACCTTCTCGCACAATATATTCTCCTGATAATATAAAATAATAAGAAACGAATTTTCGAAAATTTTCACGCTTGCGTTATTAGGAGAACATGATTTGTAAAGAGGTCATCAACGCATCATCGACCTCTTCGCACAATATATTCTCCTGATCATATAAATGATAAGAAACGAATTTTCGAAAATTTTCGCGCTTGCGTTATTAGGAGAAAATGATTTGTAAAGAGGTCATCAACGCATCATCGACCTCCGCGAAAAATATATTCTCCTGATAATATAAATTATAAGAAACGAATTTTCGAAAATTTTCACGCTTGCGTTATTAGGAGAACATGATTTGTAAAGAGGTCATCAACGCATCATCGACCTCCTCGCAAAATATATTCTCCTGATAATATAAGATAATAAGAAACGAATTTTCTAAAATTTTTACGTTTGCGTTATTAGGAGAACATGATTTGTAAAGAGGTCATAAACGCATCATCGACCTCCTCGCAAAATATATGCTCCTGATAATATAAAATAATAAGAAACGAATTTTCGAAAATTTTCACGTTTGCGTTATTAGGAGAACATGATTTGTAAAGAGGTCATCAACGCATCATCGACCTCCTCGCAAAATATATTCTCCTGATAATATAAATATAAGAAACGAATTTTCGAAAATTTTCACGCTTGCGTTATTAGGAGAACATGATTTGTAAAGAGGTCATCAACGCATCATCGACCTCCTCGCAAAATATATTCTCCTGATAATATAAATTATAAGAAACGAATTTTCGAAAATTTTCACGTTTGCGTTATTAGGAGAACATGATTTGTAAAGAGGTCATAAACGCATCATTGACCTCCTCGCAAAATATATGCTCCTGATAATATAAAATAATAAGAAACGAATTTTCGAAAATTTTCACGATTGCGTTATTAGGAGAACATGATTTGTAAAGAGGTGATCAACGCATCATCGATCTCTTCGCAAAATATATTCTCCTGATAATATAAATTATAAAAAACGAATTTTCGAAAATTTTCGCGTTTGCGTTATTAGGAGAACATGATTTATAAAGAGGTGATCAACGCATCATCGACCTCCTCGCACAATATATTCTCCTGATAATATAAATTATAAGAAACGAATTTTCGAAAATTTTCGCACTTGCGTTATTAGGAGAACATGATTTGTAAAGAGGTCATCAACGCATCATCGACCTCCTCGCAAAATATATTCTCCTGATAATACAAAATAATAAGAAACGAATTTTCGAAAATTTTCACGCTTGCGTTATTAGGAAAACATGATTTGTAAAGAGGTCATCAACGCATCATCGACCTCCTCGCAAAATATATTCTCCTGATAATATAAAATAATAAGAAACGAATTTTCGAATATTTTCACGCTTGCGTTATTAGGAGAACATGATTTGTAAAGAGGTCATCAACGCATCATCGACCTCCTCCCAAAATATATTCTCCTGATAATATAAAATAATAAGAAACGAATTTTCTAAAATTTTCACGCTTGCGTTATTAGGAGAACATGATTTGTAAAGAGGTCATCACCGCATCATCGACCTCCTCGCAAAATATATTCTCCTGATAATATAAAATATTAAGAAACGAATTTTCTAAAATTTTTACGTTTGCGTTATTAGGAGAACATGATTTGTAAAGAGGTCATAAACGCATCATCGACCTCCTCGCAAAATATATGCTCCTGATAATATAAAATAATAAGAAACGAATTTTCGAAAATTTTCACGTTTGCGTTATTAGGAGAACATGATTTGTAAAGAGGTCATCAACGCATCATCGACCTCCTCCCAAAATATATTCTCCTGATAATATAAAATAATAAGAAACGAATTTTCTAAAATTTTCACGCTTGCGTTATTAGGAGAACATGATTTGTAAAGAGGTCATCACCGCATCATCGACCTCCTCGCAAAATATATTCTCCTGATAATATAAAATATTAAGAAACGAATTTTCTAAAATTTTTACGTTTGCGTTATTAGGAGAACATGATTTGTAAAGAGGTCATAAACGCATCATCGACCTCCTCGCAAAATATATGCTCCTGATAATATAAAATAATAAGAAACGAATTTTCGAAAATTTTCACGTTTGCGTTATTAGGAGAACATGATTTGTAAAGAGGTGATCAACGCATCATCGACCTCCTCGCAAAATATATTCTCCTGATAATATAAGATAATAAGAAACGAATTTTCGAAAATTTTCACGCTTGCGTTATTAGGAGAACATGATTTGTAAAGAGGTCATCAACGCATCATCGACCTCCTCGCAAAATATATTCTCCTGATAATATAAATTATAAGAAACGAATTTTCGAAAATTTTCACGTTTGCGTTATTAGGAGAACATGATTTGTAAAGAGGTCATAAACGCATCATTGACCTCCTCGCAAAATATATGCTCCTGATAATATAAAATAATAAGAAACGAATTTTCGAAAATTTTCACGATTGCGTTATTAGGAGAACATGATTTGTAAAGAGGTGATCAACGCATCATCGATCTCTTCGCAAAATATATTCTCCTGATAATATAAATTATAAAAAACGAATTTTCGAAAATTTTCGCGTTTGCGTTATTAGGAGAACATGATTTATAAAGAGGTGATCAACGCATCATCGACCTCCTCGCACAATATATTCTCCTGATAATATAAATTATAAGAAACGAATTTTCGAAAATTTTCGCACTTGCGTTATTAGGAGAACATGATTTGTAAAGAGGTCATCAACGCATCATCGACCTCCTCGCACAATATATTCTCCTGATAATATAAATTGTAAGAAACGAATTTTCGAAAATTTTCACGCTTGCGTTATTAGGAGAACATGATTTGTAAAGAGGTCATCAACGCATCATCGACCTCCTCGCAAAATATATTCTCCTGATAATACAAAATAATAAGAAACGAATTTTCGAAAATTTTCACGCTTGCGTTATTAGGAGAACATGATTTGTAAAGAGGTCATCAACGCATCATCGACCTCCTCGCAAAATATATTCTCCTGATAATATAAAATAATAAGAAACGAATTTTCGAATATTTTCACGCTTGCGTTATTAGGAGAACATGATTTGTAAAGAGGTCATCAACGCATCATCGACCTCCTCCCAAAATATATTCTCCTGATAATATAAAATAATAAGAAACGAATTTTCTAAAATTTTCACGCTTGCGTTATTAGGAGAACATGATTTGTAAAGAGGTCATCAACGCATCATCGACCTCCTCGCAAAATATATTCTCCTGATAATATAAAATAATAAGAAACGAATTTTCGAAAATTTTCACGCTTGCATTATTAGGAGAACATGATTTGTAAAGAGGTCATCAACGCATCATCGACCTCCTCGCAAAATATATTCTCCTGATAATATAAAATAATAAGAAACGAATTTTCGAAAATTTTCACGCTTGCGTTATTAGGAGAACATGATTTGTAAAGAAGTCATCAACGCATCATCGACCTCCTCGCAAAATATATTCTCCTGATAATATAAAATAATAAGAAACTAATTTTCGAAAATTTTCACGCTTGCGTTATTAGGAGAACATGATTTGTAAAGAGGTCATCAACGCATCATCGACCTCCTCGCAAAATATATTCTCCTGATAATATAAGATAATAAGAAACGAATTTTCGAAAATTTTCACGCTTGCGTTATTAGGAGAACATGATTTGTAAAGAGGTCATCAACGCATCATCGACCTCTTCGCACAATATATTCTCCTGATCATATAAATGATAAGAAACGAATTTTCGAAAATTTTCGCGCTTGCGTTATTAGGAGAAAATGATTTGTAAAGAGGTCATCAACGCATCATCGACCTCCGCGAAAAATATATTCTCCTGATAATATAAATTATAAGAAACGAATTTTCGAAAATTTTCACGCTTGCGTTATTAGGAGAACATGATTTGTAAAGAGGTGATCAACGCATCATCGACCTCCTGGCACAATATATTCTCCTGATAATATAAATTATAAGAAACGAATTTTCGAAAATTTTCGCGCTTGCGTTATTAGGAGAACATGATTTGTAAAGAGGTTATAAACGCATCATCGACCTCCTCGCAAAATATATGCTCCTGATAATATAAAATAATAAGAAACGAATTTTCGAAAATTTTTACGTTTGCGTTATTAGGAGAACATTTTCGAAAATTCGTTTCTTATAATTTATATGATCAGGAGAATATATTTTGCGAGGAGGTCGATGATGCGTTGATGACCTCTTTCAAATCATGTTCTCCTAATAACGCAAACGTGAAAATTTTCGAAATTCGATGATGCGTTGATGACCTCTTTACAAATCATGTTCTCCTAATAACGCAAGCGTGAAAATTTTCGAAAATTCGTTTCTTATAATTTATATTATCAGGAGAATATATTTTGCGAGGAGGTCGATGATGCGTTGATGATCTCTTTACAAATCATGTTCTCCTAATAACGCAAGCGCGAAAATTTTCGAAAATTCGTTTCTTATAATTTATATTATCAGGAGAATATATTTTGCGAGGAGGTCGATGATGCGTTGATGATCTCTTTACAAATCATGTTCTCCTAATAACGCAAGCGCGAAAATTTTCGAAAATTCGTTTCTTATAATTTATATTATCAGGAGAATATATTGTGCGAGAAGGTCGATGATGCGTTGATGACCTCTTTACAAATCATGTTCTCCTAATAACGCAAGCGCGAAAATTTTCGAAAATTCGTTTCTTATAATTTATATTATCAGGAGAATATATTGTGCGAGAAGGTCGATGATGCGTTGATGACCTCTTTACAAATCATGTTCTCCTAATAACGCAAGCGCGAAAATTTTCGAAAATTTGTTTCTTATCATTTATATGATCAGGAGAATATATTGTGCGAAGAGGTCGATGATGCGTTGATGACTTCTTTACAAATCATGTTCTCCTAATAACGCAAGCGTGAAAATTTTCGAAAATTCGTTTCTTATTATTTTATATTATCAGGAGAATATATTGTGCGAGAAGGTCGATGATGCGTTGATGACCTCTTTACAAATCATGTTCTCCTAATTACGCAAGCGCGAAAATATTCGAAAATTCGTTTCTTATCATTTATATGATCAGGAGAATATATTGTGCGAAGAGGTCGATGATGCGTTGATGACTTCTTTACAAATCATGTTCTCCTAATAACGCAAGCGTGAAAATTTTCGAAAATTCGTTTCTTATTATTTTATATTATCAGGAGAATATATTGTGCGAGAAGGTCGATGATGCGTTGATGACCTCTTTACAAATCATGTTCTCCTAATAACGCAAGCGCGAAAATTTTCGAAAATTCGTTTCTTATAATTTATATGATCAGGAGAATATATTGTGCGAAGAGGTCGATGATGCGTTGATAACCTCTTTACAAATCATGTTCTCCTAATAACGCAAGCGTGAAAATTTTCGAAAATTCGTTTCTTATTATTTGATATTATCAGGAGAATATATTTTGCGAGGAGGTCGATGATGCGTTGATGACCTCTTTACAAATCATGTTCTCCTAATAACGCAAGCGTGAAAATTTTCGAAAATTCGTTTCTTATTATTTTATATTATCAGGAGAATATATTTTGCCAGGAGGTCGAAGATGCGTTGATGACCTCTTTACAAATCATGTTCTCCTAATAACGCAAGCGTGAAAATTTTCGAAAATTCGTTTCTTATTATTTTATATTATCAGGAGAATATATTTTGCGAGGAGGTCGAAGATGCGTTGATGATCTCTTTACAAATCATGTTCTCCTAATAACGCAAGCGTGAAAATTTTCGAAAATTCGTTTCTTATTATTTTATATTATCAGGAGAATATATTTTGCGAGGAGGTCGATAATGCGTTGATGACCTCTTTACAAATCATGTTCTCCTAATAACGCATTTAAAAAAAAAAAAAAAAAATTTCGCGAACAATTAATGTTCGAAATTTACGCATTGCCATCTGCGTTTTGTGGGCTCTTAATGCTTTTTACTTAATTATCATGTTGATAAATACATAGAGCCGTATTATTTACCAATTTATTTTGAAAAATATTTATTTCATCTTTGAATTTTACAATATCTGTCGCTATTGAATAATTTATTTATTATCAATTTACACACATAAGTATTTAATTGTTATATAGCACTGGTGCTACCGGCATTTCGTGCACATAGCACGGAACAAAACCAGAAATTGTGCAATTATATATTACCCTCTGAGAACATTCATGGACTTTGATTTTGTAGTTCATGTCCATGTTTTGAATATCCATAGAGGGAGTATCACTTTTGGGGTCACTCCATAGCTTGGACATGAACCATAGCTCAGACACGAACCATGTATTATTATCGACTTTAATGGATATAGTTGACGTCCACTTTGTCAGGGAGCGCATTAGGACAATATACCCGTTAAGCGAGGTGGCCGCTCTCAGGTTTCTCTCTGGTATCAATAACTTCGAAGATTCGATGTGCACTTATATGAGTACGTTCGAAAATCTTATTCATGGGGTAGAGTAGCTTTTAATTGACCAATCAGGACAGGAGGAATGAAGATTGTCCTGATTGGTCAATTAAATGCTACTTCATCTCACGGAGAATTTCCGAACGTAGCCTATATGATGCATTTATCCACTTGCATCTACTCTACTGATGTCTGCCGGTCTGATATTGGCGTTACATTTTATCGTGCAATCGCGTGTGATTGTGTGATATTGCTTGTATTTTGCTTCATAACTGTATTGGTATCGTTTGTCACTTATAGAAAAAAGTAACGGGAATGATTGTTTCTCGCCAATTTATTAAACAGCATTAATTATTGTGAACGTACGTCGATTAATTACTGGATAATCTGGTTAACTCAATCTTCTTTGTCTGTTTTTATAGGTAAGATTTTGAAATCAAAGCGGGGGAAAGTGCGTGCTCCATAGAGCAAATGGAAATATTAATACAAAACAGTAATTTTAAAGACGGTCTGATAGCATGCAACAAAATTCAAATTTTACAGATCATTTTTTTTTTCGTTAAATAACTATTTTGTTCAATTAAATACACGTGTTATTGTAGGTTGTAGATGATTTATTGAAACAGATTTTAGAGATTTTTTATATTATTTTACAACAAAATGATATAATTTTAATATAAATGTTTATTTATTTTATTATAGTTTTTAAATTAAATTAATAATCATCATATACACGTTCAATCAAACATAAAAATGTATTATACATATTAGAGAGTTGATTGATTTCATATTCTTCTTTATCAATTAGTTAAAATTTGTTATTGGCAATATAATATTTTATTTCATGCAATTTTAAGCAATGATTATTAAGAAGGAATAGATCAAATTTGTGTTAAAAATGTTTACGCTTCTGTATTTTTAATTCTTTAGTTAAATCTTGTAAAAAAAACAAAGATTTTATAATTAGTCTTATATATATATATATATATATATATATATATATATATATATATCTATATATATTTAATCTTATATACATATATGTAATACATATAAATATGCATACATATATATTAGGAAATATTATATTTGTTATTTTCTTTATTTTCTTTTCTGCTTAGCTCTTGAGCAATATTATTAAATTATGCAGAATCAGAATTTTGAGATAACTGATATTGGGCCATTGACATCTTTTTAATTCCAATGTTCACACAGTGGTTTAGGATATTTAAGATAGGTATGCGGAACTCATAGTTTTGTTCATATATAATACAAGAAATTTAAATGATTTGATATGTATTAGGAAAATTAATTAATTAAATTATTTAAAGACTTAATTATTTTGGAAGAAAAGAGAGAAAAAAAAGACAGAAAAAAAGAGAGCATAGAAATAAGAAAAAATGTATTTTTAGGCTGTGCCAACATGATTCAAAAAGGACCACGTCCATTAGTATTATGCGGCCCTTCGGGTAGTGGCAAAAGTACTTTGATAAAGCGATTGTTTGATGAATTTCCTGATACTTTCAAATTTTCGGTATCTCATACAACTAGAAATCCTCGGCCTGGTGAAGAAAATGGGACGCACTATCACTTTACAAATAAAGAAAAGATGCAAGAACAAATAAAAAATGGCGAATTTATTGAATCTGCTACATTTAGTGGAAATTTATATGGCACGAGGTAAGAAAAAGATATAGACATAAATATAACATAGATGTGTATGATAATGATACAATCCAAACCTTGTAGCAAACAGGCAGTTGAAGAAGTACAACGTTTAGGAAAGATATGCGTATTAGACATTGATATACAAGGTGTAAAGCAAATAAAATGTACTCAACTTAATCCCCTTTATGTATTTGTAAAACCGCCCTCTATTTTGGAGTTAGAGCGGCGGTTGAAAGCTAGAAACACTGAAACCGAAGAGTCATTGCAACGCAGATTAGCAGTTGCCAAAGCTGAATTAGAATATGGTATGCACACGCGTTATAGAAAAATTATGCTTGTAAATCACATATCATCACTTTTCAAAATTTATAATATATATTTATGTTTATAGGTGAAGGACCAGGTAATTTTGACATTATCATAGAAAATGATAATTTGGAAAATGCATATGAGATTTTACGCAATTTTATACTGGCTAATTTTAATTTGCAATGCAAAACAGGTGAATAAAATATGCTGCTTTGTTTTTAATGATATTAATCTCTTTACTGAGTTATATACCACAAGTATTTTTATTACAAAGATCTATATTGTAATCGCAAATATGTGATGATACATATAATAATTAGATTCTCTATAAAAATATTTTCAGTCGAAACGAATTAGTCAAGAGCTGATATGTGATGGATTCTATATGTATATCTGGACACAGCAAATGAATCATATCTTGGTGAAATGTTTAGAAATTATTTTAAATACATTCAATCAACAAATAAAATATGTGTATATGTGTGTCGAAACTAGGGCTAATGTAACTCATATTCTATATTACGGTTCTATATAGATTGCATCTTTACGATTATATATCTATATTTGCTATTTTTAAATTATCGTGATTTTTATTTTTCTGACAATAATGATAATAGCAGTAGCTATATCATGTATTTTTGTTATAGTAAGTTTAATCTGATAACTATATAAAACAAATTATGAAAGAGATCCATCTTAATGTCGTTGGTACAATATTGCACTAAGTGTATTAGCTAATTTTTTCATTAAGAATAAAAAATCCATTCTTTTATAGAAATAAGAGAAAGTTTTCAAACTAGAGTTTTAGCTGAATATTCAAAAAGTAACTTAAAGAGATAAACGTAGAATTTTAGCTGTAGCTAACTGAGACTATTCACCAAAAAAGGTTGTGTTCCAATAGAGTAGGCTATCTGTAAAATATATACTTGCGATATATACTTTCGTACTTATCTTCATGATAAAAATATTGTACAAGCATAATATAGTCACTTTTGATTTATATCATACAGTATCATACGACCATGCCAAGTACTTAGAATTAAGATTATAAAAAGAATATGTAAACATTCCTGTACAATCTGCATTTGTGGTCATAAATAATTATTTATATTTTTATTACAAAATTGTAAAGAAAAAAATATTTTTTTAATTATTAGATAAAACTAAAATGCTTGTTTTGTTGCGTGTACAACTTAGAAACTTTAATTGTTTGTAGAGTTTGATAGTTTATAGTTCGACTTAAAATCGACATAATATTATATAAAATATACATATATGTATATATTCATGAGTCTGATTATACATAGCAGAGAAATAATGATAGAATTATTAAGCCAAGTTATATTAACAAATGAAATTTACTTTTGTGTTTTAAAATGACATATTATAGATAGAGAAAAAAATGTCCTTTCTTTAAGATTAATCGTTAACCGATATATTATGCGATTAACAGTTTGTAGAGATAAGTCGCGGAGAATATTTTATTGTAGGTGCTACTACAGAGAATATATGATGTTATGCATGTATATATTCAATAGTATATATATATATATATATATATATATATATATATATATATATTCAATAAATAGTTTGAAATAATATAATTTGTCAATATTATTCGCGATAATATAAAACAGCGGAAACGATATAAATATATCCATCACACACAATTAGCATTATTATCGCGCATTGAAAATAATTTTGTTAATCTATTTTTTTCTTCGAAAAATTTTTCGTTTAAGCATCTTTACTTTTTTTTTCCTCAGATTGATGATGAATGGAATAATCTCGTTTAGGCCATTCGCCGTGATGATGACGTGTTTTATGTCGCGGCAATTCGCTTACTTCGATAGACGCTACTTTGACATTATCTTCTACTCGGCTGTTTTTGTCAGCGATCTCTTGACGAATGAGATTATCGCCATAATTTCTCGGCGTAGAATTATTTATTACTTTTTCAGCTTGTTGATCGAGTCGCGATGTAGGTTTCTTGAAAAAAGTATATCTAATTATTTGGGGCCGTGGTTGAAAAATGTTCTCCGGAAATAACGAGTCGGAAGCAACGTCGATCGATGGCGAATCGATAACTTGTGGGTTGCTTATTTTTTTCATCATTGCATTTCCCTCCGCATCGATTTCCTCGAAATAATTAGGACGCTGTCTCGTATCATGTTCCTCCAATTTTCGCAATATCTCGGGATTTGACTGGCTTGATAGATCGAGAGATCGTTGATTATCTTGAAACGAATAACTATTGTCTCCTTTATTTTCGCGATTCTCTTTAGAATATACTTTCTGCTGTGTCGGCCAATTTTGATCGATAGATACGCGATCCAGATATGTTTCAAGACTGTTCCAATTTTCTAGATCCCGAGATATAGCTCTTCTAATGAACTTGGAAATTTCCTCGATATTCGCAGCTTGACGATTTTTATCAAAGATTATTGATGAAGGACGATCCGCGATTTCGGCCGAATACGCGAAACGCTCGAAGGGCACTTGAAAACTCGTTTCCAGCACTTTTCGATCCAAATTGCGTTTTTCCTGATAAGCGTCGTGGGCGTCTGGATAATACGCCTCGTAGAATACCGGTCCCTTATCCAGGTCGTAACTGTCATACCTATCGTGTAAACGTAACACGATAGAAGAAAAAAAAGCAAAATTTGTGCTTTCAATATGATTATATCTGAAATCTTTAAAATCGAATTCTCGCGAGAAGACTATCGCTAATACATTGAAAATCACAATCGTCACCTAGATATTTCCCGTGCGATGGTGGCGGCAACAACGATGGGTACATCTATATGCGAAAGAAATATATATATATTTATATCCCATATTTTATATCAGTGCGATCAAATGTCATTCGAGTACGTACCTAAACAAATAGTAATTAGGATCGCTGCCAATGGTACATATCTTTGAGAAGCCATGACTCTATAATCGAGCAACGACCTACGACTGAGTTTCTTCAAGAAAGAGATAGGCGCGTGTGCGTATTTTTAGATATTCTTAAAATAAATCTCGTTTTCGGGATGTCGCTTTAATGCTATCTCGATTTGCATGACCCTTGTTAGTTTGAATTATTATATTCGCGAATAAAAAGTATCCTTCGTCAGGATCGATAATAAAGAAATATACATAGTTATATCTATTATAGCCTCAATTAATCAAACTCGAGACCGCTGCGAATAAAACGGTTGTTGATCGAACATTGAGTATCACAAGTACAATATTATCACGCGACAGGATATATATCGGGTTTTTTATCAGATATCAAGGCTCCCTATAATGAAGAGAGACCTTCAAGTTACTTGTATAAGGTTTAAATAATCATCAGTGAAAAATTGCGAGAACAAACTCATCAAGAATAAAAGAAACTGATATTACGAGCTTTGTATATTAAGAGACTGTATGAGAAATTGATACTGTAAGCTTCACATGTAGAAAAGCTGTATATTAAAATGTCAGAGAAAAAATCTGGTCTATAAAACGTATAAAAATTTCACATATATTATTTTGTTTTTTTATTACTTTTATTATTTGTTTTCCTTTAATATCTACAAAATCTGAGCACGTTTTTCTGTTTGGTATTTATGCTCGTATGATTATTATAAAAAAGTGCAATCGCAGCAATCTTTAATAAGTTTCACAAAAAAGAAAAATTACATAAGATTAAATATTTATTAATTTTTTCACTCCCGAAAAATTTCCATGTTTGTTCATTAAGTATTATGTTGTTCATTTTTATTTATTTCTTAAGGAATATTAAAGTCTAAAAGTTTTTTAAAATCGAGGAGGAAAAATATTAATATTAAATATTAATATTTTTAAAATATTAAATATTGTTTAAATATTATTCAATATTAAATTTTCTTTAATAAAGACGCCAGAAATGATCCAATATTAATTTTGCAATACTTTAATTCTCTGTATCATATTTCTGTTCAATATTCTAGACGATATGAATTTAAGACGAGAACATTAATCTCAAATCTTAATAACTTTACCACTTTTGTCTTATCCTTAATGTAAAGAGACAGTAGATGGATAGATGGTAGAGATAATTAGTTTTGCGATATTAGATAAAGAACTCCCCTCTCTTATGTGCGATTATGATTTCTTGGCGAAGTACAATTCCGCTAGGAATATGACGGTGCAGAAAAATAAACCAATTGAAAGTCCGATAAACGTAAGAGAATAATGCTCCATGTTCAATTGAATTTTTCTCTCTTTCTTGTCCACCTTTCTTTTCTGCTTAATTATATATATCGGATATGTCATATTTTCATACCATAGATTAATGAGGCCCGTTTGCTGCATTCGTAATAGCAATACATTGACTCTGTCCCGATACGGTGAATGCAAGCTCATTACGTAGGACAATAGATAAGTAGTTGGGCACTCCTCGACTCGATGAAGTAACTCGTTACCGTCCGCATCGAAGTACTTGGAGAGATCGTCCAGTTTGGTCGAAGAGTAACGAGCGATGGCGATTACCTTCTTGCCAAAAGCCACCAAGTCGTTGATCGGTTTGTCGGAAATTATTATTTTCGTTTTACTGCGTAACTTTTTATCCAGCGTAGTATTCTCCGCGAAGGTGTGCTCCTTCAAATTGCGATATTTCGTAACAATGGTGAGATTCGAGTTGGCGACATCCTCCAAAGTGTTCAGCTCCGGATAATGGAAAGGATTGCTCAAGCCGGACACGAGGTAGCTTTGGTAGAGATCGACGATGATGAGTCCGAAGAAGAGGGTGCCGAATAAGAAGGCTCGCTGAGACATGCTACCTGGACCACCGTTCTCCTTCAACGGATAACACGAGGTTTCGACGAGATCGAAACATGACTCAATATAAGGATGTATCCTTGGTGGTAAATTCGATCGTTGTGAAAAAACAAATTCCACCCTCGTTAAAGGAAGTAGGACGGTCTCTTGTCGGCGAAACGATCCGCTGTAGTACTTGATAAGGAACCACAAGACGGACACGAGAACATTGTATATCGCGAGAGCCGTCCATAAATCGGAGGCGAATGGCATTATCGGCATGTATGACTTAGGAATAAAGCCAGCGGTGGGTGCAATCAAGCACAGTTTATCCTCGTAAACGCTGGCTGTAAACTCGTACCTTTGATATTCATGATATTGATGGATGAAGAAACTGGTAATGATAATTTCCGCATTATTGTCCTCGATATATTGAAGACTACTATGAAAGGGATCTTGCCAATTCGCTTTAGTGAAATTGGTTGAAAGCACGTTGATGTTAAAATGAGCCCCCATCGATTTCTCCAATAAAACCATCGCGTTCGCGTCCAATCCTTTGTACTCGTTTGTCTTCGTATCCTTGTCGAACGTAACATCCATCATCAGTGATCGGAACACAATTACACGTATAGGATATCCATTTAGATTCTCGAAGTTTGTGTAAAGCTCAATATTGTTTGTTCGATTCGTTAAACAAATCTTGCGCACAACACCATACTCGTTCTGCCGATTCTTGTCAAACGGTAGATATCTGCTTAGACATCGAAAATCATCTTCTATTGAGACAAAGATGATTCTGTAGACACTGTAAGTTTTCCAAATCGTCTGAAAAATGTCGCGCGACAATGGGATTGGAGCAGTAATGATCACCAGATACTGATTGGTAGCTTTCCATATGTAGTTTTCGCGCATGAAAAATTTCAAAAGATTAATATTGTCGATGAAGAAGATCCACGTGAGATCGATGCGATTCTGCCATGTGTACTTCTGCGAGAGATCATTCATCGTGATTTTGTAACTGACAATCGACTCACTTGCTATGTATTTTGATACAAGATCTACAAAGTTGGATTGAATATCGGAGAAGACGAGAGAAAATATCGGCGGACAGAATTCTTGCTTGTTTCGAACATAATTCAAGATAATCTTCAAATTTTCGTTCTCCATCGATTTTAACGAATGGCTTTCTCTAGCAATCTTGTACGTGTTTGTCGTGCTTTTTGCTGCCGTCAACATCGACATCACCAAACAAAATGATATTGTCGGTGACATTTTAGCGTACTGTGGAAGCTGCTCCCCTTTGAAATGTCAAATCGTATTTGGGGTGAGCCTACTTGATTTGCTTCATGAACAGTGGTAAACAGGAAGATAAAGCGCGAGTTTTATACATGTAGCTGTAGGATCGACATACATAGTTAAAAAGCGTCATACATAGTTAAGAGAAAAGAACTTGTTGAAAGGCTGTCGCGTTGTAGTAGATATAAATCGTGGGCGTGTAGATAAAAAAAAAAATTGAAGAGATTAATCGCGGCGCAAGAAGGTTAATAGCGTCGCGGTAGAGTTTTATTGCATTTTGATGAGCTTAACTCTTCATACGTGTATCTATAAATCATTACTCGAGTTTTGACCGCGCAAAAAGAAAGACAGGCAAACGTCATAAATCATTCACGATTCGAAAGGATATTAAAATGAAATTCGCGAAGCACTGCTCGGACGTTAAGTCGACGATTTCTTTTTCCAGAAAGTTTGAAATTTACCAATACATCTTCTTGCTTTTCTTTTATTCCTTAGAGAAAATAAGTTTCTTGTTAAGCGTTGCAAAAGTATCTTCTTAGAAGAGACGCTGGAAACGATGAAGTAAATCAATCTCTTTTATTTTTTCGAATATCTTTCTAATGAAAGAACGTGCTGATATGCATTTGCTTATCCTCCAATATAATTTCAATAATGCGCTTTTTTCCCTCTGAAATATTAAAAGGCTATTATTATAGCATTGTGTGTTATCGTCCAGATATGCGCATTTTTGCTGAAGCTAACAATTCCGTATCGCACTAAGTGTATATATACATGGATTTTCACAAGAAAAACTCATTACAGATAAAAATACAGTGAAATATACGCGATCCCGATTAAGCAGTTCGCGTAATATGTTATATGTGCACAATCCGCTTTAATCCCTTTTTAATAAAAAAGAATATCGTCGTTCTTGCCTTTTGGTACCTTATATTTACCTCAGGTATATTGAGCAAACGTTTGCTTCTCTTCGCGAACGTCAAATTCCCGACGTGTCATTAAGTTAAAAGCTTATAGGACGCAATGATTCTTGCGAGTGCAAACATCGATGTTGATTTTCATATTGTGAATAAAGGTGTTTCTCTCCAATTTCTATCATCGCAAGGAAAATAAAATTGACTGGAAATGATTGAAAGAAAATAATAAAAAATTAATTATATATTTATATTTTCTGGTATATCAAATATATGTTTATAAAAATAAAATGTTTCAATTTATTCATATTTTATCTTCTATTCAGTTAATAATTAAATTGTGAAATATGTGAAATATGTAAAGTATATATTCATCTCTTTCTTTTTATATTAATATTATAATTTATTTCAATATAATTTTAATTATAATAAATTCCTTTCAATGTAATTTTAATTGTAATAAATTCCTAAAAGTATTACTAAAAATATGAGGGGACGCAGAGAAAAATGCGATTAAGAATTGATCTGGCGCTCTCTACAAATTGAGAATAAATAATATAGATGATAGGTTTATTAGGTTTTATCTGCAATCTAAAAAGCATGAAATATTTATCTTTGTAAGCATATGAGTTGAAGACCTGTCCAATATGACTAGCCGAGCGAAGGAGGGTCAATAAGGGTAACGATAAGGGTGAGTGATGTATGATTTGACTATATATATCGAATGAGAGTACGCTAGAGGAGGAAAAATTCCGGAGGATCCGGTGTCAGTATTAAATTGTATAAATAGGAAAACACTCATCCTTCCTTGATAAGAGGTTCGCAAACATGGTACGTCGATACATTTTTGCTATTACGAAATATTCTCGTTCTCTCTTATTGTGTATTTACGTAACTCTTATTCGCAGTTAATTCGTGAATTTGCCCTCGTAGTGTTATTATTTCCACCTACACTCCTGGGCAATGATTATCGATGGTATCGCGCTGTTGAATTTTGGAGCAGCGTCGTTTGTTCTATGGAAAATTCCAAAACCGTCCATTTTCATGGCGTGCTCGATAATAATAAAAGCTCTATTCTTTTTGAACGATGCTTCGAGGCTTTTGTACGCAGCATCGCTCGTAAATGCTCGACGACAACCGTATTGAGGACCTATACATTTCCCGACTTAGGAAATACATCTTTTGTAGATGATAACAATGTAATTTGCGGGATCGCAAAGGAGCCGTCGATGTGGAAAATTACATCTAATAAGCTTCCTTTTCTAATAACATCCGCGAGAGTTGAAAGGATCCAAAATGACAAAGCCTTTGGGAAGAACACGTGGAACGTGCACGTGATTCTCGCAAAGAACATTCATTCTTTCGATAAAATTTCGAAGGATGGCTCGACGTTCGAATGGAATCCGTACGATCGATTTATTATACTGATCGTTTGTCAAGAGGAAATGTTATATAAGTCGAGGCTTGATGACATTTTAAAGACATTATGGTCTAAACATAAGATGCAAAGCATTTTAGTTGCCGAAACGATCGCTATCGCAGATAACACTCGAATTGATCAAGCCATTCGTATTTACAATCCGTTCGCCAAAGTCAACGATTCTGGTTCGTAATCCTTAGTTATCGATTAAGTAAATAAAATTGATAAGTAATGAAATTATTCTTGATATAATTATTCATCGATTCTTCTGCAGCTTTTGTTATAAAGTAATATTTGCTTAATTTTTCAGCGTATGGTCGAGTCGAAATTATAAATGTAAAAACGGTAGGAGAGGCGTCGAGTCTGCTATCTCACTTAAGCTACTATCAAACAAATAATATGAATGGATACGAATTAAAAACAGGGGTCTTCTCGAAAGACGAAGATATGAGTGACGAGGAGAAAATGGGACTGAGCAAACGTTACAATAATAATCGTAGTTTCAAAGAAATTGACCAAATAATACTGAATACGATAGCTGAACACATGAATTTCACATATAGACAAATGCTTCCAAAGGATAATAAATTTTTCGGCTATCAGTTATCTAACGGGACGTACGTCGGTGCTATAGGTATTAATGTAACGATATTTCTGTGGAATTATTTGCTAGTATAGTTCATTTTATTTCTGTTCCGTTTTTCTTTTGATTGTCGTACGATAATAACTAGCTTACACAGGCGATGTAATATACGGTAGAGCGGACATCTGCTTCGAATCCTTTTTCATAAAGAAATATAGTACTGATCCCGTGGAGGACGTAAACTTCAGTGTATATATGGACTTCGACAGAGTATGCGTGATTGTTCCTAAAGCAACCAAGATACCCAAGGGGCTTCGACTATATCACTTTTTTCCGCTCTCAGTTTGGATCTGTACAATGTTGTCGCAGATCTTTGTGTACCTAACGTCGTATTTACTGCAAATCTTTACTCCAGGAAGGTAGATGCATATCATTAGAACATCAGTCGATTATTTATATGATGTAAGCGAAAAGACACATTCATGCTTTCAGAACGAAAAAGCTAAGTTTCTCTGCAACGATCTATCGATTGTTTTTATTGAACATCGGTTGCTCTCAAAAGTGGCCAAACACGAATGCTGAAAGAATATTACTATCGGGCATTTTCCTCACTAACATCACTATAACTAGTCTCTTCAGTGGTATTTTATACAACAGTTTCGCGCATGATATGTATTATCCAGATATTGAGACTCTTTACGATTTCGATGCTTCGGGATTGCCGATTTCATTGGTATCTCTCGGTCTAGCTGATATCTTTGACGATGATAACAGTTCGATACTCATGCGAAACTTGCAAAGTAAATTGCGATATGGTGAAAACGCCGTACCCAATGCGGCTTATTATCGAAATGGCTCGGGACTTGCCAAAGAAAAATATTTCCCATACGTTGATGCGCGACACGTCGATGAGGATGGTGGTCCGTTGCTTCATCTTATCAAAGAATGTCCAGGTACGATGTTGCGTGAAAAAAAAAACGATATTATTCATAATAATAATCTTTTCACATACACATATTAATACCGCTATTGTATTAGGTGCATTCTTCTTATCGTATTTGCTGCCCAAGAATTCGATTCTGCAAGATGGAATAAACACGTGGATCGGTCGAATGAATCAAGCCGGTTTAACACTGTTGTGGGAGAAACAGACCATTCATACTTATGTTGTTCAAGCGAAGGCTGATCAAAAGAAAAGGAAAGCTCAAAAGAAAACGATCGACTTCGTGCCATTCAATCTATCCGATGTGCAATCTTCGTTTTATATGCTGCTGATAGGGCTATCGGTATCTGCGATAGTATTTTTGCATGAGAAAGGCTGGCTGAGAAGTCGATTATTGCGCACCAAGAAATCAAACTCGGAATCTACTATCGGATGCTAGTCATGAAACCGTAGATAGAACCACGCCTATTTCATTTCAGTTCTTTCCTTTGCGAGATTTTTTTTTAAGGAAATTGCAAAAGTACGCATAAGCGAAGTATAAAAAAAGATATAAAGAAGAAATATTTCTTCTTTCACGCTCTTGTTTTCTTCCGTTTTTTGTTCCAATTCCCTCGATTATAGGCGAATTATTGTAGTAAATCTCAATGAATCCAGTAGAGAGAGCAATCTGATCTAATGGCAATTTTATCTTTTCATATTTAAATAGAAAAATATAACACAAGATATAAGATATTATTGTGCTAATATTTTAGACTAACACATCAATACACGCGAAATGAATTCAGTAGGACTTATTGATAGGACCCATAATTGATCGAAGATGAGAAAAATCGCAAATAAAAAGAAATATAGATGAAATTGTATACTTTTTTCACACATACACACATACATAAATAAATATTGTCTTCAAACTAATTTATCCCTAGTACAGTTATTAACATATATATATCTTATAATTTGAACTGAAAGCGCATACTTGTTTGATGGATCACATTCAGGACAAAGATACACACACACACACTATTATGGACCATTGACGTCCTGCGCGCAGGCTCTTTCACAAGAGCAGTGAGGAAAACGTTGAGAGGGAGTGAAGGATGCTCGTGAATTTTCGCCAATAACATCGCCAGTAGCGCGACAATCCACCGACTGGATCTACTCGTGGTAGCGTAACCTGTTGCCATGACAAATCTCGGACGACGAAGTGCACAAAGTGTTACTAGTTACTAATGATACAATATTCATTTGATTTTTTCGACGCATTACATGTGTAAGTGCGTGCGTGTATGTGTACGTGCGTAAGATAATTCGAGTTTGTTGTCCTTACAAATGTACAAAATATACGGTTTTGATGGTATCGTTTTTTTTTCAGATTCTAATTTTCTCGAAAAACGAGCGAAAAAGAGATACTTTACTACTAGAGGAATTAAATAATTCAGCGAGATATATTTCATCAGCAAAAATGGAACATATTGTAACATACAGATCTTGATATAATTAAATTTTGATCGACCTGTCACGCGTCAATCTACCTTTGCATAAGTAACAGACATTTTTTTCTTCTTTTTTTCTCTCTTCCTTTTTTATTTCGTTATAGTCTTGATGAATAAACATAGAAAGTTGCAAATCACTCGAATGATTTGCTAATTTGAATCGTAGAACATAATTAGTTGCGAATTAAAGATATATCAGCTGTTAAGTGGAACAGAAAATAATAAGATCGGCGACACAGCCAGCGTTACAAATACTTGCAGTTATGCCAGAAATGAAGATGCGAATATTCTTGTCGGATAGCGGAATAGAATATCGCGATAAGTTTTCATGCCTACGGGCAAGAGCGCTTATAACAGGTACCGGATATCCTCGAATACATCCGAGCTGCTGAGACATCTGAAGATCCGGGAGATTATGTCAACTATGTTGGACAATTATAAGGATATTTTCCGTAGATTAAATATAACCGACGAAGAGATTAATTACTATGGTCTTGATAATTTGACAAATTATAGAAGTAACTGTATCGAAACGATACATGTTACGTGCTATTGCGACGGTGCGATTCGCGATCTGGCGACGCAATACAAGAATTACCATGGTTATGCTTCCCTTATCGTATGTTCCTTTGGTACACTCACCAATATGCTGAATATCGTTGTCCTCACGAGGAAAGATACAAAGGCGGCACCCATAAATCGCATTCTCACCGGCCTGGCTGTGGCGGACGCGTTGGTGATGTTGGAGTACATTCCTTTCGCAATTTATAAATATTTCGTATTACCAGAGCATAGAATCTTCCCGTATGGATGGGCCGTCTTCGTACTGTTCCATATGCATTTCACGCAGCTTTTTCATACGATCAGTATTGCTCTCACGCTCACTTTAGCCGTTTGGAGATACATCGCCATCAGGTGAGTTTCATGATCTTGAATTCTATTCGAATGTAAAAAGATTAGAAAAACGTTGTCTTATGTTCTCTTCTGTGTATATGCACCAGATTTCCGCGTTACAATTATACTTGGTGCACTGACAGACGTTGTACGATTGCTCTTTCGTGTAGTTTTGTTGCTCCGTTTTTTGCCTGCGCTCCTAGCTATCTTATATTTGGAGTAAGTAAACGTCAATTATATTTTACTCGATGTCATAGTTACGCTTACAATAAATTTAAATTTCACTATGTCAGATAAAGACAAAGATCATTTATGAAAACGGCACCAAGGAGATTTTGTATCACGTGGACGCTGATTGTTCCATTGATAAAGGATTCTTGTATCAATTAAATTTCTGGATACTTAGCGTAGTTGTTAAACTCTTGCCGTGCGTCCTTCTCACCATCATCATTTGCTGGCTGATAAAAGCCCTTTATAGGTAAAATAATACAGAATATTATATTAACAGATTATTTAATAATGTACATAATTACGTTCTCATAATTCGCGTTCTCATATACTTCAACATTTTACTTGATTAAAAGGGCAAAAGGTAGGAAACAAATTTTGAAGAACTACAATCACTGTACCGCAAAGGCGGCTAAGCCAACCTCATCAGGAATCTCCGATCTCGATTACGATACATCGTTCGATAAAAAGGATGAATGTCCGCGACAAGTGAGTAAATCTGACAAGCGAACGGACAGGACAACGAGAATGCTTGTAGCGGTATTGCTGTTGTTCCTGATAACGGAAATCCCTCAAGGCATTTTGAGTTTACTTTCTGCAGCTTTGGGGGATTGTTTCTTCCGTAATTGTTATCACAAGTTTGGAGAAGTGATGGATATCTTTGCGCTATTAAACGGCAGCATAAACTTTATCTTATATTGTTCCATGTCGCGGCAATTTCGTATGATTTTTGGACAATTATTTAAACCTAGGATCATAAGCAACTGGCCAACGATGAACCAACACCAAACCGATGTACAAAGCACATATGTTTAATGAAAGAGATTTTATGGAATGTTCTCTCTGTTTTTCAAACATAGAATTTAAAAGAGCATGTAATCTATTTATAATGAAATATCTAAATGTGCGTTATAATTTATAAATATATAATGTTATATGATTAATAAAAAATTAAAAAATAATCTTAAATAATCTAGATAATAATCTAAATAATCCAGATAAAAAAGAAAAGATTTCAAATCAACAGAATCAAAATATATATATTATTTACAGAATATACTACAAATTATATTACCTTTTCATAAAAATTATTACAACTTTGTTAATAAAATTAATTATAATTATAATTATCGCATGTATGCAAACTTAAATAAATAAATTTAATAAGTAATTTTTTAATTATGCATACACGCATTTATATTTGATTCTGTGATTTCATCTAGTTAAATGTATATCTTTTCAAATATCATGTAAATAAATGTTGCGTCGTTAATTAATCTATTGTATCTTACTTGTGTGTAAAATATGCTACAATAGAAATGTAAAATGTGGTAATGTTTCAATAAATAATTTCGTTAAATTTCTGTATGGATGTAATATGCAAATATCCTCTCGGTAAAAGAGGGTGAAAAAGAAAAATGTAGTTTTTAAACTTCATCAGCACTTAATTGTCGCTCTTCACTCTCTACAACTGGCAACTCTTGATTAGTATTTAATTCTATTTTTTCACGCTGCAATTTCTTCGACAATTTTTTCGCCATTTGTGATATCTGTATATATTATAATGTATTATAATATAACATTATAATCATGTAATTAATATGCTACATATTCTGTCAAATGTAATGTCCTAAAGTTTCGATTTTTACCTGCATATCAACGTCAACAACAGCCATAATATCATTAAGTGCTGTCAACATTTCAGTAGCATTAGCTTGTTTACCACGAGCGTCAAGAATTACTGCATAATTAATCAATATTAGTGGATCCTGAGGAGCAAGGGCGTGAGCTTTCGTCAAGGATCTCTCGGCACCTTCTAGATCATCTAAACGTTTCAGAGCCACTGAAATATAAAAAGAATAAATTTAATAAAGGATCCGCGAGTGGAAGAGACGCTTTCGATCAATATTCCATCAGCGAAAAAAGGCTCGCGTAAAAACTTCAGGATTAATAATAAGCTTTTTACACAGAAAACATGATTCAATGTGGAAAGCTGTTTCTTTAAATATATCATTGAATCGTTCAATATTTTCTACTTACGACCTAGCAACAGATACGGTGTAGGATTTTTTGGTTCAGCGCTAACCGCAGCGCATAAATAAATCGCGGCAGATGCGGGTTGTCCAGTGGTGAGAAAAACGATTCCGAGATTGCACGACGGAACACAGGACATCGGGCTCAAATAATGCGCTCGTTTCAACGAGCTAATAGCCTATGAAACATTGGAGAAGAAATTTTATTTCTCTCAATAAAATAATTCAATAATAATTCTTCTTCTTAATCCCATCATTATTTTTAATAATATCGATAATGATGCAATTTTATCTGTAATGAACTTGTGATATATAATGCAATTTTCTGTTTTAATGAACTCAATTTTACGATAAGTTTTGTATATCGAGTATAGTGTATAATTTGTATACTGTTTCACCTATAATGTAACTCATTTTCGTTATTAAGCGAAAATTTGCAAACAAATTATTTCTCTGTTAATCGACAAGATGTAATCTCGCTTTTCAACTTATATTTTAGATGCTATCTGAAGTATATATAGTATATAGTTATCACCACAGTAAAACAAGAACTAGAGTGTTATCAACGTGCCACGATGCAGTGCAATATTGTGGTTTCCCACTTAATTTCAACATATTCCCAAGAGATGTTCTCTCTACTTCTCTTCATGATATCGCGATTCAAAATTTTTACAAGTCACATGGCCACTATTATTTTATAAATAAATCAACGAACATATGGTTTTCTTTTTTTCTCTCCTCTTTTCTAGAATATTCGATGAATCGTATTATGCGAAATGCAAAACGATGCAATGCAACTCGGGAAAATTCTCTATGTCAAAGTTCTCTGTGTCTGATATCTGCTGCAAATATCAAATGCGAATATCAGGCTACAAGCTTTTTAGTAACTAGATCACTGATTGTATTACACACTATTCAGTTAAGTAAATATTTCTAGCAACGGAAATATATATAAAAAAAAAATTTGTCTCTCTTTGTTTTCGTATGATAGTATATTTTAAAAATCAATATTTTAATTATAAATTTTTTCTCTTCTTTTATTATATAGAGTTATTGTAAATTTATGTGCTGAAAAAGAGAAAAAGCGGAAAAACAGAAAAGAAAAATGGATTGACTTACAGCAACGTATTTTTGTTTTGAGTAGAGACACATTCCGATATTATTCCAAAGCGCTGAAGATTCTGAAATGATTTGTGCTGCTACTTTATACTTTGATAAGGCTACATCATATTCTCGATGATTCTGAAAAATATGATTATTCAGTAAAGCGCAAGAGCAAATTCCGCACGAGAGAAGCGTGAGGATAAGTAATTAAATCTCCATTTAATAAATGTGATATACGCCTTTTAGTTATCTGTATTAGCATAGTAATGCAATAACACTGTAAAAATTAATGAAATAAAACTTCTATTCAGGAATGAAAGAATTTAATGGAATTGAATGGAAAAATTTTGGAGAATTTGAAGAATTTTAAAATTAATTTGATGAAACAAATATGAAAGAATGCAAATTAATCGATAAATTATGTTCGTAAATTAAAGAAAAATGAAAAAAATATGAAATCGAATTTTTTAAATAAATTCACGCACCTGCATTATATAAGCCATGGGCAAAATCGCTTTAACGCAATTAGGCGAATAAGCTAATGCCGCTCCAAATTGCTGAAATGCTCGTTGTGTATCTCCAATTTTTAGATACAAGAGACCCAATTCCGTCGCTGCGTCGATACTCTCGGGATTAGCGCTGAGCGGCAAGGAAAGCAAAAGATTATTATGTTGAGATTATCGGGTCAACACAAGAAGAAAAGAAAAATATAATGGGAAAAATAAGAAACATATCATGAGAAAAGAAGGCTAGTAGAAACGAACGAATTAAAAACTACTATATTAATAATAAATAATAAATGGTAAATAATAAATAATAAATGATGAATAAATAATAGATGATAATGAAAAATATTAAATCAAATCATATCACTATATAGAAATCGAAGTAGCATTTCTAGAATTTTTACGTGAATTCATGCGGCTAATGATGTTACTTACTTTAAAGCTGCCGTATAAGCATTTCTGGCTTCTGGAATCATATCATCTAGAAAATAAAGTCTTGCAAGAGCAAGATTGGGCAATTCGTTTTTCGTTAACTCGGTTGATCTCTTGAAATGCTTCTTACCCTCTTGTAATTGATTCAATTTCACGTAAGCTTCACCTAAACAAAACAGAAAAAATATCCGACGTAAACAAGACATCATTATGTTTCACAGAAAAAATATGCAAATAAGTTTGTGAACAAAATGAAAGATTGTATACAGAAATATCTGCAAAATTATGCGCAAAAAATATCAAGTTAAAGAGAGTAAAAATGCATAGTACATTATCGTTAATAAAGTAATATTTGTTGAGTGCACTTCTCCAGAAGTTTGCAAAACTTGGCAAACACGCGCTACGCGAAGTGTATCGTGCCGTAAAACGAATTAGAGGAGAACTTGCCAAGACCGTAATATATTTCCCAATCCGGTACAGCGGATATCTTCTCGGCTTCCGTGTATGCGTCTATTGCACGCCTATGACTTCCCATTATTAATCTAAAGTAGAGCGTAACATTATTATTACGTGCATCAAACTACAGACAATCCTATTTCCCCAAACTACAGATAATCCTATTTCCCCATCGATAATTACTTACAACGATTTCGCTATCTGTTTAACGTTGTCGATATTTGTCGAATTCACATTGTACGCGGTTTGAAAACAATCCAGTGAATCTTGAATCTTGCCTTCCTTTCTGAGAATTAAACCCTATAAAAATGAAAACGACTGTAGATATGTATTGTGTGAATTACATAAAACGGAAGAGAATTTTATAATAAAAAAGATTTATAAATTTCGAATAAAATCTTGGTCCGTCCCTCAGTGCTTTGTACCATGTAATAATAGCAAGTAACATGTATAACTGATTTTTTTTGTATCGATTCCGTCGATTTCATCGATATCATCTTTACTGTATCGATCACAATCGATCTCACCTTCAAATAACTGGCGTATTCGTGACCGTCCGATTTCATTAGTTCCTGTTCGATTAGTAGCTTGCAAGCACTGAACTCGTGTCTCGTATAATGTCGATGTAATAGCCAATTGCGATTCTCTATAGCTGCTATATCCGGAGCTGCGTGTGTAAACAGAGAGGACGAAAAAACCAGTAAGAAAGAGATGACATTTTCATATATTTTTAAATAAAAAGAGGGAACGCGCATAAATATTCTAAAATCGATCGCTTATTTCACGTACACATTAATAATGTTTGCGATACCTCTTTTGCTTCTGTCATTTCTCGTCCGTTGTACGACTGTATTTTCCTGTAAACGACCGTTACTGAGGACATTATTCGCCATTATTTCCTCTTGAACTAATTTAATTTAACTGTAATAATATTATGGTATAATTCCTTTTGTTTCATGCGCTTTTTGCGCTTGCTCCTTCAACTCCTCTTAATGTTATTCGAAGAAGAGAGAAATGTTATCGCGTTCTATCTCCATGGTAACCGGATAAGCTTCGAGAATATATAAGTCCCGTTCGCACCACACATATGTATATACATATACACACCTGTCAAAATCGAACAATGTCATTGAATGCTTTAAGCCAAATATAATTTGATTCTTATAATCATTCCGATTAAATTAATTATTGATTATATAACTTATAGAATAATTAACAATAACATTTTTAACAACATAATTATAATATTGTATAAGATGTATATATCGGGAATTACGCAAACGAAATGAAAATGATTTCTCGTGCAAAATGTAGAATAAAATTTTTTCATACAAAGCTTTTTCGAAAAAAATCCGTGGATTTGACTAATAACTAAAAATTAGCTTATACATACACACGCACACAACAATTAAATCAATTTACGCTTTTTTAATTCGCCGAATAATATTTTGTGCGAATGACAAAGAAACTTTAATAAAAAGAATTTTTAACAATTTGTAAAATATAAATGCATTATTGACATTTTGCATTGCTTTGATTCGTACCGAATCACACTGTTTATATATAATATAATATAGTATATATATATATATATATATATATATATATATATAATATAATATAGTATAAATATATAATAACATTTTATTCTCTTGCTGAAATGAAATGTATACACGTAGACGGATCTTGAAAGTTGATTTTGTCAAAAACAAAGTATGAAAAAATTTTATTTTATATTTCCAACTTATATATTTGATGAAGAATCATCTTCATTTTATTTGATAATTTTATTCTGTATATAATATGGTAGAAATATTATTATTGATCACCTGTTCCCGAAAGCACGCTATCACTTATATCGACGTTTAAAAATTGTCACTGTGCCAAACGCGATTGATCAATCATGATATTTTATGTTCAATCAGTACGTGAGCAAACAGGTGTCATCTTCTTATTGATAATAAATCTTCATTCCATTTGCATTTTTTACATTCTTCCCTTTCTCTTCAACAGATATATGTATCAATATATATGTACAAATATATGTATATTTATATATCCCATTTTTCGAGTGTAGAAAATAGGAGCTCGAGTGAATTGACGTTTGCCGGGCATGCGCGATAAAATCGACTTGTATGACTCACTGTCGTACCCGCTGTCAACATTGCGGCTTCAGATTCGCGGCGCCAAGTGTCTACGATTTGAACGTTATCTAGTCCGAATGAGCGCGAAATACGATATGTGAAAAATTGAAAGAAGTCGGTTAACGTAATCAGCTGTTTGTGAAGTCCATTGAAAATCACCGATAGAAATGAGATGGAAAAAACGGGCGAAAGACACCGTGTGCGTTGACAGCGCGATACTTGCAACGGAGTGTTATCAAATGCGATAGCACTGACGCATCTCTTATCACTAGCGCTGCAAGATGTACGGCAGATGCTACGACGCGCGTTAACTCGTATATATGTATACATATCTATGTATGTACGGATTCAAGTGTGCTTGCGGTACATAACTGACAATTTCGTGGTATTCTTTCTCGGGAGGTGTACAAATTACAGAGAGAAGAACGGATATGAGGCGCGCAATAAGAGACAATGTAATGTGGAATCGACATCGGCTGAGACCGGGGCCGTAAACAGCTGGTTAGGGTTAGGTTATCTCGTCAGTGTGACGTTGAGAGAGTTGGGAGTATTTTGCTTATCGCTTCTCGACACCTGTTAACACGAATCTTGCTTCACCCTTGACGTTTTCACATTCTGTGTTTCGACATAGAGATAGTAAATGCATTAATCCGTGAGGTCGGCTTCCATGTTTTCCGCCTGGTAACTATTATTATTATTATGCACTTTCAATTGGCCTGAGGGAGAAAGAGATATTGTATAAGTGATATATATCTCTTAATTTAAAATTCTAATAATGTCAATTTTATGTATCTTATATCAGAACAAAAAAGAATATCGTATGATTTTACAGGAAACAAGTATTCAAATGCAATATCATGAAAACAAGAAATTAAGACAGAATGAGCTGCTCCGTAGAATTACGCCAGCGTAGGCAACAGGGGATGGCGGAGGATCCTCATAAACTCGCGGCGATGATGAATAAGTCTCAGAGGCTTATACTAGGACTTTTAATTCTATTACTGGTCGATATAATTTGGGTATCAAGCTCTGAACTTACCAAAGTAAGATCGTTGTTTTGATGTTTACAGTCTTTTCTTATCCTTTACCTCTTTCATTGTAATTATTTTACTTGTTCATACTTATTACCTGCAATTATAAATTACTTTTTTAACTCCTCATTAAATACTCAGAAATTTTTATTATTATTATATATACAATATGAAGATTAATAGTAATAATATATGCTATTTTTTAGTATATTTACAGGGATGCAACCTTTGAGAAACCATTTTTCAGTACATATATAAGGACATCTATGTTTACATTTTATTTGCTCGGCCTGTGCTTTTGGCCACCTTGGCGGGAACAATGTAATAGACCTGCAACATATATGGTATATATTGAAATATATATAATTGCATGAAATATGCTCTTTTTTCCTTTATTGTTATTTTAAGATTTTTGTATTTTTGTATTTTTGTTTTTTTATAGTTTATAGATCCTAATATCGAAGATGACAACTTCTATGCGGAAGCTAATACTAGTCTAGTAAGTATAGGAAATTATTTATAAATATAATTTATTTTTCAGAGTTTCATTTGAATTTCACATTTTTACCTCATATATCATATAAAAGGAACACTTTTTCTAAGTGAATTGAATTGAAAGAGTATATTCCAACTATATCAATAAAATAACTATATTTGAACATGAGATAAAAGTAACTTATTGCTACTAATCTAATAAAGACTTATTCTATTGCAGAGCGACCCAACGTTTGTTCCAATAAAAACTCCAGATCATTGTGACCGCTCATCGGGTACAGAAAGTGACGATTCGTCTATCCGTTCTGTAAGATTTAGTAAACTAGCTGAGGTGCGCCATATGTCAGAAAGTGATGCCACGGAAGCTTTATTGGCACGGCTTAGTTATCAAGCCAGTGTTAGAGCCGGAGAACACGCGAGACGACAAGCTAACAAATTCTCTGTACAAAAAGTGGCTAAAATAGCCCTCATGTTTTGCTTGTTTGTGGGTAACATAATGTAAAATTCAGTCGAGTAAAATATTATTTCATTGCCATTATGCATATATTATCAATATATTATATTTTTTTCCAGTGGTTCATAGCAAATTATACGTATCAGATATCATTAGAACAAATTGAAGATAAAATTGTGATTGTACTGGCATCAACATCTAGTTTATTTACATTATTTCTCGCTGCCTTCTTTCCCAGTAATGGAGGGGATAAGCTTACATTGTCCAAATTAGCTGCTGTATTCGTTAGCTTCTTTGGATTAGTAAGTTGCAAGATTATTAGAGAATTCCAATTTAGAAGTAAAATTCAATTTGTATATCGATTCCATACAATCTCTTAGCATTAAAAATAAAAATGTTTAGTCGATTCACACATTAGATATATAATATATCTGAAAAATATTATTCTTTATTTACAGATATTAGTTGGCATCTCAGATTTGACTGTAGAAAACAATAGCAAGTCAATGGGCATAATATTAGCTCTAGTCAGTGCTTTTTTTTATGCTGCATATATTGTATTTTTAAAAAGAAAAGTAGATCATGAAGAGAAAATGGATATACCTATGTTTTTTGGTTTCGTGGGAATATTCAATTTAACGCTTTTGTGGCCTTTATTTTTTATCCTTCATTACGGTCATTGGGAAGAATTTGAATGGCCCAATAGTCACCAATGGACATTCCTAATTATAAATGGCCTGATTGGTACAGTTTTAAATGAAGTTCTTTGGCTATGGTAATTTTTAAATTTTATAATGCTATATTGTGCATATAATTATATAATAATATAACTCTGATAAGTTTATATATAATTTGAATATTTTATAATTATATCCATAGGGGCTGCTTCTTAACATCGTCTCTCGTAGCGACAATGGCTGTAAGCTTAACAATGCCCATGTCAATGGTAGCTGATGTCCTCTTGAAAAAAGTTGAATACCCCTATATTTTCTACTTTGGAAGCATTCCAATGTTCTTGGCATTTCTAGCAGTGTCTCTTTTTTCTTATTACGATAATTGGGATCCTGTTATGAACTTAATGAAAAGATTTTTTATCTGGATTTGCAGAAAAAACAGATCTACAAGGTAAAGTATATGTCACGTAAGGGTAAAATGAATAATATGTAAATCAAATTATAGCAATAATGCAAAAAGTAAAATAATTATGATAATAATTGTAATCATTAATTGTATAACACATGTATTATATATGAAAGATATGAAAATTGAAATTTCAATATTATTATCAATTCATTTTCAGGATTCCAGATCTTGAAGCGGAGCAAACAGAATCCCTAATAGGGATAGATAGTGGTGATCATGAAGCTTAATATGACAATAATGAGAGGATCGAAAAACATGGTAAAACATTTCATGATATATATATGCCGTCATAATAATTAGATCAATAAGCGCGTGATTCTCTCTTATATATACGTGCCTCCCCATCGGCCGTAAACACCCGTTTCCATTTATATATTTCATTCATACACATTCATTTATATGTCTCAGCGACAGTTGTGTATTACATTCTGATATAACGATCATATAAGATTCCATTTTCTCTATATACATATTTCTAAATATTACTTTATTTCACATTCAATCACAAAATAATATTACTGCCGGACAATAATCATTGTGGGTCAAGTTAACAAACATAACGAACATGATTAACATATTTTATTTCTTCGAATCTATTTTTCCGAAACTACCTCTTTATATTTCTAATCGATTTATCATATGAACACTATGTTTTCATAAACTCTACTAATAAGATCTGGTATATAATTGTTATTTCAAAACTGCAGTTTGGATGTTGCATTTTACTCTATTCTATAATCGAATTCATATAAAAAGCAAGAAATTCAGTGTCTTTAACAAAATCTGTATATAGTAATACAGTAAGAGTTGATTGAAATCAAAGAAATATTCGTTTATAAGATTATACTTTTCCTAAATAATATTTTTTATTGCTATTAAGGCTTAATATACATACACATATATATGTGTATGTATATATGTGTATATATATATATATATATATATATATATATAATCATTGTAACATGTTGAAATGATTAAGGAATAACTTATTGGAAAAGATAGATAGTATTGTGTGAATGCTATAAAAAATTCTTGTGTACACCTAGCGCATTCTGTACTTATTATTTTTAGTATTTAGCTAATTTTAAACAAAGTATTATAAACAAAGTGAATATAGTTTTAATAACTAAAAATGAATGGAAAGAGAGTGTTAATGTGCTTTGGACCAATGAAAAATTTGATAAGTAAAAAGAGAATTTGTTAAAATGATGCATTCCCGGGAAATCAATGATGCAAAGTTTTATATTTGATGAAAACAATGATTTGAATTATATTTCAAATGTCTAGTCAAAACACATCTATGGAGTCAACTATTTATATCAAGTCACTTTCAGATGTATTTTGATAAAGCAAAATGACAAATTTTAATTCCACGATTTATAATTTGATTGTTTTATATATATGCAACACAAATTCTATTATTTAAAAAATAGTTTGATTTGTTGTTTTTTGGTAATTAATGCGCACAAGTTTCACTATGTTTAAATATCGAAAAATATAAGACGAGTTAAAAGTGTGAAACGAAAATAAATTATATTTATTAATTTCGAAATTCAATATGGAAAAGGGATAGTAATTATTCGAAATAAACGTCATGTGAAAAATTAACGTAAATATTTTTCTATAATTGCAAAATTTATTCACGTGTCACACCACGATTTGAAATGTCGTACTTTTAAAAAATTAATACATTTCGATTGATCTCGTAATAAAAATACGATATAATATAATGCATTATTTAATTGTATTAAATAATGCATTATATTATATCATATTTTTATTATAAGTACATTTTCTGACTGTGTAAAAAGGATAAATCGGAGAATCGGAGATTGTATATCTATATTGTACAATATTGGTAATCTGTATAAAAGAAAAAAAAATATTTGGATAAATGTTGGATAAAAAATTGCAATATCTTTATGAGATAAAAATAAATAAGAGAAAAGGGATAGTTGCAATTTTAGATTAACGATGTGATATAACAATAAAATATGGTGCGTAAATTATTTGAGTATAACGCGACCCATTAAATTATTGAACTATTAATTGATCGTTCCTATATGTTATAACCAGACTTGAAATTCAGCTTTTACTTATCAGCCAATGTATTGTGCATAGAAAGATTTTTTTTTGTTCTCTTAATTATGTTTATTTTTAAGATACTTGCTAACATTCTATGCATCATCTCATGTAAAATTTTAAAAGTAATATTTCTCTCGAAACTCAAGACTGGCTATAACTATATTTATTGTATATATATTTGGTGTAAATATCGTATTATATTTTAAAATTCAACTTACAGTTGTATACATATATAAAAATTATGTGATAATAAAATATAATCCTTAACAATCATTTATTTTGTGTGTTCGTATAGTGTGTAATAAGAAACAATTCTGAGACAAATGATTCTAGATAAACAAAACAATTTATAACTTCATGTCACATAAAAGGCGCTCGATGCTGATGAAACATGTAATTGACATGCATAATTCTGCTGCGTGTATATTTTTTTTTAGATTAATATGTCAAGTGGGTTAATTTTTAATGACGTGGCACAATATATATATCGTTATAATTGGGGAATTCTAATGTCCACAATAATAAATAAATCGCGATATGACGCGTGACAACGAAACAAGTGCACTTGAGTTGCATATAAAAGGTAAAATCAATCTCCAAGAATAATAAATCACACTGCTTTTAATATATTTTTTTACAGTAAACGGGCAAAATTTATCAGCGATTTCGGAAAATCGTAATATAAGCACGTTACGGTAAGTATTTTAAACGTAATCACATTTGAATTATTATATATTATTAATAAGGCAAAATTTTTATTCAATTTCTTACGAACGATATTCTTGATGTTAGACCTCCTTCCGATCCATCTTGGCCGAAAATACCTCTACGTCGTTTAAACAATAATGTCAATGATATTATCGAACCGCCATGTGTGGTTACCCTGATAGGAACTCCTAGGAAAGGTCGCAGTATAGTACGACCTGTTACGTGTCAGTAAGCATATTTGTTTTTTACGTATTTTTGAATATTGATTAATGAATTTTGTATATTGAATAAAAATTAAATTAAATAATAAATATAAAATAAATATTGAAAAATATATGAATATTATTTTCGTATATTGGGATATCGCGATCAAATCGGAGAAATTTATTACACTTCTATACATTTCCCTTGCTTTTTTCTTTTTTTTATCTTAGATATATCAGACCGAAATTGAATCAAAAGTACGAAGTACCCACGCATATACCGAAAAGATTGCCCGGTTCCATCGATCCACGTTTTAAAAGGTATTCCCTCAAGGTAGATCCTAATTAAATTTCTCATTAAAGTCCATGTTTCTTGGCTTCGCATCGAATTCTGTTACATGATATGTAACATGGTAATTAGCGTGCGAAACATTCTCTAATATATCATCTTGCGTATTTTTGTCCACGCTTGGTTTCATTAACACAATTTGTAATGCGACACAGGCAGATATCGCGACAGAAGACCGAGAAGCCAGATGAATCTTGTGATACGAAGAATGATAAACAAACGCCAGAAATGCATGTTTCGCAAGAAATTGAGAAACCTGAGGACAGAATGCAAGGAGCGATTGAAAGTGCGGATAATTATGCATGTTATAATGTAAATAAATTATTAGAAAGCGTCAACAAAGAGACCACTGATTGTCCCACTAAAGAACAATTTATTTCGGAAGCCGATTATTGTAAAACGGGTAATTGTGTGTACAAAACTCTCATCGTAAGACGCGATTGCATGTACTAAATTATTCAATTAATCTTCTAGTATGACTATTCCCTTTCAGCCCCGCCATACGTCACTAATGAGCGACGCGAAGATAGATTTCCTCAGGTAGAACAACAAGTAAGCCGCTTATAAAACCGCGATCATTATCGTTGACATTAAATATTAAAAGCGTACTATTTATCATACATATCTACACGTTTCAGGAAACTGGTAGGTCGCTACTTTTAATGGTTGATGAAAAAAAGATATTGCCTATTAACGCTTTTAACATAGAAGCTGCCGCTTCTTCGGACGTGCAGCCATTGCAATGTTATAGTGTACAAATTCCTGTAGTTGCCTATCATAATGTACCTTTACAAATATCAAATATATCAAAACAAATGCAAGAGAATATTAAAATTGAATGTCAGAGCGATAGAATGAAAGATAGAGAATCTGTCGGGAATATCGATCCAGCGTCAACTTTGATCAATTCGATTTATGACTCCAAAGAACCTGAAAAGTATCCACTTAACGGTAATGAATTATTTGCAATAATTTGTATCGTTTACATTTTCATCTTACGATGATTATATAAGATGTATATATAAGATGTTTCAAAAAAATATTTATGTGATATCTTAATTTAAAATATAAATTTAGATTTTTTCAAATTTAGAAATTTCAAAATATGAAAGATAAGAAATAGATGAAAAAGTTCCTCTAAAAATATGTTCCAATATTTTTGTTGAAAAGATATTGACACATCTAGACTTTTTTGAATATAAGATTTTATGTGAGTAAAATTATTATCAGATTATAATAAATAAATTGACAGTATTCAACTGTATTATTACTAGAAAATATGAACTTTCTCTCACGACATTAGTATAATCGAGCTGAATAGCTGTAATTATTTCAAGTTTGATTGATTTTTCTTTATAAAGATTAGCATCAAGGCAATTATATTTTACATTAATATTTTTATAAAGATAATTTATTAAAATATTAAACAATGGAATATTACTTAATGATATTTATAGTATTTATATACTTTTGTAATATGACAGACAACTTCGTGTTAATAACTGCATAATAACTTTATCATTTTTAACCATAATTTTATATTAATATTTTTAATAAGATTTTTGCGGGATCTAGAAATAAATTCTTTTTTTTAGATATTCGAGAACATAATACGAAGATCGATATTCCGGGAAATAAAAGTATTTCATGCTGTAAAACACCCGATTGCATATACAATAAAGAAGACGTTAACTCGAGTGTTTCACTAAATCAGGATATTGTAAACGACACTTTGCTCGATAAAAGTCATCGTGAAAAATTTAATACGATAGATAACGCGAATATTGTGGAAGATGGTGGAAGTTCCTCTAACACGACTACGGCTAGAAGATTGAAAACTGTCGAACAAAAATGCAATATAGATAATTCGAATACCATGGAGAGACGCGGAATTGAGCGGAAAACATTGAGCGAGACGAAAATAGCAAAAACTTCGCTACAAGAACAGAAACTCATATATCACGATAAGAATAGACAAGTCGGTTTAGACAAATCCTCGACAAACATAATGAATAACAAAATATTCAAGAGGGATATAGCCTTTAATGAAGTCAAAAATAAAGAGCTAAAACGTAAAACTGCGCCGATAAATCTATCGCGAAAGGCCAAATCATTCTTTCGAAAAAAATCTCGTTTGGCGATTACAGATTCCGATTGCACTTTGATATTGCCCGGTTCGCGTCACGTTAAAGGTAAGCAATACGAGAAAAGCCGCTTGAAGGTAAGTCAATTATTGCATAGAAGAAACGGGATAAATGGCACGAAATCTACAATACGAATAAAATCTAATAACGCGAAATCCAATCGACAAATAAACTCTTGTTCATTGACGAATTTACAAGCCAAGGGGGATTTATTCGAGGAACCATCGTCCATCCCTTTAGAGACACAGGAATTGTTGAATCAGAGTTATTGGGAATATTATTGGAAGCTCAGGCGTAAAATCGCATCGGCTAATAAACCGGATAATACGGGAGACAGAGAATGTTTGCCGGAATCCCAAACCCTCCAACAATGTTCCGTGCTCTCTTCCATGATCAATACGGCACTTCGAGATTCGACAGCTGCTGATGGCAGATCGTTTTCGGATCCGACCTTTAATGTGCGCGAGAATGTTCGTCATGAAACTTCCGGGGAATTTGCAAAGAAAGCGAAACGAAGGAAAACGAAGCGAGCGAGCAAACGGTTGCTCGGACTTAGAATTATAGGTATACATAAAGATTATGTAAGAATCGTATATACATATGTGTAATGAACGATGAGAGCTATCTTTTTTTTTCCTATTCGAAGAGACTCAAAGTATCTCGAATTCTTTTTCAGCTCTACTCAGTATCTCGATATACGTCGCGGTCATATTTCTGCCTATGTTGTACGACTATTTCTTTGACGAGGAATACGAGAACGATTACGTGGACACGAATTACATCGAACTGGCGCTTCAATATGTTGCATCGTCGTTCGGAGAAGCCTTCGATGGAATTATCGACATCTTGAACACCCTCCTTTTACGTCCAGTAAGAATCGATTAAACTTATATTAAACGTTGTATATAAATATATATTATTCGTTCTACATTTATAATCCATTAAATCGTGAAAATTGGATAAAATATTCTATAATCGTGTTATTTTCAGCGTCCCTGTGGAAAATGCAACAATGTTATTTGAATCCATCGTGTATTCATACATCTTCAACATGTTTCGTCACTTACGCTTATTCGTGTTGTTTCCTGTTTTTTACACGCGTCTAATTTTTGCGTGTGAGTTATGCGTCTTCTACGTCGAACTTTTTATATTTTTCTAATGATATTTTCTACATGCCTATTGTGCAACATGAGTATTTATACATGTGATTATATGTATTTGCGATTAAACTTTTCTTCAGATCTGAATCAAGCCTCGACTTCTTGTCTTTGTCTCTCGCATAACATCATAGATTTTTATTTAAATGATTAATTTTAATAATAAAGTGTATAATAAAACAAAGCGAAACAAGCAAAGCATATAACCTCGATGTGTTGCAAGAAAAAATTATGATACGAAGATTACGTTAAAATTAAGAAGCTGAATTAATATTGCATATTGTGTGTAATCTTACATCAAGAAAGTGAGAAGGACATTATCAAGGATTACATTTACATTATTTTAAAATTGAAAAGATAATACTTACACAAAGTTACAACTGCGCATTCTCCGTTTGAATCTTGAAAATGGAAATAGCCGTGAATTATGCGGCAAAAAGTATCCATCACTTGTATCTGGACATTGTAGAAACTTGTCAATTAATAATCATAAACGCACTAGTTTTCAGTATATCAATTTTGAATATATTACTGACGATACAACGATATCGAAATAAGGATATTTGAAAGTATTCCGCTTTCGTGGCACCAACAGTTGTCCATTGTTGCGAGTGGATGCGCAGTGGCTGGATTTTTTGCGCATGCGTAGTGACCGAATTCTTCGCGCATGCGTAGTAACAGCCGTGCAGTACGAATGGCACGAGCGTAAAGGTCTTGACTGACAACATTAAATAGATAATATATATTCTAATATTTAAGAGTTTGCTAAGAAAGAATTATTATAAAAAATAAAATTAGAAAAGTTGTTAAAGGAATTTTTTACGGACGATTAACGACGCACTTTTTGTCTTGTGTTATAAATACTTTGCCGCCTTCATTCCGCGCATGCATGGACAGTCTAGCTGACGATATCACAGTGGTGCCAACATTGCTAACAGCTGTCTAGTGGATAAAGGCATCGTGCACGTTTGGAACTCGGTCATTTCGTCTGGCGGCTTCTCCGAGGTTGTCTCGAACGCACGTGGCCACGTGTTTTTCATTGCTCCGAGAATTTTCTCAGAATCAACGGGGTGACCAGGAGTGAAAACGGCCGTAGTGTTTCGGATTGATAATTAGAGAAAGAGAAGCATATTAAAATTATGGCGGCTTACGTATTAGGCAACGTAAAACCGGCAGACATGCCGCTACCGGACGATGGCTTATCCGCCGAACAGCTACTTGGTGCAGGTGATGGTCTAACTTACAACGACTTTATCATTTTACCGGGTTACATAGATTTTGCGGCGGAAGAGGTCGATCTGTTGTCACCGTTAACTAAGAAAATCATGCTGAAAGCGCCCCTTGTCTCCTCCCCTATGGACACCGTTACGGAATCGGACATGGCTATCGCTATGGCCCTGTCCGGCGGAATCGGGATAATACATCACAATTGTACCGCCGAGTATCAAGCCAACGAAGTGCACAAGGTATTTTATAACAAATTTTCTCTCAACAAATCGTTTTTAAGTCCGAAAAAATTAAAGTATCCAAGCTATATATTTTCAAAGTTTGCATAGAATCTGATGTAATGTTCTTATTTTATGAGAAATTTCTTATTTCCTTTACATATATCGTGCAGAAGTAATTATGTAAACCTCTTGTTGAATATATATTCATTCCTATAGTATACATATAGTATAGTATAGTGGTATACATACACATATATATCTGTGTATATATACCTATATGTTTGTATCATTTTTAGGTCAAGAAATACAAACATGGTTTTATTAGAGACCCAGTTGTATTGGCGCCACATCATACAGTCAATGATGTTTTGAATGTAAAAGCTGAGCATGGATTTAGCGGAGTGCCTGTCACAGATACCGGTAAAGTTGGTGGTAAACTGCTAGGCATCGTTACTTCTAGGGATATTGATTTCCTCGAGCGTTTGCCGAATTATCAATTTAAAACGCTTAATTCGATAATGACGACTGCAGAAGATCTAATCACCGCACCAGCTGGTGTAACATTGCAAGAGGCAAATTGTATTTTGGAGAAGTCTAAAAAGGGAAAACTTCCCATTGTGAATGAACGAGGTGAACTCGTATCTCTGATGGCACGAACTGATTTGAAGAAGAATCGTAGTTATCCAAATGCTAGCAAAGACGAGAATAAACAGTTGTTAGTAGGTGCTGCGATAGGAACGCGCGAAACGGACAAGCATAGATTGGAATTGCTCGTAGCGGCTGGCGTAGACGTAGTAGTGTTGGATTCATCGCAAGGCAATTCTATGTACCAAATCAACATGATTAAATATATCAAGTCGCAATATCCAAATTTGCAAGTAATTGCTGGTAATGTAGTGACTACAATACAAGCCAAGAATCTTATAGAAGCAGGAGCAGATGCGTTACGTGTTGGAATGGGTTCTGGATCTATCTGCATAACACAGGAAGTAATGGCTGTGGGACGGCCACAGGCAACAGCTGTTTACAAGGTTTCTGAATACGCTAGAAAGTTTGGAATACCGGTTATAGCAGATGGTGGTATTCAATCGATCGGACATATTATTAAAGGTCTCAGTTTAGGTGCTAGTACAGTCATGATGGGTTCTCTATTGGCTGGAACATCTGAAGCTCCAGGCGAATATTTCTTTAGCGACGGAGTTCGTCTTAAAAAGTATAGAGGCATGGGATCTTTAGATGCTATGAATAGAAAGGATGCCAAAGGTTCAGCTATGGATAGATATTTTCATAATGAGATGGACAAATTAAAAGTGGCTCAAGGTGTTAGTGGTTCTATAGTCGACAAAGGTTCAGTACTTAAATTTTCGCCTTATTTAACCTGTGGTATTAAGCATGGATGTCAAGATATTGGTGCAAGATCACTTACCGCCTTGCGATCTATGATGTATAGCGGGGAATTAAAATTTGAAAGGAGAACGCATTCTGCTCAACAAGAAGGCAATGTACATAGCTTATTCTCCTATGAGAAAAGGCTTTTCTAATTATAAAATAAAATGAGAAATCATCAAACACGCGTCACGCGGAAACGTACCTGCATTTAATCGAGTAGCAATTATTTTACAAGACAAACATGTGAGAAATCATGTAGGTTTATTTCTTTTAAATGCAAACATGAGGTATTTTTCATACTTGTATTTAAAAATGAATCATTTATCTCAAAAGAATTTTCAATGAGAAAAAAAATAACATTGAGTCACACTTATAAGAATTTTATATATATTTATTAAAACAAATGGCATATCTTTACATTTTTTAGAATATACATTTTAGTTCAGTGAGATAGATGAAGTCAAATAGATTAGCATACTTCTACAATGCATAATACTGCATTGTTATCGAACAGTTTAATACTTGATTAACTTATGTATAATACATAGGTATAAATGATTTCTGATTTTTTTATTTGACCGAATATATACAACTATTATATATAAACAAAAAATCGCAAATAATGATCTGCAAAATAATATTGACATGAAATATAAAATGCCAAAACAGAATTATTTTCTATACATAATTTATATGATTTAATTTTAACCGAATCACTCGTTCATTACTCGACTCATTTTATTTTATAATTAACATAATTCACATAAAATCTCTTTTATTATCTTTAATAAAGCTGTTTTAACTTTTTTCAAAATAGAACTAAAATATTTCTAATTGTTAATAATTTATAAGTTATTCATTTAATGTGAAATTAAATTTGAACTCTCTTGTCAAATATTGTCTTTTAGCTGATATATTTTTTTATACAGTATTCTTATATAGTAAACTGTATTTTAAATAAAAGTCACTTGATGTTAAAAATAATTTGATATTTTTATTAGTCCTCTTGGTTAATATTGAGGGAAATTTAAAGAAATATAGCATAATATATTTATATTAATTTGTACAATGGTTTGGATTTTACTATGTGACATATTATTATATTGTATACATAAATATCTCTAGATTCAGATCCACAGTAGAGAATTCAAATTATTAAAGATAAATTTAAGAAAAACAAATTTTTGTAGAAAGAAAAAATGAAAAGAAAAATTATAAAAAATAATATTGGATTGATTAATATTATTAATATAACTTGTAAATGTTTTAATTCAATACTTCTTTGAATATAAATCATTTTACATGCTTTTTCTTTATTTGTATTAAAAATATTTTATCTCACACAATTAATAAACAATTCAAATAAAAAAGAAATTACCTTAAAGAGAAAATAATATTTAAATTATTGCACAACTATCAATAAGTAATATCATCAATAAGTATATTATCAATAAGTATATTATCAATAAGTATTATCAATAAGTTTTAAACTTAAACTTATCTTTTATCAAAATGAAATTTTTAATTAGATTCCAATTTCTCAATATGTACCACCTTGGAAACTTCATCTATCAAATATGTTAGATGAGTTTTATAATTTAATGGTACAACTGATGTGCAAGTATGTTTTATTCTCATCTCATCCTGAAAGATGTAAAAATTACTCAAAAATGGAAAATAAAATATATTTTTTAAAATATAATTGATTTATATGTAATGTTAAAGAAAAAAAGAACTAATAAGAAATAAAACTATGGAAGAATAATCTTATTAATATACTAAAATATTATTAATACTACATAATGAATTGATTACCTGAAAAACTTCCGATTTTACCCTCAAACTGAATATGAACCTTTTGAAATTTGCCTCATTAAGTTTCTCCATATAATCGTCATTATCATTTTCCTTCAATTCTCCTAATTCTTGTGCAGATATACCCAATATCTTTTCGGCTACTTCATTAAAGGCAATTACCCAGCGATTGCCTGTCGCGTCTGCTATATTCATCTGAGAATTATTACAATCAATTATATGTATTCCAAAAATAAGTTTGAAGTTAAAAAAATGAGGAAAATATAAAAAAGTTAATACATACATTTGCCAATAAGCGATAAACAAAATTCGGATAATCTTTATTACACTTCTCGCATCTAAATATTCCAGTAGATTGATCAATCAACTAAAATCAAATATTTCACAGTAATTCGTATAAGCCTAATACGTTATCTTTACATTTAAGATATTACAGTATACTACAGCATCGAGAAAAATATCAAACTTTAAAATTAATATTTTATAAATATATTCAATAAATAGTTTCATCAGAAAATCTTTTTTAACTTTCAATTATATTATTCAAATAATATAATAATCACGAATTATTATGAAGGAAAAAACTGAGAAAGTTAATGCAAAATTTTTTCTTTGAAAAATTGATTTTTAAAATTTCTTTTATTTTCATTCTCGTCTAAAATTTATTAATTTATGTCTATATTTTCAATTAATATATATAATTACATAGCACATGTGAATAGCACATTGGAAATGTCACAAATTTGCACTTTATAAATATGCACGATTCGCATATATCTCACCTTCTTTCTACAACTATCTATAGGACATGCTTTATAGACAGAATTTTCCACGCGAATTAAATTAATAGTCGCCACCACCTTATACAAATCTGTAAAATTCAATTTTCCCCCCAATTGTGCTTCGGTCATTTCTCGGAAAGTGTATAATGGCGTGTTAAAATCGCCTCCACTTGATCTAGATAAAAATTTAACATTCTCCAAATGATTTGCCGCAGCATACCATTTGCGCAATCTGAAATGCATTATATATGTAATATATAAAAATTATATTACTATATATATTACTTATATTACTATAATCTTATGCATCATATTTGTGTAACTATACATGTGAGCATGTGTAATTAAGTACAAATAGGGTTTCAAAAATCCATTGAAGTAATGTAGTCAATGATATATACTTATGTGCTTCTGGTATGTCTGGATCTTTTTTTAGCACAGATGAATTTATAAGGGATAAATTTTTTCCACCATTGAATTCACCAACACGTGCTCCCTTGATGGCTAAGATTGGATTATTAAAACCATCAAAATCTTCAGCTTCTTTCCCCCACAATGCGACACATATCTGATATAAGAAAAAAATTCATTTTATTCATCCATAAGAAAATATTCAAATTGATGAGTCAAGAAATTGCGTTGTACCATTGCACCACTGTCATCTATAAGATTTATATCTCTCTTAATAAGTTCTTTGCCAGTAGTTCGCTGTGTAATGTGTTGTATATCGTTAAATGTCGTAACGACGCCCAAGACATCTGTTAAAAGTATAATATTGTTATATATACAATATTGCAATTTCCTATTTAATTAATAGTTACATCTTACTTTATATCATAAATTTAGCATTGATATACAGTTATTATATATTATTGTATTTATTATTATATATTGAAATTTAATTAGTTATCAACTAATAACTTTAAGCATTTTTAAAGATAGTACAAAAAAAAAGATAAAAATAATATAGATATTAACAATTAATATAATATTTTATATCATTTTATTACACAAAAATTAAGGAGAGATATTTCAAAAACTTCAATATGAAAAGATTACCTATTGTACTAATATTTGAAATTTAATTAAAAATTATTTTTTATGAACACATTACCAATCAAATTATTTTGTTCCTTGCTTTCCACTTGACTTATCGGACAGAAATCAAACTGTTGCATCGGAATATTATCACAGTTTTTATGACATGGCGAAATCATTGTATCATCAGTTATTGTCATCTCATAATCATTTTTCAATGTACTGAACTGTTTATTCGCCGTTTTCAATTTACATCGCGAAATATAATATACATTACCAACCTAAATAAAACATATATAATTCAATTTTTTACAGGAAAACAATATGTCACTGATTTTAATAACATTCAATTCATTGATGATACATACATCTATTAAGTGATAGAAGTTATCACATTGTTGATTGAATGCAACACATCGAATTTCACCGCTTTCATCAATTAAATCCATGGAGAACAGTTTGCCTTCTCCACGAGAATTGCTCCACGTTTTAATTGCAGATTTATTTGTCACACGAGCCTTGATTATCCACCTATAGAATATTTTTTTGTAATATCTTTTTGTATCTAAAAATATATCTTACAAATATATCTTAAAAATAGAATTGATTTCACTCACCTATTTTGATATGGACTTAATATTGCAATTGGTATAGTTGATATAGAATGATTTATATAGAATGATGTAGAAGATGTATCATGATTTAAAATATTCTTTTCGATTGTACCTATAATAAACAAAATAATTTTTTATTCAATCATGATAAAATGTCGTGTTAAATATATATCCAGAACAGAACAATTTACACAAAATAATATTATTAATTTATTACTATTACTAGTCTGGCAAGATGTTGCTGTAGATGTATTAGATGTAGTTACATATTCAAGCCGTGATTTGTTATCTGTGTTTGTTGGATTACCGATTTTGTAGCCAACTTCGTTGCCAGGAAATAGCACCTCAATATCCAATATTAGCATTATACGTCTATTAAATTAAATAGAATATACACTTTTGAATTAAATTGTTTGTTTAACGTATATATGAAGAATTAAATACCTTTCCTTTCCATTATTGTTAACTGAAGTTAAGGCATAATTTAATATTTTGCAAACTGTATATTGAGTCAAACTATTATTTGTTATCAAATGATTTAAATGAGTAACCAACATTGTGAAGGAATTTAATCTATCTCCATCAGATAAAAGTAATCTATATCGATCATCTGTATTAATGGATGAAGGTATTTTTTTGTAACCCTACAAGATTGTAATTAATATATTTAAGATTTCATATTATAAAAGAACAAATTAAAAGTGATATACTTAGAAATACAATTATATATATAAATCATGTTTCAAAAATCAAAATAATTAAGAATATTTTGATATCTCCATACAAAAACAATAAAAGTTTAATCATGATATTTCATATATAATTTCTTACAAAAACTTTATTGTTAAAGTAATGTAGCTCTGTGTAAAATCTTTTAAAGTTTCAATACATACATATATTTTAGAAAAAACCAAAAGTCAAAATCTGTCAAATATTATTCTTTCTGTATAATCATTAAGCTTACCAATATTTGAAGCACCGGTTTTTTTATATCTACACCATTCATGATTTCCTGAAACAGTAAACTTCCTTATCTCAAATACAACGCAATAACGATACAACGCAATAACGATACAACGCAATAACGATACAACGCAATAACGATACAACGCAATAACGATACAACGCAATAACGATACAACGCTTTCGATAAACTTACATCTAATGCTCCTTTCGTTAGATTATACATGATTACAGATTATTCTGAATTATTTTTAATGCGATCAAAAATCTTGATGAATTTCTCATTAAACAAAAGAACATTCGCTCTTTACAACTAATTACGTATGTTTTATTGTTCGGCATCTCTTCAGCACTCTCTGAGTGTATCTGATCTCTGATTCACTGATCCAGAGATGCTAGACAGCTGGATGCTGGATGGCCAGATTGCAGTCACACTTACACATGGAGGGCGGAGGGGATGCGAATGACACGTGGACGCAAAGCGTATCTCCTCTACGCACTTATATGTGTATGTACAACGTGTTGCTGACATAAATTCAAATTTTATCTCGCTAAGTTGGATCCAATCTTCCTTAAGCGGATTTCAGTCTTCGCTAAATTTTGTTAGTTTTGTAGAATTTGAGTCTTTATTATCCAACTACCTACTTATCCAATTATTGAATGAAACAATGGAAAGTAGAGGTTAAGTAGATTCTTGTTCATTCCTTTTTTTAAGAGAATAAAATGTCTAAAGTTGTTGAAAGCACAGTAAATCCCAAGGAAGAACTGAGCGAGGCTGAGAGCTCGGAAAATTGCAAGAATTGTGGAAAAACATGCGATCCTTATGATAAACCGTCGTTAAATTGTAGTGGATGCGACAAAAGGATACACATAGTATGTTTAGAGAGAGGCAGTGTTCCAACGTCTTTCATAGGGGATGTTTTCTTCGAGCTTAATTGTGCTTCTTGCAATCCACTGGGTGAGGAAACGATTGTACGCGATAGAATGCCATGGCTCAATGTCATCATCTTGACGCTTTACAATCTACGTGAAAAATCAAGTGGTATCAGTAAAAGAGGATACTTTCATTGGAAATCTGATATTAGTACTTTTGTGGACAGAAATTGGGATTATTTGTTCAAGAAAACTGTGTAAGTACTCTGTATCATTATATTTATATTATCCCATATCTTTTGAATATGTTTTCAAATATAATTTTAATATTTACTTAGGAAAAGAAAGAAAAATTGGATCGGCACTATATCTGGTACACTGTCCCATTATAGTGGAGTTTTTTTCAAGTCTGGTACCACCGAATTGGGGGAATCTGGATGGTGGAAATTATTAGACAATGATCCACCTGAAATTTTAATAGCTAGAAGTAATACAAGCAAAATTACATAATATATATATACAATTTGTAGAGAGCATTACTAATAAGTATAATTTCTATTTCCACAGATAGCAAAATGTTAAATGATAAAAAAAAACATGTTGGTTCGAAACTACCTTCTAAGACATTAAACAGCCCTGCACCATCGGATTCTAGTATATCTGTTGGAGAGGATAGCAACTGTAGCGGGGACTTATTTAAAAACAAAAATTCATTGTTATATTCCCATGCATATGTTCAACCTACAGAGACACTGTCTGATTTTCTATTTGAAGAAGATGAGCCAAATGGTATATAATAGATGGCAAGAAATAAAATGTACAAATGCTGAATGTTTTATAAAAAAGTAATATTTTGTAGATATGGATCTCGAGGATGATATAATATTACATGAGAGTGATGTTCCGTCTATTTCCGATTTAATGAGCGATTGTCAATATGAGAACAACAGTTTTCATTTGGCACAATTGATGGATAATTGCGATTGGTTATATAATTCGAATTCTTTGTCGCCAAAATCTACTGCTGATGAAATTAAAACAATAGAGGAAGAAAGATATATAGACGAAGAAAGTACCGACAGCGCCGTTTCTATACGAGAGCAGCCTCCAGTTTCTTTGTTTAAAGAAACAAAGCGTCATCAATGGCCTTGGTCTAAGTCATTTGCTGCTACTGGTAATTATTTTTTATCAAATTGCATGTACAATATAAAAATCTATATTTATATTATGTATATTCCAGATGATAAAATACCACGCATGACTTATCAGGAAGAATTATATTTATTGCAAAGAATCAAGAAGACTGATCTCACGAAAGCACCGCCTGCTGTTAAAAGATTGTATAGAAAATTAGCGGTGCGAAAAATAAAACGGGAAAACCAACTTCCATTATTGGACATTGATCGTTTCGGATCTAAATTAAGATCATCTGCAATATTATCTAAAGATAACGAACGAGTATTGGATCGATTTTTTAACGACGATCTGGGATATGTTTTTGAACAAAGATTGCAGGGTCACTATGAGCCCACGTCTGTACACAGTCCATATACAAATAGACTTTTGAAACCGTTTATAAGACGAGATACTTCTTGTCAACCACTATGGGTAAGGATTATGGAAGAGCTGCTGGCGAAAACAAATAGGAACAATCCACAATGGAAACCACCGCCAAAAGCGCCTATAGATTATTCTTACATTAGACCACAACACATTCCTGCCATCAATAGTCTCTGTAGACAATTTTTTTGGCCCGATATAGATTGTAAGTAGATATAATAGTTTGTTTGCCAAGTCGCATCTTGCATATCTAATGTATCATATTTTTGTTTCAGTGACCGAGTGTTTGCAATATCCAGATTTCACGTGCGTCGTGCTGTACAAAAAATTAGTCATAGGTTTCGCGATATTAGTGCCGTATGTAAGCTATAACGAGTCTTATATCAATTTTTTCTTAACGCGTCCAGAGTGGCGAAGATCAGGCATTGGCACCTTCATGCTGTATCATCTGATACAAACTTGTATGGGACAGGATATCACGCTACACGTGTCGGTTACCAATCCCGCTTTAATATTATACCAAAAATTTGGTTTCAAAGTAGAAGAATTTATACAAGATTTCTATGACAAGTATATGCCTCCGAATTCACGAGAGTGCAGACACGCTCTGTTCTTACGTTTAAGCAGATGATGGGAAATAAAGTCTTACCGATCCACAGAATCTCTTTTGTCTGTAAAACACATTTTCATGTTATTCGATTCGTTTACAATATTCTTCTTCTGCATCATCAAAGTTGGGAAAAATATTAGTACAAATTGGAGAAAATAAATAGCAGAAAGAGAGAGAGAAGTTCGCTCAGATTTGAAATTCGCGCCAAGCAAGATTGCCTGGTTTGACGTCATCGACGACGTCGCTGCGGAAATGGCGTCGATTCATTCTCGAAAGTTCCGGAAGCTGCTAGATGGGAAGTTTATATATATATGGACTGCGGGGTTACGCGACAGTTTAGTACGTGACCCAAGAGTATCGAGTGTCGTTTGGAGAGATCGTCTCGCGACCATTCTTTGTGAAGTTTCGCGAGCGTATGCGTATCTTTCGTACTCCGAGTGTCCAAACGTGCTTGAAGAATAGGAAATAATTATAAAGTAAGTAACATAAAGCTCGACGAAGGGAGATGTGTCGGTCCAATTCACGGTAACCTTGCGTAACGCTTTATCAATTTGAACGAAAGAGAGAGAGACAGTTTTTGGTGCGAAATGTCGAATCAATCGGCAATAATTTCCGTATGTTCTCGCGTAGATTTCTCTCGTAGATCGCGATGCGAGTCATTTGTGAAGGATACAACGGTGGACGACGATCAACCGCAACGAGTCACGGAGCTTGCTTCGGGTGGGGTATTTATTTTTGCGTTGCAGCTCGTGAATCGCGCGAAACATTCGTCGTATATTCGCGGTCATCATTGCCAGAAATAGATAGATCGGTGATCGTACGTGGGTGGTATATCGGAGGCGCCCGCGGTGCGGTTCTCCACCTTTCGCGGACTCGTCGAGTCGCGAAAAAAATGGCAGAAAATTCGACCATAAATACTCGGGTCGCGTTCCGCGTATTCGCGGCGATTCTAGTACATTCCTGTTATAATCGCACACACGGGACCGCGAATACGTGCATGCACATACGTACACGCGAATGCGTGTCCGTGAATGCGTGCGAAACGTATCATTTCTTTTTTCCTTCTTCGAATCATAACTCGATATCCCTTCGAGCAAAAAGAAATATTGTGGCGAAGATGTGTGCGTAATTGAATTCTAATTTTAAATTATACATTTATGAAGATGTAAATTGAAATAATTTATCAGAATATACTTTGTGTATCTTCTTGGCAGCTTGAAAGAGTCGATATCGAATGATCGTGCGCTCACAATTGGTCGCTTTAATGTAAAGTATGACAAATGTTGGTATTTTAAGACTTATAACGCATACATGAAAACTATGTATTTGAAAAAAATTGCCAGCATCAAAAATATTTAATAATGCAAGTATAACAGTGAACTTTGAAATATATTTCATTATTAATCGGAAATTTGTAATTTACACTGGACTCCTTTTTTGTGGATACATTTTCTTTTATGAATATTTTTAAAAATTAAATAATTTTAAAATATCTCGATCATGTTTTAGTATTAAAGCGATTAATAATTGCAATTATTTGATATTGACTCTTTTCGAAGAAATATGTTCTGGTAAATTAATGTATACATACATGTGCACATAAATTATATAAGAATTAAGAAGGAAAAGAATAGAAATACATATGCAACTCTTCGATCAATTTGTGTATATTAAAAAAAACGTTTGGATATTGTTTCAGAAACAATAGAGGCGAAATAGAAGGAAAATGGGGAAGGACTATTATAAAATACTCGGCATAGCCAAAGGAGCGAGCGACGAGGAGATAAAAAAGGCTTACAGAAAGTTAGCTTTGCGGTATCACCCTGACAAGAACAGGAGTCCCGGTGCCGAGGAAAAGTTCAAGGAAATAGCCGAGGCGTACGAAGTGCTGTCGGATGCGAAGAAGAGGGAAGTCTATGACAAATTCGGCGAGGAGGGTCTCAAGGGAGGCGCATCTGCTGGTGGAGGCGGAGGAGGAGCCACGTACACCTTCCACGGAGATCCCAGGGCGACGTTCGCTCAATTCTTCGGCTCGGCCAGTCCTTTCCACAATCTGTTCGAATTCGGTAACCGCGGAGGATTCACCTTTCACGAGGATGACATGGACATCGACATGGATCCCTTCGGACTCGGTGGCATGGGACCACCGCGACAAGGTGGTGCCTTTAGATCACACTCGTTCAACTTTGCGAGTCCGAATACTGGCAAAGCCGCTGGCAAAGATCGCGCGCAAGATCCGGCCATCGAACACGATTTGTACATCAGCTTGGAGGAAATTCTACGCGGTTGCACAAAGAAGATGAAAATATGCAGACGGGCCATACAGCCGGACGGTAGCACCAAGAAAGAGGACAAGCTTCTCACTATCAATGTGAAACCAGGCTGGAAAGCTGGTACCAAGATCACTTTCCAGAAGGAGGGCGATCAGTCACCGAGAAGGGAACCGGCAGATATCGTTTTTATCATTAGAGACAAGCCGCATCCGCTATTCAGGAGAGAAGGCAGTGACATTAGGTATACATGTAAAATGAGCTTAAAACAAGCTTTATGCGGTACCATCGTCGAAGTTCCTACGCTGACCGGCGAGAAAATACCTTTGAATCTGACGAGAGAAATTATCAAGCCGAATACCGTCAAGAGGTTCCAAGGACACGGTCTGCCATTCCCGAAGGAGCCATCGCGGAAGGGTGATTTGCTCGTGTCGTTTGACATTAAATTCCCAGAAAATTTGACACAAAGTGCTAAGGATATATTGTACGACACGCTACCCAATTGAGCTCAAATATAATGATGAATCAAAAAATAATGTACGACGTAAGAAATATCAACGCAATTGGACATCACCTAAACGTCCCGATCGATGAGAGTCTGATACGTCTCGTGTGCGTTCTAGTACACAGAGATGTGGGTATCCAGCCACGATGATGACAACAAATAAATGCAGCATAATCGAGAGCGATTAAATGTCTCCGCGATTTGCTCGTAGAGACCGAATTAAAAAATTAAGCATGTTTTACTTTCTTCGACGCTACGTTAATGTTCGACGAGTTTGAATTGAAATTCGACGAATTGGCGTCTTTATCACAGCGGCCTCTACGCGCGTAATGATAGTCCAATTGATTGACTAAAGACGAATATATATGTATATGTATATGTGTATATATACATATATATATACACATACATTAAATTGTATATTAATATAATAATAGAATTATTATAGAAAGAAAACTTATTATATTATTATTATTATTATTATTGCTAATATTTGTGTGACCGTCGCGTCTGGATCTTTGTTTCCTCTATTGTACGTATGCGTGGGTGTACGTGTGTGCGCAGAAATGTATGTGTGGTATGTGTGGTACGAAGGTTGTAAGACAACGTAAGAACAGTGCAATGTCAGAAACTTGATGCGTTTCATTTAATCAAGGTTCGCGTACTCGCAACAAATAAAGGCGCGTACATACAGATTCGTAAATCATTGTGTATATATAAAACATTAATATTTTAATATTCACACAATGATATGCAACAAGTCTGTATCTACTTTAATATATATAGTGGAAACATATATGTATATATATATAGTCGAGTCAGTCGGGAACGCGAAAAAATGAAACAAAGTTTGTGAATATTGCGCAATGGGTCTTGTACATACATTGTTTCTTTTTTTTTTCGTACGTACATTTTGTCTAATAGAGGAAAACTCTTGTTTATATTAAGCATTAAGACGAATTATAATAAGTCCGATCGTTTAACCGATCGTCCCGTTATATAACGTGCTCCTAAGTTTAACAGTTTATTAATTATTTGTACGCTAAATAATATGAAAATTATTAAATTATAAGAGTTATATACGTATATTTTTTGCCTTTAATTCTCCTGCTTCTCGCTCCTAGAAAAAGAGCCTTTCCATTCTTTTAAGATGCAGTACCACGCTTTTTCATCTTGCATACTTTGTATAATAAAACAGCGGGTCTGCCTTCTCACAGATATTTTTAATCCTACTTAAATGTATCCATTACCTTATGTGGGGTGACACGAGTCGAGATTGAACTCAAGACCTACCGATTATCAGACGATCGTTCTATCTACCAAGTCTCCCCGTCCTGCTTCTATATAAATACGAATATAATACTCGGGACACTCTTAAAATAGACGGCAAGGTAGGGGGAAGGGGATGACGTCATCGCTCCCGTGCTATCTCTCGAGGCGCTTTCTCATATGGAACGAGAGAACACGATCATTCTGCGTTTATTCCCCTCCCCGGAAGCGTGTCGAAATACTGACTAAGAACTACTGATTCATTTTTCCTTTTTTCTTTCGCCGTTATTAATAAGCGATGGAAAAGCTCGCTTCGAATGCGGGTAATTCGATATAATCTTTGTCAATCCACTCATCTTCGTCGGACGGGGAGGTAACGTTGCGTGACACGGAAGTCAATAACGGCAAACCATCTGGGCCTGACGTTAGATACTTGACGAGTCGGTTAACCGATCCGAGACGATTCCCTGCATTTTGCGGCCCCAATTCCTCCTCGTACCGATAATCCTTGCTCGGCGATTTTTTCTCGAATAGAAAGTTCTCCGGCAGACAGTGATGCTGACGACAGAAATAATCCCGGCCCTCCTCGACGTGGCACCACGTTCCATCGGGTAGATACGGATCGAGGCCGAGATCGTTTAACTCCACGCGCGGCGCGTAATAAGCAGCGATGTCCCTTCGTCGGCAAAATATCGCGCAGGCCATCCATGGTCTATCAGCTTCGTGATCTGCCTGCAATCCCTTCGCCGCACCATCCAATTCCGGCAGCTTCTCGCTGAAAAGGGCGCACTTCAACGTGGCGAACTCGCTGATCGTTCTGCGTTTCTTTCCGCAAAGTTTATCGTCGTTACAAAGGAGCACATCGTAATGCGACCCTTTGCAGCTCGTCGCCTCTCTTCTATGACCCCGATCTTCGCAAAATCGTCGTCTAATTCGAGCGCCTCTGGACTGTTGCAAGCAACCACTACTGCAGGAACCTTCCTTCCACTCGCTCCAACTGCCTCTTTTGCTGTCAGACGGCTGATCGAGAACCTGCACGCATTCTCCGCCACGACATTCGCTATCGGGTCCGCAGCGAGTTCCTTAAAAAAGAAAAAAACGAGTTAGCTTAACGTGGAATCAGCCCAGCCTACTTAGATAACTAAGCATGATCAATCATATTGTTGTCATGTGGATTAATATGATTAATGATATTGTTGTTATGTTGTCAATAATTGTCAGCGATTGTTGGCAACATGACAGCAACCTCATAGACAGTTGATTATCTGGGGTATTAGCGTAGAAAAGATGTTTAACCATCCAACGCCGGTCCCGCGAAGTAATATCCGCTTCTGTGAGGTGTCTCGCATCGCAGGGATTGACAAGACTGAAACAACGTGACGACGTCCGCATCCTTGTCGCGTAAGAGCAATTCGCATTGTCTTTTGGCGGTCCATTCTCTTCCGGGTAGGTCGCGATAACGCGAATAATGGTCATATGCAGCCGCATCCGAGGTGTTTCCTGGCTCGGGCCAATCTAGGAGACAAGGCTTCGTCCGTGGGAGAGTCTCGGCTATCTCGCGGCTGCAACCTGACCAAACCGTCTCACCTCGAACACCCCTACTGGGAGACATTATGTATCCGTCCTTCGTACACGCGTTGCCGCTCGAGTCGTGATGCATTCCTAGACTTTTAAATGGACAGGTCACATCTCTATATTTATGTGTTTATATTTGATTATTTCATGGATTATTTCTTTTAACTCTTTATCTTAAGGATAACTTACTTGTGGCCGATTTCGTGAGCGGCGATAAAAATCGAGGTGAAGCCCGCGGAGGGATACGGTTTCCCGAGCTGATCCGTGACTCCCAATTCCGCTATCACGCAGGAATAAAGCGGAATGCATAGACCACCGACGGTGGCTAATCCCATGGTGGCGCCGTTTCTTCTCCCGTTCTCGAGCGCGTAAAGATCCAACCCGGTCACGTAGAGACCCATGTCCCAATGGCGCGGGTGGGTATCTTCCGTGGGATTACGAGCGTTTGCGTAATAGCAAAACGAATTCAACAGGCTGCCTCTCTCGCCGCCAAAGTGCGGCAGGTCCAGCGGTTGCCTCTCCATAACGTCCAGACGTATCAACGAGATGTCGATTGAGACACCGAGGCTCGGATGATGATACAAAGCTTGGATGCCGTTCACGTACGCTAACAACATATCGCGAATCTTCTCATCGTCTCCGTCCAGGAAGGGTGAGAACAAACGATATGCTGCTTCGTCGAAGAAGACAGAAAGTTCTAACGTCAACCGTTCTTTTGTAGCTCGTGTCCGCTTTGGAATCTCGAGATTCGGAGTTCGGATGGGTGATCGTCTGACCACATGAGGTTCACCAGGAAGGTCGGCGTCTTCCTTCACATACAGATCATCGTCGAGTAAGGGTGAAGACTCGATACTCTTTCGTAACGGCGTGATCTCCAACGTGACGTTCTCCAGGAAGACAAGTCCGTGCTACTTCCAACAGAGATATGTTTGTTTTTTTATATTCTATACATGAAACGAATAGAAAAAGAGAAAGAGAGAGGATGAATAAAGAAATAGAATTTTTTTCCTTTTTAGAAATATTACTGACCAAGCCATGTCCTTGGCAGAAACTTATGGCCGCAGAGCCAATATGATCCTGATGAAGATAATAGCAAGGAGCTGGGGCATTTAATTGCGACAACTCTTCCGTGACGCCTCTAACATTATGTTTCCATACTTGAAACTCGGACGATACAATTTTGTCGTTTCTACGTAGGCTCAGCTGAATCAATTGCCCGAATACTTTAAAAGTTAAAGGAATCTGTGCACAAATTGGATAATATGTAAATTAAAAATTTTCTTCGACATCTGCCCGGAGAGAAAGTCTACATGTAATTAAATATAAATATATTATTATATGTAAAATGTCTTAGAGAAAATAATTAGAATTTTCACATAATTTTTCTTAGAAAAAGTGAAATATAAAAAAATTTTACTCATGTATAATCATATATTTATATATAAGAGAATTTTTTCTTTCTTTCTCTTCAAATGTTATTTTGCTAAAAAGATGTGAGAATTATTCTTTTAATTCTTATTGTCAATTTTCTTATTATTTTTCTTATGCAGATAGATATTATACAAGAGAGAGAAAACATATTAGATTTTATATATTTATTTATATTTGATTAATGTGTTCTTTTTCCCGGGTAGATTTTAAAGAATAAAAAATATTTTATTATCACATAATACATACCTCCAGTGCACTTTTTGAGTCCCATATCGGTAGCAATATCACTTCACTGTCTTGCGTATTATAAGTATACGCTTCGTTCAATAAAATCATCAACAGCATTAATACGAAGGACGACATGCTCTTTACCTCATGTTATTTCAAGTTCAAGAGTAGTTGGAAGATTATAATGTTAACGTCTCTTTATATATTTCTAAATACATATACACACATATGCGCGTGTTATAAAACCCGCATATTTTTTTATCAGTTCAGAAATTCGCGTACAAAATGCATGCTGGCACCTGTATTGAAAAACATCCGTAGTGTCAGTGACATCTCTATATGTACATATCTTTTATGTACGTGTATATTTTATACATTGATTTTGAGTCGTAATTATATAATTTGTGATTTACCTAGATTACCTGTTCGATATAATTTTCAGTGAAAAATTGATTTATCGTTGATATGTGTAGCATGTCATAGGCAACAATAGTCGCACATTTGCCTTTAATTGACAATTTGATTTCTTAGATTCTACACTCTCCAAATCATTATCATTTTATCAGACTTCGATAGTCATGTTTTGTTTCGCGCATATTAGCCAAAAGAAATAATGATAATTATGTTAATAATCAGAGAGAAAGAGAAGGAGAGAGCAATCGCTTCATTTATAACGTTATTCTATAAATACCGCTAGAAAACCGTTAAATGCGGGAAGGTAGAAATGAAAGAGAAAAAACGTTATACTTGTTTTACAAATAGTAATAGTATTAAAATATCTCAATAAAAACAATAAATAATAATTGTGATCAATAATAAAATTAATTTATAGAAATTTCGGCAGTGTATCTAGCATGCTTGGCAATGCTCGTTATAACTACAAATGTATAATGACATATATAGAGAAGGGGGTATATATTAAATAATACGATAACTATAATTTCTCACAGTCTAACACGTGTGTGTGTGTGTATGTGATAACCCTTCTATATGTGTATATATATATATACATATATATATGTATATATTATATGTACATGTACATATATACATGTACATATATACATATATATACACGATCAGGATAATTCGGCAACGCAAGAAAAAATTTTTATACATACAATGTCGCATCGTATTTTTAAAGCGTCTTGAAGTACTACTACTTGATGTTTATGTGACGTTTACTCGACTTTTCATTTTAGAGCACCGAAAAAAGATATTGAGCACGATGCCCAATACGGGTGCACCAGTTAAAAATTTTGTAAACCGATTTGTCAACTCTGTCACTCTTTGGATATTACAATGATGTATGTAGATGTGTACCGAAAAACAGATTCATACTTTCAACTTCCCGCTTTAAAACACAATTGTATTTTAAGTGACTATTTTTTTTGCAGTCCGTTGCCACAATTTTCTATGAACCACAGTGAACACTTAGGTATACATCTTCCAGAGATGGTGGAAGATATAGCCGCATGTAAAATTTGCAGCAGATATTTGTTACGAACACACAAAGGTTTTTTGCTGGCTTGTTTTTTATCTTTTTTTTCCAATGCCAATTGCTCCTTCTAGCAGTCTCTACTATAAAACGCCTGTGATACATGCATGCAACATACGTCGTACACACGCACAGGTACATACATTATAATACATACATACATACATACATACATTATGTGATCGCTTCTATAATATATTTCTCTAAAGTACCTAATGTGTCCTAATCATGTTATGTATATGCATCTATGTGTGTGTGAGTGTGTATGAATGTATGTGTATACAGGCGTAGATTACCAAACACTTTGTATCTATAAACACGGCATACGAATTCGATAGTATTGTGTAATCGTATTAAAAAAGATTAAATCGGTGAGATAATTATTCGCAAAGCCTTACAAAAGATTTGATTACTAATGATAATGATAATAATAAGTTAAAATGCTATGTCAGCGAGTAATATTTGATAATCTTCTTTTGAAGTCTGTAAATTCCTTCCAATATATACGAATAATACATATTGCTAATAGCCTTACAATTTCAATCCGCATAAACTTGAATCGATGAATTTTTCATCTTATTAATTAGTCATAACTATTCATTGTAATACAAATGTATTTTATGCTAAGTGAACCACAGCGTGTTCGTCAGGATTGATTTCGTTCAAACGCTCGTGCAATCTCGCCTCTGTCGTTCTGTTTATCTTTTATCAATCAAATAATACAAAACATATATATACGTTCTCTTGTATTATACTTTGCGATTAAACACGCCATCCGTTATTACAAGAGAGTGCTATTAATAATGAAATAAAAACAAAACGATTAATATGTAATCATTTTAAAAGCAAAAAAAAAAACAAAAAAACAATATATTTCTCTCGTTTGCTCACATTCGGAGAAGCAATGGAAACTCTTTTTCGTCGATCACATAGAAAATTATCTTTTGCATATAGAGTTAAGATTGTTCGTCATTCGAAGGCCATTGCCCGGAATGATTCCAATCCCAATCTTTACCCTTGGGACGAAATTTGCTAGTACTTGCAGAATTATTCCAGTCGCGATGAAAGAATTTTTTTTTAAAATGATGTCGCTCAGGATCTGGTTGTCGTTGGTACTTTAGAGGTACCGAAGAAGATGCGCTGCTCGGAGGATTACCGCTGGATAGATTCGCAGGACGAGGACTAGTCGGGGATGGGGTTCTCGGTGGGCCTAACGCTTCGTCGGGCGAAGGTACTACAGGCGGTGGTCCCGTTACAGCGCTATCCGAACCTAGTCCACTATCGGGACTAGTATTCACTCCTTCCGTCGATCGTCTACGTTTATCCAATTCTGTGGAAGCAAAGGCGACCAAGCGATCAAATCCTGAACTAATACGATCCTGCCAATCAGCTTCTCCATCTGCAAAATAAAGCTCAATTAGTAATCGAGATGTTACATTAAAAGATTAAATAAGTTACCAAATTTTCATAAAAATAAGCCAACAACCCTGATACAATAATATCATGTAAATTGTGATTATTTTTATTGTTATATATTTTTGTTACCAGTATATAACTTCTAATACTTTTTTTATAAAAAAGATATGTATATGTTCTACAAGATAAAAATTATCTAAGACAAAAGTTTATATATAAATATATATATACATATACATTACTTATTAGTAAGCAATATATACAATATAAAATGCGGATATTATGTGTATAAAGATTTAGAAGAAAAAATGTTAAAAGATACAATTAAAGTATTAAATTAATTATATTACATTTCTATTTAATGCATAAATTAAAGTATATGGAGATTAAAGTCAGTTGTTTAATTTAATTTATTTTTTTAATCATACAAATAAAAAAATACTTTAAATACTATTAGACTTAAAAATAAAATAATTCCTATGATTGTGTTATATTATTTACAAATACAGAATGTATTGTATATTGATATACAGATGCAAATGATAATATATAATACTAATGTTAATACAATAAATGTATATTGTATCAACTGATCAAACTGGAAAAGTTGCATTGAGAGTTAAAACTGCGAAAAAACTGCATATTTGAACACGCGAAACTAGAACAAAATAAATAGAATATTTCAAAATTTTCGCATGCAACATGCACTAAAAGTAAAAGCTCATCGATTAGAATATATTTGTTCAAATTCTAACTCTCGACATGCTATGTGTCTATGTACATATAATTCATCCATGAAATCAAACTTGCATCCTTGCGCGATAAGTCTGTGGCTTATTTTCATGAACTGATTTCTAAATTAATAATGCCTTTTGTCTTCTCCAAAAATAGTAAGAATATAAATGCTGCTCTTACGCGCACGCATAAGATAAGGAAAGAAAATAAATAAATAAATTGTATAAAATATATAATAATTGTATAAATTGTATAAAATATATAATTTACAAAATTACTAGAGAATCGAATAAAACAAAATGAATTTTGACCCCCGTGGGACAACTCACCGGCGACAATGTACCGACGAACCAACCCACAGGCAGCCGTGTATTTTTTCATTTCTCCCTTCTCTGTGATCTGTGTGTGTGTCTCAATCTCTAATAAAACAAGCTTCAGGGATTCTGAGATTGAGTATGTGACAGAGAGAACTAACCAATAAACAGCTACAGTGCATCTAACAAATACAGCAAACAACAACAAAAATAAATATAAATAAAAGTCAAAAAATACCAGCTCCATAAGATAAGCTAAACCATTAGTGCATGTGTAAATACGTGGAGAGATGCATAAGAAAAAAAAACTAATATAATAGTATCTAGAAAAACATATAAGCAAAGTAGCATTTAGTAGAATTTATATAGCGCGAAAATTTTATATTTTCAACATTGCCATACTATTCTATGTGTTCCTTATGTATAAGAATAGTAAGATAATGAAATAGAGACAGTTGTACATATTCTTGCGTAAGAAAATTGTACAAGGAGAAATATAGATTTTTTCGCGAGATGGATCAATTTGACAATTAAGCGTTACAAGATGTGTAATCGCATTATTTAACAACTTGAATTTATATATCGCGAATGAATATATTTGCCAAATCACATATCCAAAAGTACATATATATATATATATATATATACATCTTGACATTTTATATTTTGAAATTTTGAAGCATTATAGAATTTGAAGCTTTATAGCTCGCTTCACGTATTACGACAAATCTTCTATAGCTATTGTACTAAAGCATATTCGATTGGAGCACAGATTCATTCCAAGCATATACATTTCATACTAATAATACAACGGGACGCTTTCAGAAGGCGTCCTGAAAATGTTAGATCATTCCGCTTACCGTCATCTCCAACGACATTTCGTTGCCTCTGCGTCGTCATTTGAGGTTCGTCGACTAACGGCGTCGACGTATTAGAATGCGGCTCCACGAGAGGACTTAGGGGCGCTCCGCTTGTGCTTACCGATGATACAACCGCTTCCGTTTTTATGGACATTGATGTTTGCGATTGACAAATTGCTGTTACTGCATTTGCATTTGTCGTATTTGCATTGCCACTATTACTGTTCGTTGCGTATCGTGGATATGGCTGAAATCTACGAATGTAGCAAGCACGTTATATTGACTAGTATGACTAATTTTTCACATTTTTTTTATATTACCGTTTCGAAATATTATCACCTTGTATTGTTAGAAAGGGTCGATTCGGTTTTGCCACTATTATTATGGTTGTTCAATATTCGGGCATGTAATGATGCTGCGAGCCCTTCTACGGGCAACAATTCCCCATTTGACGTAGTTTGGGACGAATGTAGAGGTAGGGGCGCCGAGTGAGATTGATTGAGTGACTGAGCGGGATTATCCGAAAAATAGGATTCATGATAAGGCTTAATGTCTGCTCGTGGTAATTGGACCGGTGTATATCTGGATAGAAGCAAAGATTTGTATCTATAGTAGTGTATATCAACAGATCATGAAAAAACTATATCAAATCGAGATATAAATACCTTTGCGGTTGTGTTACTGGAGTAAAAAGTACGGACGATCTTGAACTAGTTGTGGGCGTGGAAGTGGAAGTTCCCGAAGTAGGCACATAACTAGCTACATGTGCCAAAGTCGACAAACCGGCGTCTCCTTCGGCACTCGCTGGTCTACTAATAGGAGAGTATACAGTTTCTGGTCTTATTATTGAGCTCATGTCAACGGTAGCGTTTATTATAGACTGATTGGATATTTCCAAAGTCCTTTCTATTTCTCCATTCATGAGTTCACCGACCGTAGAGACGAGCAATCCACTTCCACTAGTTACAAGTCGATTGTCGTGACTCGATGATTGTCTAGAATCGACCGTTGATCTGTCGGACGATGTCGAATGAGATGACGAGATGCGTTCCTGCGAGAGATGACGACGAAGTGCTAGTTTCGCAGGTGAAACCTGTAATATCGCAGTCTGTTAATAAAACATTATTGGGAATGCGAAATTATACAAGGCGTACAATTAAAGACAAAAATCAATATCAATCAATCAATACACTTACTTGAGTATAATCCGGAGTAGAGACACTTTGCGGCAATGGAGCGCGCTTTCTGTCGGGTTCAGATTGACTTTGCAATTGCACTTGTAGCTGCATCTGTTGTTGCTTAGTCCTATTTTGTTGATCCTCGTTTAATACACTCGTGATTATGCTTTTCAATCTGTCTTCAAAATTAGCGACTCTTGGTGGTTCTTGAGTTCTATTCGCATCTTTATTAACTGTCTGTGGTGATGGCGTGGACGAATTAGCGGATGATGCATTAGAAAAACTGAGAGATGCTTGTGGCAGTCTAGTTCTGGAATTATTGTTGCCATTCGTACTCTGCCTGTGTGGAATACGACCCGCCTCTATCTGTCTTCCGGTTTCCAAAATCTTCTGAGCCAATATTTCTGGATTATTTTCTTGTATCTTTCCTATATCTGGCACATCGGGCCATTCTTGAGATCTCGAACGACCTTCCCTACTTTTTCGCGTTGTTCCATTTTTATTACCCTGTTGATGATGATGTAAACTTTGCGAGTGTTTACTTCCTATCATATCTCTTTGTTGCTGAGCAATTGCAGCTACTTGTTTCTCATTACTTGTTCTTTCCAAAAGATTTAATTCGTGTTCCAATTTCGAAACCTGTTGCAGAAAGAAATATAAATCTATTTCATATAATACATCTAACATATAAAAAAAAGAAAATATAATTGTTAGATTAAGAGTTTATTAATAAGTGCTAAATAGCAAGATACACACTTGAGAATGTAATCGTTTCCGCTGGGAAAGTGTGGCGGAAATTTCTTTTAATATATAATCCTGAGTAAGTGATTGAGGTGGATTTGTTATGCCGTTCACATTTCCGTTGTATTTTTCCTGTAACTCCTGATGTCTAAGTGCCACTAATCTGCTTTGTTCAGTTTCTATAGACGCCACTTGTGCTTGCAATTTACTCGCTTTAGCTTGTAGTTGTTTATGTCTTAGAACTATTTCCTTAGCTTTCGCTAGCAGATCCCCAGGTGACGTAGCATTGATACCTAATTCAGTCATTCTCGCCTTCAAGAGAGCTACACTATCATCTATGAGTACTTTAATTTGCTTTTCCAATTGCGCCGCTCTCGATTGAAGTTTAGAGTTCCTTTCTCTCTCTTTCGCGATATCCGTATTAACAGATACTTTGTAGGTGGGTGTTCTCATTGATTCTAACATGAGCATGAATTGGTCCCTGTGACGAATATACGCGTTTTCGGTTATAAAATTAGAAAAAAATAGAATAGAGAGAAAGAGAAAAAAATATAAAATAATTACCTATACAAGTCCAAAAGAATTTGCAGAGCATAAGGAGTCGCGGACGGAGCCGATGGTATACTGAGTTCCTCGTGTACCGAGGTGGAATGCGACTGTAAAGAAAGCGTCAATGAAGATAATTGTTGATCTACACAACCAGGAGCAGGTGGAGGTTTTTTCCCAAGAGCTTGAGGTGATGTACTGAGCAAAGTTTGACTATGTAACAGATCTAATCCAGATATATTGATCGTCTTCTTAGGCTTGGCTCTCTTAACACCTCTTCCTCTCTGTCTACCTCTAGCTGGAGCTCTCGTAATGCCGTTTGAAGTTTTTCTATTGAATTTCCTTCGTATTTTGTTCGGCTGTCGTCGATTTTTAATAGCATTTTCGTCTAGCTCAGAGTCGCTATTTGTTCCTTGCTGCTCCGAATTATTCGGACTGTCCAATTGCCTTGAAAGGTCTCTTTTGGCTCTATCACCTCTTTCGTTCCTATTAGAAACCTTACTACTATTGCTGGCAGTGTTGCTTATCACAGAATCAGAGTTTTCATCTAAGCCACCTTGTTTATTGTTTTTCAAGCGGTGGAAATAACGTTCTAATTTAGTTCGATCGATTACGTGCAAATAATACGATACCGGCTTACCAGTCCAAGAGACAGAACCCTTTAATGGGGACATCTCTGAGACGTGCATTATTGTACCAATATCTGTTGGAAAAAATTGCAAAATAAAAATTACTGAAATACTTATATTGATATATGGAAAAATGAATTACCACTCAGATTTCTGTCCGTTATTCGAAAGTTTAACGGACAAAACGACTTCGATGATACTATACGTGCGCCATCACGTAAATCAGCAAAGCGTTCTTTTAATTGATGATCAACTGTCGGGCCAAAAGCAAAATTATTAACAAACACTATCGTAGCTCCGGTGATACTTTCACGATGTTCATCCGCTAAAAAGTCTCCCTTCACTAAACGATAATCCCCACATCGTTTTCCATACCAATTCAACCATTTTCGAAAATTTACTTCCATGCTCTATAATGATAATAATTCATTTATGATATAATACGATACAATGTCACAATACAAACTGAAACTGCATAATATTTTAATAAATATAAATATTTTAGACAAATCGATATATTTATTTATATAATTACAATCAATGATTACAAGTTTTGATTCTTAACTCAATTACTATACCTGTGCATAAGTTGATGGTACATCAGCTCTTTCTACGCCGATACAAATTTTACACAAAGTTGCAGCTGCCATCTGAAGAACTACTTGACCAACTCCAGATCCTAAATCAACAAAGACATCGTCGTCTGTCACATCGATTTGATCAATCATCTGACATACAAGCTCATAACTGGTTTCACCATAGACTTCAGGTGAAAAAGGTTCATATTGATTTAATTTATCTGGTTCAACCACAGCTTGATTATAAGTTTGCTGGAGTATATGTCGAAGTAAACCCCTACTAGGTCTCTTATTTAGTCTCTGGGATGGTAGGCTGGTACCTTTTTCCTGCAGATATACACATATTTCCAATAATATATAATTGTATATATATTCCAAATAGCATATAATTGTAACATTTGTATATATTGACATTACATATTTAATATATCTTCCATCTAATACCCATATAATACCATATATGAAGACACGTACCAATTGTACTAAACTATCAATCGCTCTGTTGAATCTGTCACACAAGCTTTTCATACTTTCGTAATCTCTCGGATCATAGTTACAAAGGATATTATTCTCTAAGGGTAATTTCAAATCTGGCAAATCTTCGCAAACCCATCTCATAGTTTCGATAACGTCCAATGCTCCATCGTGACGATCCTATAATATATAAGCATAATACATACAACATAGCATAGCGATACAATGTTATAAAAAATTAAGTGATAATAAAAAAAGTTAGCAATATCATAATAATAAATAAGTGGCTATGAATGAGCGAACAAATTCTGGATTAAAATTCATCATGACACGCTCTCGCTCTTCAGTCTTTATTAGATGCCATGTCACATGTAATGTGTGCTGGCTTTCTCTCTATAAATAATCTACTCACAGACCCCGATCCCGAGGTAAGAGGCCACTGATACACGATCGGTTCCGCTCCTGCTGGCGAGTGCAGGCGCAACTCCATTTTACCAACGAATCCCTTTCCTCGTGCCTCTTGGTGTAATCGTGACGAAGAAGACGTGAAAGGAGGACGTAGGCGCGCACGTACGCACGCACGTACGCACGCACGCACGCACGCACGCTCGCACGCACGTACGTACGCACGCACGCGAGGCGCGCTCTGCCCGTTCCGCTAGGATCCGAGGGATCCGCTGGATCCGCCCCCTCAGGGTGGCGTGATGTAACCACGTCTCGCTGACGCCAAGGGGAAAAACGTCAAAGTGTGTTGACGCCGTCGATGCGAAATAAAGAGAGAGAGAGAGAGAGAGGCAGTGCTAACGTAACTGGCGACAGGCGATCCGATCGATTCTCCCGTCTCGCACCGAGACACGATTGCCGCGTGGACGATGCTCGCGGATCCCCCCCGCGGCTACTTCCACGAACATGAAGGCATCCGTGGGCCCAGCGAATCTTCCACGAGGAGGGTTATCCAGCCTCGCGCGACGTGCATACGATCGAACGGGGAGGGTGCTGGAGAACGCGCGACCGAGGGGCCGAGCCACCAGGAACCACCGGGAACGCGCGGTTTCGAATCTACGGAAAAACACACGCTAAAAAACACGACGGGCTATTGTGCTGCACAGCGTAACACGTCCGCGGAGGGGGGGGAGGGGCGGAGAGGGAGAGCGGGATGACGACATCAAAACATGGCGAACATGGCGTCGGGCGCCTCTTCCATCTGCCGTGCGCGCGAGCGCGGCAGCACATCCGGTCCGCGAACGTAGACCCGCCGCGCGGCTTTTTCCTCCTCTTTTTTCCTTCTCTCGATCGTTTCCCCCTTCGTGAACGTTCACGCACCCGGCGGGTTTCTTCGAGATGTTTTTTCTCATCGAAAGCATGTTTCTTTTTTCCCTCTTTGATTTTTTAACGCGAGCGATTTTTTTCTCTCAAAACGCGATATTTCTATTATTTGTATTCTCTCTCTTTCTTCTATAAATATTCAATAAAATTCGTTGGTAGGGTTATTTTTTTTCCAATTCTTACGTAACTATTTTTCTAATGGAATTGATAATTAAATCGTAAATTTATATGACAATTTATATGGTACATTTCTACTGGTGTTAAATTATAAATTACTAAAGGTGAATATACACTGAGCGAATAAATACATTTATGAACAGCGAATACAAATATGAGTAAGAAAAAACAAGACACATATGCTATTATGTAAGTGGCTATCTTAAGTAGAGAATATTTAAAGTTCCGAAAATTTTTCTATTTGACAGCTAATCATATGATCATATGTTTATGTTTCTTGTTGGAAAGTTTTCATTCGTTTGATTGATTTAAAATTAGGCATTATTGAAAATAGAGTTAATGGATATTACTATCATATTTTATGTATAATTGATAATAAATGTTTGATTATATTTTTTTTTACAAAGAGAGAATATCCGATTTCTCATTTGAAAATACAGAATTTTCTTACAAATAAAAAAACCTAGTGTTTTGGTGAAATATCTTCCCTCGATTTGGCAACACTGAGTTCGATTACCATCCGTCATTACAAGTTATTACTAAACATCGTTCAACATTTTGCAATGCGTTTTTAAGTATATTTACCCTATAATCTTTTTGTAAATATATATACTTCACAATTAGTTTTAATTAGATAATTATAAACGTAGTCATGACGGAGACATGGGAACTGGATCATCGCGATAAAAAGAGAATTAGGGAAGTGAAAAGGAAGGCTCGTCCAGGTAAAGAAAATGGAACTTGCGATTTATAACCTACATCGTAAAAGTGATAAAATCGCTGATGTTTGTCCTTCTCTGGCTTTTTCGTCTCCTCTCATTTATCTATTACACGCAGCTTTAAATCGAATCCGAGCTCTTGAGGTATAAATAAAAATTATGTCGTTCACTGACTTTCTCCCGATTGTCCTGAGGAAGACGAGAAATCTATCAAGTGCTCCTCCCTTCCCCTTCTTTCTCAAAGACCTTGGATGATGATGATGATGTAATTTGATTTCTCGATAGTCTTAGTCATAATTCAATTTACAGTTTCCAGTTATTTGCTAATTTAATTCGATATATAATTTTACATACATGTTGAATATTTGGAATTAATATTCTTTCAACATTATACAAATAAAGGCTTCAGGATTTAACTATTGAAAATTCACTTGTATTTTTAGAGCTTGCTGATAAAAATGCATGGACTCAACACAATTATTATAAAAATTTTCGAAAATTTTGGGAATTTGTGGACAATGCCGAGCGAATTAATGAATCCGACGTGACTACAGAAGATTTCGTAGAAAAGTATGAGAAACCTTACAAGCCTGTGATAATACAAGGTGTTCAAACTGGCTGGAGAGCCCAGCACAAATGGACTATAGAGGTTTATCTGTTATAATTTTTTAATATGTACAACATTGGTATATATTAATATATGTCCAATATATTAATATATCTACTCAAAACTTTGTATATTTGACTATGTGTACAATTTGATTCTCTTTATCCTTTGCAAATACAAAGTACTGATTGTCCAATTATATAAGAAAGAAAAATTATCTTTTAAATCATTGGACACATTGACAAAATTATAATTAATAAAATTAATTGTACAAAATTCTACAATATTTTTAATTTCTAAATTCTGTTTTCTTATATGATTCCAGAAGTTAGCAAAGAAATATCGGAATCAAAAGTTTAAGTGTGGAGAAGATAATGATGGATATAGTGTAAAAATGAAGATGAAATATTATGTTCGTTACATGTTTAATAATGAAGATGATTCTCCCTTATACATTTTCGATAGTTCGTTTGGTGAACATCCAAGGCGAAAAAGGTTGTTAGAAGATTATGTAATTCCTAAATACTTCCGGGATGATCTTTTTCATTATGCTGGAGAACATCGAAGACCGCCATATCGTTGGTTTGTAATGGGTCCTGCAAGATCTGGTGAATATTTTACGACTAATATATGCCATATAAATCGTTTGTCTTGTTAAGATGTTAATGTTATATTTATCATTTGCAACGAATATTAAATCAGAAATCACTGTAATTCATTACATATTTCAATAAGAAGTCACATAATACTGCATATCACATGCATTTAATAAGATTGTAAAAAGAAATAATTAATACTTCGTTTGTACACTATATTTATTATTTTTATGGTAACATAACAGGTACAGGAATACATATAGATCCATTAGGTACCAGTGCGTGGAACGCATTAATTTCTGGTCATAAACGTTGGTGCCTATTTCCTACGCATACTCCTCGCGAACTTTTAAAGGTAACCGCAACTGAAGGTGGTAAGCAGAGAGACGAAGCTATTACATGGTTTTCCATTGTTTATCCTCGCACAAAGCTACCCACGTGGCCAAAAGATTGCCACCCTATAGAGATTCTACAATCTCCTGGTGAAACTGTTTTTATTCCTGGTGGTTGGTGGCATATTGTTTTAAATCTTGATGAAACTATAGCAGTAACACAGAATTTCTGTTCACGTACCAACTTCCCGGTAGTTTGGCACAAAACGGTAAGAATCCGATGCAACGTAACATATAACACTTTATCTTTACAATATTGTAATATCGAAAAAGTTGCATGTATATAAGAATATTTAAATTTATATAATGGAAAAATAACATTTACAAGCATGTAATATTAAACAGCTCGTTGCAAACAGGTACGAGGGAGGCCAAAATTGTCGCAGAAATGGTTAAAAGTACTCTATGATAAAGAACCTGAACTGGCAACACTAGCGGAAAGTATAGATGTAAAAACGGACACTGGTGTTGCCAGTGATTCCTCGAGTGGTTCTTCGAGTAGTTCGTCGAGTAGTACCAGTAGTAGTCAATCAGAGGATAGCGAGGACGATAGTGGTCAAGAATCACTTACCGCGCATAAAAAGAAAAAGAGGTATATATAGCAAAAACTTTTCTATTAATTAAAATTCTACAATACAATGTTTTCCTTTCTTTTTTTTTATACAATTTATTTTTCGTAGCATTATGAGCATATATACGTTAAAGAGGTAACTGTTTTTAAAATTTTTGCTCGTTTTAAAATTTTCACAGAAGAAGATTGAATAACAGCCAACCCTGACAATATCCAGTATTTGGAACCTACAGAGACCTCAGACTGTACAGTATTAATCGACAATTATTGTTTGTACTAAGAATAAATATTATAATTATTATGATTACAATCATATCTTTATGTTCATAATAAAATAAATATTAGATAACATATAGTTTTTTCCTCTCAGACCATTTTATCTAAATTCCTTTAGTTAGCATTTAGGCGTATGATAATGCACATAATTCCTATTTTAGACGGATCTTCTTAATTATAATTTAATTGTGATTTTGTTTAATATAATATATTGTCCTACATTTTTTTACTTAATATTAAAAATTAAAAAAGAGTCAAAGTATAAAACAGAGTCAAAGAATATAATAGAAAATAATATAAGTCATTTTTTTTTGGAGAGTATATTCTCAATAATACTAAAAAAAGATTAATAGCAACGTATAAAAGTATAAACTAAACATGACAGATGGTCAAGTGCATTATCATTTAAACTGTATAATTGCAAATTAAATATAATATTTAGTAGAACGATGCATGTTAGCTTTTCAATGAGTTGCTCCTGTAGAAGGTCCTTGCGTCTCGTTTACAATTCCACAATTTCACAGTTCCATCGCTTCGTATCGACATGATGACCATGCAAAGCACCAAAGTGGAGTAAACAACATAGAAGCAAGTAATAACATATATAAATTAAACATTCATATACATTATAAACTCTAATAGATTTACGTAAAATTATTGAGTTTTTTAACATTTTGATTCGATTAGTGAGAGTAATTTTATATTGTCTTTCGTAGTAAAAAAAAAAATATATATATCTACAAAGTTAGGCAAACAAACGATCTCGTATATTTAAATTTGTTTATCTTCAAAACAGTTATTGTTATTTGTTTATCTTAAAATTTTTAGTTTTTGGCAATTATTAAATTGGTGTATAATATGCAGATATAAGACGCAAACGCAAAAATATAGATTTTAAGTTTATAGAATATTATATGTTTGCGCGTTTTATTTGATTTTAAAACATTTTCACAAATATACTGTGTACAATGATCCAATGTGTGATAACATTTGATGAATGTCATAAGCATAATATAAATATGGCTTTTTACCATTACATATTTACATTATAATATAGAATATATTATTACGTTAAACTCTGTTAAACATGCGCATTACTGAGAAAAAAAATAAACAAAAGAAAAAGGAAATACAAGCTTAATGCACAACACATTGACGTACAAGCAAAAAGCAAATAAAGTTAAAGGGAAACTGTGGAGATAGACATTGATAATGAAGAATCGGGTATACGCCACAGCTTCACCTCTCCAGAGCTGAAATCAACATCCGAGACCGTTATTTCACCTAGAATATTGTAACGTGGTCCAGCTGAACTCAAGTATCTAATTCAATCGTGTACATTAATCTCATAATTGATCTGCGAACATCTGCCAACTGTTTTGGACACGGCCAAATATATAAAAGTGTTAAGATATTCTTTTACTTACTTGCTCGCTGTAAATACATGCTGTTGATTAGTCACGATAGCATTGATGGCGGAAGTGTGCGCCCGGACTTCTCCAATAGGCGTGCATTCTCCCGAATGATCCTTAGGAACGGACCATGCCTTGAGTATACCACCACGACATCCAGAGATCATTATAGAACCATTATTTATCGTGCACAATCCCAAGATCCAATCTTTATGGGCGTTGTTGAGAGACTGAATCAATTCCATTTTACTCAGGTCCCATCGTTTAATGCACATATCTCTAGAGCCTGAAAGATAATTCAAATGAAACGTTTTTGTGACATTGATTATATATGTTGATAACAAGACAAGAACGTACCAGAAAATAATGTGGAACCGATCGTAGCTAAACACTGAACTCCATCATAGTGCGGTGGCGCTAAGCTGATGGACGAACCGGACATATTCGGCTCGGCGAGAGATATCAAATGATCCTTACTACCAGCTATTACTCTGCCATCCTCGCCAACAGCCAAGCACATAACGGCCGCTGTGTGTGGTGTATTTAATCTAGCAGTATACGTCAATTTACGAAGATCCCATATTCTGACTTTGTCGCTAGCTGCTGTATACAATTCCTGCTCGTCCAAGCTGAGCGCCAGATCGTTAATCGTCGTTTCTCCTACGGGAACTTGCAATATCCTGGACGGAGTCGACAATGCGATCGGACCAGTCTGAGTCTGACCCGAGGAGAATAGCGTCTTTACACAACTGCCGGCTCTTAAATCCCAAACTTTAACGTATGCTGCGGACACGCTAAATAAAAGTCGATGAATAGCGGAATATTTCACGGCGACTACATTATTGGGATGCCCGCTTAAAGTCTGACTCTCGATTCCCGTTTCTAAATCCCATACTTTTACAGTGCGATCTGAAAATTCGCGAGGTAACATTTTACCTGTGCATGCAATTATGTCAAAATTTTCGATATCAAGTATCATTCAAATACCTTTTGAACCGCTGAAAAGTAAATCTGAAGTCACGCATATAGTGAGGACAGCTTTGCTATGTCCTTCTGCTACATGAGAACATTGTAAAATAGCCCGTGGTTGTACCTGAAAAAGGATCATTAAAAAAAATTTTATATCAGAAAAGAGAATTAGAAAGAGATTATTATTTTGCCCTTTTTACCTTGCCTTGATACTGTGAGATGATTCCTTTCATTGGTTGCGGTTCAGATGCGATCGGTTGTCTACTTGCAGTTAGTCTCGAGAATACGTTTTCTTCGCGGCTATTGAATCGCCTGTATGTAGTCGGAGATCCAGGAGGTGAAGACACATCCGTATGCGCTACCTGTTCCCTGAGTAGGTGCGTTTGTTATGTTAGCGTGTTAGTCAGCCAGCTATTAAGTTAAGCTAATATAATATGTAATACAGACTTGAAAAATTATATAAAAACATGCATGTGCGAAAAAGAGGTGCAGTAAAGTATTAATCAAGCTTATTCATGAAAGTTTATGCAACACAGGAATAGTGCGCATAATCAAGCACAATTGTTAGTTTCAGTCTTTATGATAATTTCATACTATAAATAAGAAACAAGTACGTCATGTTAAAAGGAGATTCTTCGGTAGCTATCGTATTTGTGCTTCTTGTTTCAATGCTCGTTATTTATTTCTTTATTCTATATTACAGAGAGAAAATAACTCTTACATCTATATACATATTGAGAACACATGGACATTATTGTATAAATTAATTCTAAATCTAATCTTTTTTCTTCTCGTTGCAATCATTAACAATATATTAATATAAAGTAGAAAATCAATTAAATGAAGAATTAATATTCATTATCAAATTCTTTGCCAAAATATATATAGATATAATTGTGTATAAATTAATATATATATATACATCTTTTACTTATTTTTAAACGTAAAATGCTGTTTGTGTGTGAAAGCAAGATGTACGAAAATAAGATTTAGCTTTCTCATTTTTTACACTTCTCATTTTATACACTATATATTATATGGCATATATATTCACATGTGTAAAAAATCTTATTTATTTTACAATATATATAATGCTTAGAAATATATTTTACTATTAAACATCTTATTTAATAAGCTCAGAGATATTTGGAGAGCAATATAACAGATGCTTTCCTTGTAATATAATTGCATTTGTGCGTTTTTTTATTACAACAATAAATCGATTTATCTTTCAAACTAGTTCATTTCTCTCACAAAACCTGCAGCATTTAACATCATTTTGCGCTTTATTATGTATATTTTATGTGTGTATGTGTGTATATGCAATAATTATTGTATATTATATTTAGGCACGAAATACCTGTACTTGATTCCTGTATCTCAAACACAAAATCAACAAACTAAGATTTCATCTCGAGAAAATAAAAATATTCAATAGTGCATGGAAGAGAGCATCAAGACAAATATATGCAAGGAATACAAGAACAAGAATATGCTGCAGGACAATCACTCACATGGAGCCTCCACCTGGATGAATCGGCCGTCGCAAAGCTCTGGGCGAAGTGCTCTCACGACGACTCAAAGTCGGCGATCCGCCAGTACTACCATGTTGATTTCGTGTTAACACCAGTCCTCTGATTAGATAATTTAGACAAAAGTAATGAATTATAATTAGTCAATTTTCCTACCCTTTTTACAAGCAAATAAATTTAATGCGATCGTATTGAGCTACTTACTTTAGGCTACCTGGCGCACTGGGGACTCTAGTAAGAGGGTGGTTATAGTTTTGATTCTGATCTTCTGCTTTTGTCATATTCTCGGGATTAACGTGTACCCATAGAGAAGTTCTTGTGGCTGCGTTGTTCTTCTTCTGACCTTACTATTACGCTGTTTTTCTTCACCGAGTATGATTTGGCTATAAATTTCGCTGCTGTATACGCAATACAAGAAATGTCATAAAATTAAAAATGATGAAATATTTCATAAAAATGATTTCGAAAGAGTATTTGACTTACTTGTCGGGAGAAGAACTTCTTGAGCTAGCTGGACTATAAGTTGATATATTATTCTGATTATTGGTAAGAGATAAAAGATCTCTATCGCGTAAAACATGCTCAAGTAATTGATGTTGCACGTCACTCTCTTGCGCAACTTGATTGAGCCGTGATTCCATATCTCGTACTTCGAGTTGCTTCTGTGCGGCCATGCAGCTTTGCTCTACAGTAAACGCGAGCATTCGTTGAAGTAAGTATTGTGCTTCATCCACCGTTCGAATCGTAGAGATGAGCGCTTCGACACCAGGTTCACTTTCCGCTTCACCGTCGCCCATTTCAACCATATCCCGTTGACATTCCGCGATACTATCCTATAAAATTTTTGCAAGATTATAGTAACAAAGATGAACAATATCGTATTAAATAGATTATTAGTAATTACCTGCAAGTAACTGATTTTACTCCGCACGTTATCGATCTCTTCATCAATATCGATGATATCTCCTCTTGTGTTTGTAATTTGACTTCTATGTTTCTGGAGCTTCTCCAAATCTCTTCCTAGTTCTTCTCTCTCTTGAAGTAGTCTTTCCATTTCTCTCTCCGTTTCTGCGGCAGCTTGTTTCGCCAATGCTTGTTTGGTGATTGTCCTTTCGAATGTTTGCCACCTTTGCTTCAACGCTTTAGGATTAGGTGGTCTGGCTGGTGCACGGCCAGCAGCCTTTTGACTCAATCCTCGATCCCTTTTTCGTAGAGCCGTTACCTCCTCTTGCTTACGCCTAAGTACAACTTCTTTCATTCTTTTGTCTGCTTCCAGCGTTCTAATCACATTCGCATGTCTGCGACTCTCCTTACGTAATTGAGCTATTTCTCTATTGCGTCTCAGCTCATTTTCTTTATGTCGTTGTGCTTCTTCTCGCATTTTATTCAAAAGTTTCACCTTTGCTCGTTTCATTTCCGAAAGTTCGTTTCTCAGACCTCTCAATCGATTTTCATTCTGCGATTGATTCTTCAGTAATCTCGCATGTTCTTTTTTAGCAGATTGAAGAAGTCGCATTTCCTTTTGCATGTTAGAGAGCTTCTTTTCGTATTCGTCGCGTAATTTTTTCACCTTTTCAGTAGGCGGTGTAGGTTGTTGTTGCAAAGACTGCAACACTTTATCCCTTTCTTCTTGTGTGTTTCTAATACGAGTTTGCAATTGAGCTAATTTATCCTCATAATGCTGTTTCATAGTTTGCAAACGTCTCTGAGAGAGCTCAAGCTCTTGTATCAAACGCTGCTTAACATCGATGTCGGATGTTAGCGCCTCTAGTTCACGACCCATGGCTGCTTCTTCTTCATCTTCTTCTGTAAAATTAATGTAATAACTTATGAATGAAATATTTTCGCATTCTTTAATGATAAATATTGCTATTAATTGTCATATATAGCTATCGTAAACATAATGTAACAGGCTGCATTTAAACATGCCTTTACGATCAGAGTCATCGTCGGAATCATCCTCGCTTACAGAGTCCTGTGCATTCTCCGTATCTTCGATTTCTCCTTCATCTGATTTGGCAGTAATGCTACTATGACTATATTGTTCCTTTAAAGCTTTTAGAGTTTCTATCTCCTTTTCGACATCTCTTTTAGCATCAATTAACACAGACGCGGAATCGGAATGGAACGAACTATCCCCATATGGATTTGCCGCGCTAACCTAATTAATATTTTGATAATGTGTCGGTAAAATTTATATCTTTTAATATTTTAATATAATACGGTATAAATAAGTATACCTGCATCTGTCTTTTTTTTAACTGCTGATACATAGCTTCCGCCTCCAACAGACGAGCTCTTAACTCTTCTATTTCTTGAACGTAACCTTGTACCAGATTAGTCACTTGTTCGTCACCTCCACTTGTTGCCGCTACCCAATGACCCGCTGCTTTTTCCGCCAACAAAAGAACATTTTTGGCGGTTAATGCTTCAACCGTTTCCGAAAGCGCTTTCACTCTGGTTCGCAAACTCTGTAATTCACTACTTAACATTTGATTTTCATGCCAAGCATCATTAATTCCATCTTCACCGACAACTCTCTTGCCTAAAAGAAAAAAAAAAGAATATATTGTTGTACATAATGTTCAGATAACATTATACAGTAGCTTTTTATTAAACGTGCCTTGTCTATATTCCATCAATTCCAATTGAAGTTGTTGAATTTCACGTCGTAACGAAGCGATTGTTCGCGAGCTCTTATCCTGATTAATAGTAACTTTATTCTTTATATTTCTTGCTCGATTCGCATATTTTAGAGTACTTAGAGTTTCCATAAAATCTCTATCGCTCGGCGATACACACGCTATCATAACAGTTTGACTATTTCCTGCAATATTCAATTAAAACATTTAAAATTGTAAATCTTATATCCGATACCCTATATATTAAACTAAATTTTACATCTATATTATATTATCTACATTTTATATTATGATTATGAGCTACATTACCTCCGAGAGAATCTTGAAGTAATCTGGTTAACTTTGAGTCTCTATATGGTATGTGTGAAGCTTTCTTTGTTTTATCACCGAGAGCAGAAATAACATTACCCAACGCCAACTATGAAAAAAATGAGTAATACATAACAAATCATATGTTAACATTCTATTCTTTTAAGAGCCTATACTCTTACCAATCCACAGTTTATAGAGATGCCTTCCTTTGCTCGATCGCCGGTAGCACCCGTTCGTTTTAGCCTCTCAGAACCGGCCAAATCGACAAAATGAAATTTCGCTGTTAACGTTTCAAATTCATTCGTTAGCTCGAGGCCGCTCGTGTCGACGTCCGCGTCTGGATCCTCAACTTTGATGCATCTCTGCTGTTTGATGTATAACGTAAATATAGCGTGCGATCTCGAGGATTGCGTGTTCATTTGCGTGGATCCTGTTGTGCGCGATAACGCGCCCAATCGCAGATACTCTAACGCTTGTTCAGGGCTGGTTACGACGCGCGGTTCCACTCCAGCCAAGTGTATATTACCCGCTGTATCCTCGTGAATACGTGCACCACCTCTCGGTCCTCCCGGCTCTAATAGATCTTTCAAATCCTCATTGTATAATTCTAAAAATTGTGCTGTGACCTGATAACAAGAAAAAAATATATATTATCAGTATAATAAATTTTGCAGACGTGTCTTTAATACAATTTAATATAAGAACACATCATTGTATACGGATATAAGGACGCCTCTTGAAAATACCTTGAACTCTGGAGGCATTTGCGCGCGTTCCTTTGCGCGTTCTTGTTTATCCATTATTCCATCGAAGAGGTGTGAAATAGCTCTAGGTATGATTCCGACTATATCCTCGTCGACTTCCACGTCGAAGCCAGTGCCCATGGTGTAAGTTTTCCCCGAGCCAGTCTGCCCGTAGGCGAGGACCGTCGCGTTGTATCCGTCCAACGCGCCTTCTACGAGACGATTCACGCATGTTTCGTAAATCGAGTTTTGATCTGATTGAGTATCAAAAACGTAATCATAAGTAAAGGCCTTGTCGGGTCCGAGAAAAACCTGCGGTTCCCCCTGAGGTACTTGAGTACAAATCCTGCACATGTCGATTACTTCGCGAGCTACCTGAGGCCTTATTCTGCAACAAATACAATCAATTCTCATGGTGGATTTTTCTTGTCAAAATTTGCATGGATATGTAAATATAAAAATTAATGAATAAAAATAAATGATTGAAAAAACAAATCGATATACATTGTAAGTTATTTTTAAAGACCAATTACGCATATCTGTCACGGAAGTTGACCGGGTGTGCGTTTCTTAAGGCAAGCAGTAATTAAAAGCCCACGCATTCGTATCGTAAAAGGAAATGTTTGGAGATCGGTATTCGCGATCGACCAGATGTTGTGCGCAGGCTATCGTTTGACATTCACGGTTTTTCGCGAGAAAATCCTTCTTTCTCCTCTGTATTTTTCCGTCATTGATTTATAATGACGGAAAGATCCTCTCATCCTCAAAAATTGCATCATTACGCGATCGTATGAATAACAAGCTTTTTTTTCCAACGATGACGTTAATGTTCTGACGTAAAAAAACATCGAGTGCGCGATGACACAGAAAGACGAGAACTATAAATTAAAAAAAAAATAGTAACAATTTGTTTTCTCAAATGAGTCGAATTATTCCTATAATTTTTCGAAAAAAGAAAAAAAAACTCCGAATACGCGCGAGATCAGCCTCGGACAGTCCCTTCGTTCAAACGATTAAACGTCATCGGCTGTCATCGTGATGGACCGAGATGTACGGATTGAAGATTTGAAGCCCGACTTCGCTTTCTCCCTTTCGAATGCACGTATATTTACTACTCACCGTACGGCTACGCGTACGCTCGAATCATCCGCCATCTCGCTACAGTTTATTGGCAGACTATTGCAGGATTCGAGAAGACAGCTCGGTATTAGGCTAGAATTAGGCCAAAACTACCGCACCGAGGGCGAACGGTTGTCGGAGGCGAGTGGTTGTGCGACAGTGCCCACGATGTTGTGCCTGCGCACGCGTTGCTAAACGCAGCGACCGTGAAAGACTCGACATTCCTCATGGTTACGCGAAGGAACGTGAAGCACCGCTTTCGCGACGGGGCGGTCGAGGCGATCCATTGTACGTACGTACATATATACGCGTAACGATCAGCTTGCTAGATAATAGCGTGGGAGTTCCGAGAGCTGCCTCTTAATCACCTGTCACGGTGTACCGTACCATTGTTTCTATAGTATGTGCGGTGAAATTTAATGAGGCTGTATCGCGCGTGTTGGATGAGGTAATCGTTATCGAGACGACACAGCATGGTTACAAGCATGAATAAAACAGATGTATCGTGGGACGTCGGGATAGATTTATGCGTGACATCATCATTGACGATGTTAGTTGTCAGTCCGGAGATAATTGAAGAGCGCCAACGTTATCAACCGTTTAATTGCACTGTCGATAATAAAATAATTTGATAAAATGTTGTTTATTATTCTTGGAATAGAGTTACATGAAATCTCTGTAAATTTTTGATAATGAAATAATATTGAAGAGTCTTATATTGTTAATAAATTTTGTCAGTGTTATATTGGTTATAAATAATCATAAATTTCTTCTCTGTCAAACTAATTTTAATAATAAATTTAAACAGTTTAGATCAACTTTACTTAAATTTTGTTAAAAATACATTTATTACCTGTCCTTTTGCATAAAAATAAAAATCATCACTTAATAGTAAAAAAAGAATTAAGCATTAAATAAATTAGGAAATTTAAATATTAAAATTGATTCAATTAGAGAAATTTCATCATACTTATCAATAAATAATAAAAAAAGAAAGGTTGATAAAAAATTAAGAAATCTATCATAATGATAGAATATCATAAAAGAAAAAGCATACAAAATTTAAAATACATATATAGTATATCTACTAATATACATATAATTATTAAAATTATTGAGCAATAGATATATACTAATGGATATTAAATTATTTTTTTCTATCATGTCTGCTCATATTATTGTAGTCTATCAATATGACAGATTTCCTAGCTTTATTTGTTAAAAATTTCTTTATAAATAATTTTAATGATTCTTATCGAGCAATGATATTTACTTTTCAAATCTTCAATTTTAAATAAAACACAATTGTATTATTCTTATCAAAACTTAAATTAAAAAAAGTCAAACTAAACATTTACCTTTCTTTGAATTTCGATTTATATATTACAAAAATATGTGTAATAAATTGAAAGATATCAAATCCAAATCCTGTCTCAATTTTTCTTCCTGTTGAATATTGTCGAACCATCTTGATAGATGGATGTATTGTATTTTCTCTTGTCCACTTAATTCTTTCTGTAAAGTAAGATATGAAAATTATACAGATCATTGTTTTAGATCAAAATTCATAAAATACACTATATATATAGTTTGATTGTTACCATTATAGAATGTAAAACATAATACAATGTGACATCTGCTATAGTCTTTTCTGTACCCGTTATATATGTTACATCTTTTAATACTGTATTTAGTTCCTACAATCAAAGAACATTGATTAATATTCCATCTTTTTGTTTTTTTAAGTATAAGTATATATTATGACATTACATTGAATACTCTCTTGGCATTAACAGGAAGATCAGCGTGATTGACGCATACTGTAACATATTCTAACCATTGTTGCGTTAAAGCTTGCACTTCTTTCTCACTACAGAGCATATTGGAACATTTTGAACTCGCAACGAGTGCTTGTATAATAGTACTGAATCCTTGAATGGGTAGCGTATTTTTTCCGCATTCTGGAATAAGTATTATCTGAAACATATGTGCTTCATGTATCAATTAATTTCATAAAAATGTCGTATTTTTTATTTTTAATTTGATATCATTCTGCAAGAGAACATTCTTTTTCATGAAAAATTAACAATTTAATTAAATTTTATATATATTTATGAGGAACAAAGTATCACACTTTAAAAACGCTGATTAAATGAATACCGCTTACATTTTTATTAGAGATCTCTAGCCCTTTTGAGGGAACGTCGAGATATTGCGCTATTCTTTCTACACATTCGATATTACACAAACCCATGATAAATGTAATATAAGAATAATGTGCGACTCGTAATACAAAAGCTGTAACTTGTTGTAACAACGTTAAAAGTTCGCCATGTGCTGTCTCGATATCGATTGTAACAGCTGAGAAAAATTGACTCGAACATTTCGATATTTCGAGAATCACAAATATCGCCCTTCGATAAATTTCAAATTATGAATCGATGAATCCAAATTTTTTGTCGTTATATTCAAAATAAAATATCATATAAAAAATTACCATATAATATATAATAATATTTTAATAACGAGTTAAAAATTTGTCAGAACGCTTCATCGAATGGTCGTCAGTTTTTCATAATTTAATAGAACTTTCATTCAATATAAGCGAACGAGAGAGAGAGAGAACACAGACGATCGCAAATAATTATCGAATTTATATAAAATTATTAATTAAATAATTAGTTTATTATTCGTCCATCGTTCATTCAAATTCGTTAAATCCGATTTAAACGCGCGATATATTCATGCAAAAATATCATTGTTTTTAATGAAAGAGGCAATAATGAAAATAAATTCATTATAAAATATCGTGGAGTGAAGGACGATAGGGATTTATTCGAAACAAACGACGCAATATGCGTACAAATGGCATCCAGTTATTATGCGCCTCGTGCTCATTGATTCATTATACAAAATACGCTGCTAATTGCGCCATTTTGTCCTTTGGCGGTTTCGGTTTGCCCCGATTACGACTCTTGGTGTGACCTCGACCACGCGTGACGACTGGTTTCGAAGCTACCGCACGGTGCTTTTCTACTAACGCAGCGAATACCGGTGTGCAAAACACACAGCCGGACATTTCGGTCGCCTCGTTAGGGAGTTTACTCTTATCCTGAAATAATAAGAAATAAATACAATAGAGCACATAAGAGATCGTGATTTTCGTTGATGCATAAAAGTTATAAAAGGCATAAATAAAAATATGATTTCTTGTTAAATATCGCTATCTCTTTTATTGCGTTGCAATCATAATCTGATTCACTTATAAGCAGTCTGTAATTTCTATGCCTAAATTCTAGCGTTACCTGTTTATACTCGACAGTCACTAATTGCGCGCCGCAGTCGCATGTATCCGTATCGACTGTCACTTTGTGCGCGTTTTCGAATAGGTGGATAATAACGTCGCAACGATTACATCCCAGTTTCCACTTGGGCGCGGCTGAAGGATCGAGCACGAGAATACCTAAATCGCATTCCAAACAGCTGGATAAGCCATTTGAATTCATACCATGTGGACATGTTGGATGTGTACATGAATTGCAACCACTCATTCCTTTTTTCATATCCCTAAAAATGATAGAGGAACAATTCTCAATTTTCCTTTCAGATTGACTCTTTTATATTCGATTCTTGATGATTAATAAGGTACCTGAACGGTGGATTATTGTAACAATATGGGCAAAACGTATAACTTTTCCCTCGTGCTCCTGTTGACCATGAAAGCAATTCAAAATCATCCAATGGACACTTCAATTCCTTGTATATTCGTATGTTTCCATTTTGAGGTAAATTGTAAGTTTCGTTACAATGTGCGCAGTGCATCCTGGATGGTTTAGTTTGGATATACTTCATATATCGACGACATTTACCGCATCTGTGATATATAATAGACAATCGAAAGAAGTACATGTATAAATTTATATAAAGTAAACAAGAAAAAAGAAATCATGTAATGCGGTTATTGTCGTGATTATTGTTAATATATACCTAGAATGCGCTTTACCGGATGCCGACAGCGGAGAGAATGAGACTTCGAATAACTGATCCATAGCTTCTATACTTTGTACAAAATAATGAAACTTTTGTTTAAATATTTCCACTGTATGTTGTAAAACAGCATGAAAATCAGCGCGACCTAATGCTATTAGATTCAGTTGCTCTTCCACTGCAGATCTCATTGTGGGTAAAACTAATTCAGGATCTATCTAATGAGAAGAGAATATATATGTTTTACGGAAAATATATCATTATCAGTATCGCAAATTGAAATCAATGATACCTTTTGATATCCATGAACCAAAACGATTCCAAGAGAAGTGGGCACTAATTTTCTACCTGCTGCAACAGTGACATAGTTTCTAATACAAATATTATTTATATGTACAGGGATTGAAGCGTCTGTTCCAATGCCATGTTTTTCCATAAGAGTTATCAATTCTGCTTCTGTTAAATAATCCGGCGGTTGTGTATAACATTCGATTAATTTTGCCTGTAACAGTAAAAGCAAGTGCTCTATCTATTGCTAAATTACAATAATCCTCTTTTTAAATACCCAAACAGAAAAATTAACATAAATACATGATAAAAATATCTCTTACCTCTTGTATATTTACTTTTTCGTCGAGCGTAAATTTCGGTAGAGTATCATTATTGCCAAGCGCTTGCCAAGTAAGAATACTTGTGTATCCAGGACTTAACAAACTGTGGCCAGTTGCTGTAAATGTTTCTATGCCTATTTCAAATTTTATTGTAGTGCTCATATATTTACAATCCCGCGCCAACTAGAATTCAAAACAGAAAAAAAAAAAAATATATATATATATATATATAATGTCCACTTATTTTTCAAAATTTCACAAATCATACATCAATATCAAACATACCGTAGCAATAAAGTGTCGCGTTATGTAATCGTACAATCTCCATGAATCACCGTCGAGTTCGTTTCTCGTTGCATGTTTCATGGGTGTTATAGGGGGATGGTCACCTGCATCATGACCTTTCTTTGGTCTATTAATACCAGCTGCTACTATTTTACGAACTTCCTCGCCCCAATCTGGAGAATTTTGTTGTTGTTTCAATGTTGAACTTGAAAAAATAAAATAATTATAATAAGAGTAAACCATGTATATATACAAAATTACTATTTGACGATTGATTTATATCAAGGATTCTATAAGCTATGTCTTACAGCAAATCAAAATTTTCAGGATACGATGTCGTTTCTGTTCGTGGGTAACTTATGTATCCTTGAGTGTAAAGTCTTTCTGCAATTTGCATTGCGTGTTGTGGACCCATTCCCAATCCAGAACTTGCAATTCGCATCAATTCCACTGTATTTAAAGCTATAGGTCGCGATTTTGATTTCTCTGTACTTTGTACACTCACTACACTATACAAAATTTTGAATATTTTATAATCTTCTAATTTACACAAAGATTTTAAGAATGTATAAGGTATAACTCACGTTGCGCGATCGTGTTCCTTAACATGACTTAGGAACATGTTTGCAACCTCTTTGTCAAAAGAACGTACACGACTCCAATTTAATACAATATCTTGACCATCAGAACACTTAATAGTTACCTAAAAATAATATGAAAATATTATATTATATCCTTCTTAATACAAAGTATGTTTTAAAGTACATATCATTATATACCTGTAACACCCAATATGGATCTGGTTTGAAAGTTTGGATCTCATCATGCCTTTGAACACAGAATCCTAATGTTGGCGTTTGGCATGGACCATAAGAAATAAGAGATACATCTAAATCTCCATATTTACCCTAAAAAGTATAATAACATACATTTCAAAACCTTTTATTAGCCCTACATATTATGTAAGAACATTTGTATAACCTACTTGAAAAAATTTAGTTTGATATCGTGTAAATGCACAGCCTATTCGCAAATCCAACTCTTGACGCGCATCAACGCTTTTTGCTTCATTTTCATTGGGTTTTATTAAATTTGACAAAGCAGATTTTATATCCTTTTCTGTGATAGCAGAAAATCGTGCTCGCCATATATCCTATTGAAGATAAAATTATGAGAATTTGTTCAAAAAAAAAAAATCTAAAAGAGAAGATTTAAAAGCTTTAATATTGAACTTACATTTATGTGTAACTTCCTATGCATTCCTTGCTGTACGGCATTTATAACTTCGAAACAAATATTTTCACCTTCCTTGTCACAATCTAGCCATAATATTAAATAATCGCAATGACTTCCTTCCTTTGCCAGAAAATATGGTATTTTTAGTTTAGGTACTGCTTCTTTTTTCTCAGTTGGACATGAGAATAATTCTGCCTAGAAGTATTAAAAAACATCCAATTATCATTGGAAGCATAATAAGAATAGAAAAATGCAATGTATCCAATTTTACCGGATCCACTTTGTCCCAATTGTTATATTTTCCAATGAAATCCAACGTCATGACGTGTCCGCATACAGAGGTCATTTTGAAATTCACCGTCTCGGATTTGAATTGTCCCACCCATTCGTGGACGGAACAAGATCCATTCAATCCTAGAAATAATATTTGTAAAGAAAAAAAGGGAAGGAAAAATGGAAAAAGAGAAAAATTTAATTTAAATTATATATCTACCTTTCCTAGTACTACATCGTCCATTGCTCAATATATTGGCGAGGGATGCTGCCAAAGAGGGTTTTTCAGCTACCATCAAAGCAGTTTTCATTTCTGCTACGATATTTTGTTCATATAATTATCACTATAAATAAAAGATTTCGATTAGCGTCGTCTCAGGTATCGCAATTTAAATAAAGGCATCATCACTTGTCAGATTCTTGGCACTGACGAGATGTTATGTATACTAAAGTAGACCGGTTTTATACAAAAGTAGCCCGATTGGAAAAACTCATTGTGATCTACTGTAGATATGTAGATTTTTTTCATTACCGATAAGTAATGTATAATGACAAGAGCTCATGTTTTTTTTTAAACAGTTACACAAAAAGATCTGTTTTCGATGACAAAAGTAATTGAATAAATTAAACTATATATAACAATGAACTGAATAAGTTTAAAAAATAATTGGCATTTGACATTTTCGAACCATACGTCAGTAATGTCATATCCTTCTATTACCACCGAGTAATTGCCTATCAACCGAGTTCCCTTGAAAATTTGCTTGGTATTTTATTTTCATTTAAAAGTAATTTGATTTTGAAACATAATTACAAACAATTTTTCGATATTGTGGAAAGTCGGCAAGGGATTTCTGATAGACTTGATTTGACTTGATATATATCTGTGAAAAGCGAAAATAAATATTATATAGATTGTGAATTAAGCAATATCACTATTTTTGCAACTTAAAACTTAAAAGGTAGATCATAACCTAAATAATAACATTTCATCAATAACTTGTATCTTTTACATCAGGATTTAAATAGTTTATAAATTACAACTCAAATACATTTATATTTATATATTATATATTTAGCCTACGATTGAAAATATCGAAACTCTGAATTATGCTCAGTATTATAATGTCATAAAAATTCGATACAGTATCACTATTTATTGTAAATTTTCAATTTTTAATATGTATCTTTTTTTACAGTTAATATCAAAATCAATTATGTTAACTATTTTACAATTTAATCATTCATTTTTGCATTCTTATTAATCTATCGAATTTATATAGCTAATATTAATTTATATAGTTTGTATTATATATGTGAAAAAAATTTATGTAAATATCATGTAAACAATTCATGTAATCTTTGAGCATAATTATGATCATAATTTATCTCGTAACTATTTTATTACGAAAAATGTGCAAATGTATTTACTACTTTAACTGTTCTAAAGATAAGAAACACGAATGTTTTAATCTAAAATCACTGAATCACTAAATCACGAATGTTTTAATCTGTAACTCTATAACACTATATTTTCTTACTGATAATGAAAATGTTTACAGAAGCATGCAACAAGTTTTTTTAATTCACGTCAACTTTTTCAGATCGGCCGTTTTTAATATCTTGTTAACGATATAATTTTTTGTGTAATGGAAAATAGAAGAAAAACGGAACGATTTACAATAAACATTTATTATTCGATGTATCTCGATAAATTATACTAGATTATATTAAATTGCTAATGATACTATTATAATTGCTAATGTAACTGACATTGAAAAATTATTCATACACGTGTATTTTTATTCGTACGACGTATTGCCAATTAAATCGAATTTGCATTTATATTAAATATAGATTGAATATTTGCATTTATATATAAAAAAACCGAAATTAAATTTAAAAAACTAATTTTTAGAGTTAGAAATTTTAGTTAAAGGGAACAAATCTTTAACCCTCTGCGATACAAGAATAATAAAGAAGCGATTAATATGCGTCATCGATCTGACATTTCTGGACGATTGATGATGAGACCTTCGAACATAAGCATAACTCAATGATGCAATCAGCCTTTACACGCAAGTATATATCCGTCATCCACATCAGATCATTAAAGATATTTTTTCATCAATTTACGTCTTTTTTCCCCACAAATATTACAATTAAATATTTCGAAGTTTCCAGCAGGCGGTTTCAAAATATCCGAGGGGAGAGACGATGGAACACGGCGCGGAGCGGTGTGTACGTATAACGCAAAAGGAGGATATCGATTGCGACTCGCGATGCTACGTACAACGAGAGGCAATACGCAATTTCATCTTGGAAGCGCGATATCCGTTCCGGATCCGGACCAGAGGAAGAAGCTCCTGGATTGAATCAGCTTTCGCCGTTTGTTAAGGAGGTAGCGAATTCTATCGCGGGGAAGCGGCATCACAATCGTGGCAGGATCGAGTCACTCGAGAAAGTCACTCGAGTGGTCCAGGGTGGGTGTCGGGGGGATGGTGGAGGTGTGAGTGGGGATGCGTGCGATATACATATGTGTATGGGTACGGAACCCGCTATGTAGTTAGGCTCCGCGCTTGGACCATGTCGAATCAGTCGGTGAATGTATCGCGGTGCGAGTGGTAGGGTCCCCCTGTCACCTAAAAAAACTGGAGTCCGCGCGATTCTCTCGCGACTAGAGTTCGGAAAGTGTCTCTCGAGAGCGTGTCGCACCTCCTCGTCCCCGGTTCACCCCCCTCGAGCAACGGCGGCGACGACGGCGGCTCCTTATGGGGTTGGTGGTCGCGCGCGTGCACGCGCGCCCGGACGACGTAGGACGACGTACGCGGCGCGACGAGAAGAACGGTGAGATGACTATCCGTCCTGGGCGCGGCGAACCCCGGGGGAAACGAGATCTGTGCGAGAGCTGAATTACGCGTGCACGCAACACAGGATCGGCCGGCATGTGCACGCGGCCTCGCCGGAGCGGGAGAGCGGTCATCTCGGCGATCATCGTCCTCTTACTCTGGCGGATTCGCTGCTGTCGGAGCGATATCGCGGACGACGCGGTAATCCCGGCCTGTAACGTCACCGCCGACAGGCGGGAGCTCGTGTGTCGCGGCGCCGATTTACTCACCGTCGAGGCGATCTACGACGTCGATCTGTCACGAGCCGTCGACGTTCCCGTTAATGTCACCAAGATGTGAGTATCGAGTGCGACCTCCCCAGGATCAATCTCGGCGGGCGCCGAGAGTGGAAGATCCACAGCTGATCGGATCTGAGACTCTTCGTGGCGCGGAGGCAGAAGTGTCAATAATGATCCTGCGCGTTGATAGATGAGAGCGAAAATGGACCGTCCACAATCTTTCGTGTTGATTCTTTACGATTTTTCGCTCGAGGAACTCGTTTGTTCAATTAATAAGTATATACCTTTCATTGATTATATATTCCATATTATATATTCCATATTATATAAACCCATTGCTCATTCTTCTCGAGACTAAAAATATCTATATATAGTCATTATAGTATATATGGAATCACGTATATGTAAAAATGATGTTTTACGTATAAATATCGTCTTTTCAATATCGTCTTTTAAATTCTCTTTGCAAATGCATTTAGAGAGGATAAATAGACACTTGACATCGCGCGTCCTACATACGATTCTAGCCGCGGGCCTTGCGTCTCGCGTCTATGTATCTCTTTCAAGTCTCTCCCTTTTATATGTATATATATCCTGATTTTAATTACACTTACATTTATAAGTAGCGTTTCGCAATAAGAAAGCCGCGCGAGATATGCGATTAAGGGAAAGAGAGCAGCGATTTTTTTTCAAGCATATAATTAACTATGCACGCGTACCTTCGTGTTCTTCCTTCGCCTCCGCCATAGATTTTTTTCTCCGATTTATCGCCGCGTTTCTTCGCCGCATTTACTCTTATATCATAATACGAAAGTTATCAAACGGGCACTTTCGATTCAGCGATAGATAAAATAAAAGAAGTAACGTACATTGCGACGCGACCTACATACCAAGCGAAATGACAGTCGATATTCTATGGATCGTGATTTAGGATCACAAAGGGGGAGAACAGGTGGAATTTATGCCAGCCCGTGCGTTCCGCTTTTCGCAGAACCGCTCGCGATTTTATTTTCCGCCGCTATAAAAGATTGTGCCACTTTGCTCTTCTACCTCGTCCGAAAAACTTGCGAAAACTGCAAATCGATCCTCGTTCGTTGCTTCCTTTTTTTTTTTTAGAAATAACATCCCGGCGATATTTCGAGCTCGGCTGCTCTTAGTCCTTTTTTGGAATAACAGCGAAAAAAAAATATGAATGGACGTAACACATCGCGGTCACTTTTACGTCGCTTCTTCTCATCTTTCCTCCCTATGTCTTTTTTAAATATTTTTTTAACAGATCATCAGACCTATACGGATGCGATAATTGTTTTTTTCTTAAAACGAAGTGATTTACCTGTTCCCTTAAATTTAATTAATCGTCGCGAATCATCGAGATACCGAGAATTTTAATAATTTCTTCGGATCGTTTGCAAATATTTGTAATTTATTAATAGATTCCTTTATAAGTGCTCCACGTCGTGCAACGTTCTTTCGTTAATATTGTAAGAAAATACGGAAGGTGACCATGGTTCCTCATGATTCTCCTCACGTTCGCGCCGATGCGGCGCGTGATGTCTATTGTGAAAGTAATTCCATTCCCGAACTTGATTCATTTTATCTGCGAAACGATGTAAGAACATTTGAAATTTTATTAGCATTATTCTTGAATGTCTGATTTTTCTTATCGCGTTATCATTGCAAGCTTCGAATGTCTCGAGAAGAATCTTTTCTTTTCTGGAGGATTTTTTTTTACGGCAATGTGCTCCGTCTGCACAGAAACGATGATTCAGGTCTTATAGTGCGTCGAACGATATATTAAATTATTGATGTATGCATTGTATAGGTACGGGGAGTACAAAGACTGGCAGATTTCAGGCAGTCCTTGAACATGAAGCGTCGAAAGTTTTCAAAGGCCTGCGTCCGTAAGGGGAATCACGGTTCCCAAAAGCGTAATTAGAATCCAATGTTCGTACGCCGAGAAAGTTCCATTGGAACTTTAAAAAAAAACGAGCTCGCGAAAGTATCGAAAGACGTCGTGCTCTCTGCCCATGTTTTTTCTATTTTAAGATGAATGAATGAGAGGAAAAATACTGTGCGCTCAATTCACGAGAGACACGGATTGCATCGTGGAGCATCATTCTTCTTTCTTTTTCTCTTTTTTCTCTGTCAAAATACATGCTGAAAATGTTTAAAAATATGCGCGAGAAAATAGTAAATATCTCAAATAATTCATTAGTAATTTTTTGAAGAAAAATGACTAATAAATTATTATGGATATAAGATATAAATAAGAAAAAATCATAAGTATATGTCATAATATATAAGAGTCACGTAAATCCGTTGATGGCGATTGCGTGCGAGCAAGTTGTCGTGTCGGGCAAATGCACTCGCTGGCCATTTGCAACAATAATCTTCCATAAATACAAGCGTTTCCCCTTATTTCGCTACATTAGATAACGTGAAAACTATCCAACAACCTGGTCTCGTTAGAGGAGCAAAAAATTTATTTTTTTCAATTAATTTCTCGTTGCGGTTGCAGCTAAACATTTTGCGCTCCAATCATAAACTTTCCGCCCCTTATTACTGTAAAATGTTTCTTCGTGTCCCGTTTCGCTTAAACGAATAAGTAGACATCGATCCATCCTGAGTGAGCAAGGTCGAGGGACCCATAAAAATCCATGCTAGAATCTAGCCCCTCGATCCGTTCCTCTCGATTCGCGCTCACGCGACACGAGCGTAAAAGCGATTTGCTAGTTTCCTCAACAGTGTCCTACTTTTTTTATCGCCCACGTTATGCCCGTAAAAGCTCTCTGCTCATTCTTGACCGATGTTTCACGCCGATCTCAACACCCGTTTTGATGTTAATCGGTCGAAATTGACGTGATTATTTCACCAACGAGAGGAATGATTTTCGAATGATAGATTGCTGATAAAAGATAAAATATATCTCGTATATTTTTTAGAGAGAGACTCTAATGATATAAATCGAATATTTAATCGCAGGCATGATCGTCCTTATTAAAGAATCTCGATCACTCACCGATGATCTTTAATAAAATGTCCGTAGTGAGGAACAATAAAAATTATATTAACAACATGTATAAGAGCATTGAATCTGTGGTTTTGCTTATGCTCGCGGGAGCACAATCAGCTTCGGATACAGTGATCTCTCTCGCAGTCATCTTTCGTAAAAGAATTATTTTTAGAAGGCATCGGAGACCCGCGCGAGATGATCCTTCGCCGGTTAACATCGTTTACATGTTTCGCTCCCCGCAAATCTTGCGTATATATGTAAAGGGAAAAAGTTACGCGAATCTATATTTTCTCTGATATTAGAAACACTACAAAATCGGAGAGGAATGCTCGGACATCTCCCGTGTCTCATACTTTAGTTGCGAAAGCTCCTTCTAATTTATTGTGTAATGTGCGATCTTATAGAATTGCCCTTTTCATATAATTGTTTCAGTGATCTATCCAACAATAATATAACGGACATTCCAATACGTGCTTTCCATCGATTCCCCAATCTCAAAATTTTGTAAGTATTCGTATTTATTACGTATTTAATGAGATTTCTCGATGTGCGAAAAAAATTACGGGGTTGAAATAGATGTTACATTCCCGGGGGGAAAAGTCTATATATAAAATATATGTTTTCATATGTTTTTCCATATATGTTTTCTTTCTCTTACGCAATCTCCTATCCGTATATGCAGGAAAAATAATAAGAAAGAAAAATAATTGAAAGAAAAAATAATTAAAGAATTGAAAAATTAGAAGAATTTTTTTGCATTGATTTTTTTTTAGAAAAATAAAAAATTAGCAAAAAAGTCTATATATGTAATGGTATATAAAAGAGAATCAAACTTAAATATAGAATATTATACAATTTTTAATAGCAATTTTACCGTTTCTAAAAAAATAAACTAGTTTTACCGTTTCTAAATAAATAAATAAGCAAAAATGATTTTTTTTAATTTTTCTTGCATAAACGGATAAAGAATATATATGTTTATTTCATTTACATGTATATATGATAATATATATATTTACATATAATTATATATGAACTTTTTTCTTGTGACTTTTTTTCACATATATAATTACTTTTAGATTTCTTCGACGTAATCATTTGCGAATTATTCACAACGACGCGTTTATAAATTTGGCGAGCCTGTATATACTGTAAGTATGTGAAAAAAATAAGATCGATTTATCTCCCTTAATATTTTATCCGCAATATTTTTCGTGTTCGTCTTATTCCTCCTCAGGGAACTTGATGAAAATTACTTGACGAGTATCCCGGCCGCTGCTGTAAATCTACCTGGTCTCAAAGATTTGTAAGTGTGTCTGTTGTCCACATGAAGTCTCTTCACAATTACCTCTCATTGAAATAATTTTCCGTCTATTTCGAGTGCGATATAAACTTTCATGAATCTCTCACGTGTATTTCCGCAGATCTATTTCGAACAATAAAATAGAACAACTCACGAGAGATGCGTTTCGCCATGCTGGTAATTTGGTGTCGCTCGATTTACGCGGAAATCCTATTAAGGAGATACACGATGAGACCTTCCAAAATCTTGGTAAACTTCGTAAGTTGTAAGTAATTTACATGCATTTCCTTGTTATCCGTGTTATGAAAATTACACGCGACAAGTGCAACAGAGACTGTGGCGCGTTGGAAGATAACGTCACGCGTTCTCTTATTAATTATAGGATATTATCGAATACGAAGGAATTGCGGATCTTCCCTAATCTAAGGGGAGCAACATCTTTGGAAATATTGAGATTGGATCGTTCCAAGCTGAAGAAAGTCCCTTCTAATCTTTGCCGGCAATGCCCGAAACTCAAAAGTCTGTAAGTTTAATAAAGTCTGTATGATTTAAGAATCTTTAGAGACACCGTATATAACATTTTAATTGAAGAAATTGCAATAGAAATTAAGATAAACGATAAAAATTAATAATAAAAATTAACATAACTATTGGAGTATTCAATTGATTTTGAAATAAAAGAAAACGAATAACAAATATTAATTATTAAAAAATATAAATTAATGAAATTAATGAAAAAAATAAGTAAAGTAAAAATAAAAATTAAGAAATTTTTGTAGAATAAAATAAAAATAGAATAAAATATAATTTCATCTATCCGTTATCTATCATTTTACATTTGACAATGATTATCTCTGATGTTTTTTATGTATATTCTATATTTCTGATTTTAGTAACATGAAATCTAATCATTTGACGGAGATACCAAATTTACGAAATTGTAATGAACTCCGCGTTTTGTAAGTATGTAGTGTAATAGATATACATTGATAATATATATCCACAAATAATCGAACATATTAAAAAGATATTTTATTAATGATATAAATACTTTCTTTTTTTAGGGATTTAGCTAGTAATATGATTTCCGTGTTACCCGACGATGCGTTTAAAGGTTTAAATATGTTACACGATTTACTTTTATCCAATAATAATCTACAGAGTATCTCCAGCGATGCGTTCACTGGATTACCTAGACTTCAAGTTTTGTAAGTTCGGTATTTGGCTCGTATTACTTTGATCCGATAGATGTGTTTTTGATGATTTCGACATATTTATATTTGAGTTTTAATTACTTTTTTTTAGAGATTTGGAGAATAATTACATCGAATACATACATCCTGACGTATTCAGAGAAACAAAACATTTACAGGACCTGTAAGTGTGTTCGTAAGCATGTAGTTATTTTATAAATCATTATTTATAGAATCTTTGTTTATAGAAATTTGGGAAACAATATTTTTCCTACACTGCCGATAAGAGGTCTTGCGGGATTATTACATCTCAAAACGTTCAATAATCCCGCCCTGCGAGAATTTCCGTCTCCCGAAAGATTTCCACGAGTGCAAACAATGTTGCTGTCATACGCTTATCATTGCTGTTCGTTCCTATCGATCGAAGTAGAGGAATCTGTCACAAGGTCGCCGGTACGGGAATCGATTTTGTTCCCTACCGACGATTTCGATAGCAGTTTATGGAATTCAACTTTCAGCGATATTTGGCCACAATTGGGTAAATGGCTTTTGCTATTTTTTCTTCTCTTTCTATTTTTTTTATCTATTTTTTTTTGCATCCTGCATTTTTAATACATGCATCGTGCTTCTTTGTAACACTTAATTGCTGCAAAGCATCTCTATCTCTGCAAACTCGGTCATTCAAAAACATTTATACACAGTTATACACTTAGAGTTATACACTTAGAGATAGAAAAACCATTTATACACTGATAGATAGTGAAAAGTAGAGTATGTTCGCATCATATCTCATCATTTTCGATCTTTGCGGCACTGAAGTGATAACATTTTTTAGATAACTTGACCGACAAATTCGGATCGCAGATAAATGAACTTTGGGCTAACTTTGGTTCAGATTTTACCTATCCCGGAAACCTGCCTTCCTACGTAGAGGATTATTTCGACAATCAAGATGCTCGAACGACAGCGATAACTCGGACACCCTCTCGTATCCAATGTTTGCCGCAACCCGGTATGTTACAAGTGACCCGGAAATGGCCTCAAACGTTATAAACTGTGATGATGATGTTCGATATTTTATCTATTTTTGATTAATTCACATACAAAATATACATGAAATATTTTCAGGTCCTTTCCTACCGTGCCAAGATTTGTTCGATTGGTGGACCTTACGGTGCGGTGTTTGGATAGTCTTCCTGCTCGCCATGCTTGGTAATGGTACTGTGGTGTTTGTCTTGATATTTTCGAGAAGCAAGATGGATGTGCCACGATTTTTAGTCTGTAATTTAGCCGCTGCCGACTTCTTCATGGGTGTTTATCTAGGTAATTTTCTCTATCTTTTTTATATCGATTTAACGTGTCAACGTTACGTACATAATTCTGCATTTATGTTCCCTGTATTATAATTGATTAAAATAAATAACAAGTAATAGTTATAGTAATATCTCTCTTTTTCCACCGTCTGTCTTAGAAATATTTTATCTCGATAAACAATATTTTGTTTCAGGTTTATTAGCTGTCGTCGATGCATCAACATTGGGAGAGTTTCGAATGTACGCAATACCATGGCAAATGTCACCCGGATGTCAATTGGCTGGTTTTCTAGGTGTTCTCAGCTCCGAATTGAGCGTCTACACGCTCGCCGTTATTACTCTGGAAAGAAACTACGCAATAACGCACGCAATGCACTTGAACAAGCGGCTCTCGTTGAAGCACGCAGGTTACATTATGACGATAGGTTGGTGTTTCGCATTGTCGATGGCGAGTTTACCATTATTAGGGGTCTCGGATTATAGAAAATTTGCCATTTGTTTGCCATTCGAGACTAATGGCAGCGCCGCGCTCGCGTACGTGGTATTTCTCATGCTTATTAACGGAGTGGCCTTCTTGATACTAATGGGCTGCTACCTGAAGATGTACTGCGCGATACGTGGTTCCCAGGCATGGAATTCGAACGATTCTCGTATCGCGAAAAGAATGGCTTTACTCGTCTTCACTGATTTTCTCTGCTGGTCACCGATAGCCTTCTTCTCTCTCACAGCAACCTTTGGATTGCAATTGGTGTCTTTGGAGCAAGCCAAAGTTTTCGCCGTATTCGTACTACCGCTCAACTCTTGCTGCAATCCCTTTCTATATGCGATCCTTACGAAGCAGTTCAAGAAGGATTGCGTGTTAATATGCAAAGCAATCGAAGAGTCGCGTGTGACTCGTGGTATTGGCAGGTGCCGGCACAGCTCCAATTTCAGCAATCGACAAACACCGGCCAATACCAATAGTCTCGTTGATCGATCGTCGCGAGAAAATCAAGGGCCGCTTCAAACACCGTGCGCTTGCGGAAATTCGAGACTCCTAGAAACCGGAAGCCGTTGCTCGTCCTACCGCTGGTGGAGTGCCGGGATATTCTGGCCATGCACGCGCGACTCCCGACACGCGCGACACACGCGTAGCGATCAGTACGCCTATCAGATCGCCCAGATCCAACAGAAGCAGCATAAACGTGCGTCCTCGGTATCGTCCAGCGAGAACTTTTCTTCGTCCAGGTCCGACTCCTGGCGGCAGGCGCACCATTGTGGCATACCGCTCCGATTATTAGATCCGAAACGGAGAGCCTCTTCCTGGTTGATCACTAGGAAACCATCGCAGGATTCGAACTTAAGCTCGTCTCGCAACGATTCCTCTGGTTCCGCGACCACTGCCAGCACCAGTACTTGGCGCATTTCGAGATCCAGTGCCTCCTTAGAGATTAGCGCGCGTAATAATACGCCGAGGCCGGTTAGACCGAAGCCACGACTGACACGTCAACTCGCCATCCAGGAACCGGAACCTCCGGGGTCTCCGAGTAGATTGGCCGTTAGATTACTCGCCACGATACCTTCCGCAGCTGAGACCAGCGATCAGCAAGATGATGAGAATATGCCGACGAATTAAAAATTTCTATCTGACTATTTTTATGTATTATATATACATAACACGCGCAATATTTTCTAAATGTATTATTCTCATCAAGCGAATTCTTCAACAAATTCAGTATTAACGATCTTCGCTGATATACCTGTGTAGTTTGTAGTTATATATGTACGTATATTTATATTTATGGCATTTTATATACATCTTTAGAATTGTTGCTTAAGCGAAATAGAATGCGCGAAAAGAGTAAAATAGAGATTATGTAAGTGATATTAATATTATCAGTGATTTTGAACGGGTTTTCTCGTTTCTTGTTTAATGGGATAATCTGAATTTTAACAAAACATTTACGGAATGCCAACAAAAATACGCTCATACGTTTTAAGAGATAATCAATAAATGCAATTGTTCTTGCAACGAAACGTAATAGAATTGTAAAGTCAAACGATATTGATCCATTTCTGTTTGAATTAAATAGAAGTTTAACAAAATGTAGTCCATCCGTCCGTCCGTATGTGTATATATATGTTATGTATTTATATTTTTACGTTATATAAGACTGACTATGGGTTCTTCAACTCTGTACCATTTGTACACTGATCATTGATCAAAGAACCTCCACTACTAGTCTCAATAGACAGTAGTCTTCGATAGTTATTACATGGAACTATATACATAACGAGATACTTTAATTTATATAGCAAATAAATCTACATAAACTATATATTTAACAACGGTTACACCGTTTTAAGTACAATATAAGATTTTGAGCCAAATCACAGTTTACCTCTTGCGCGATGTTTAAATAATCTTGATAATGGCGTACTTATATATTTTTGGCAGATTATATATTTTATTGTACGGACGGAGAGTCATGTTTGTGCCGCTATCAAACGTAAACATTGCGTAGAGGCAGATTTAAAATAATTAATGTAATTTTGTTAATTCCACGAAATTTTGTCTGCAAAAATCTTTTTTTTTTTTAATTACTGTAATTCGGAAATTATTGTTCCAATATTTTCGCTAAGGAAAAAATTGGTGAGAAAAATCTCCAAATTGGATAGAGATTTTGTTAATAGCAAAAAAACCGCTGATTTTAGAATATCTTGAGTATACATACACATATATATGTATAAATCAGCGCAAACAAATTCGATTAATATCAAAAAAGTTAATCACATTGCGAATTTTAATAAGTGGTTTGTTAAAAGTAGTTGATAATAGCATGCGAGGATGTGTTAACGAAAATCAAATAAACCTTTGTGAAACTGATCGATTGATAATAAATATTCTTTAGGCTCGGCGAAGTAATTTAAGCTGAGCTAAAGGTCTGCGACTAAAATTATAATACTTAAATCTGTGAAAGTTAAAATTATTGAAATAAAGTTAATATATGTATACACGCAGCGTGAATAAAAAGTTCTATGCATAAGAAACGAATTAATATATCTATACATAAGAAAATGTGATTGCTTATTTATCCTACATTGCATGCATATTCGGTTGTTGTTCATTTAGCGTTTCTTTTTGTTTAAACTTGGCTCATTTATTTTTGTAAAATGTCACTTTTGCATATTACAGGGAAGACGCGCCGCAAGCGACACATTGTCATTTAAAGACTATAATAATTTAAATACGGATATATACATTAATTAAATGACTCTAATATATTTCTCGTCTCAAAATATATACTCAACAACGATTCAATACGGCACAGAGGAGTGCGGCAGACCAAAATTCTTTATCTAATGAATTCATATAATTAAATATATATATCTCATACTACTTATAGTATATATAGATAATGAAATCAAATATTGTTCATTTTAAAAGTAACATAGCAAGATACATAGCCTTATAACTGTCCTTTGTAAATATTAAATTCATTGCTTCGAAGTCCACTAAGGAAGAATATTTTGTGGAGAGCTAACGACCATTTTTAATAACGAAATCAGTTTCGATGACAAAACTGACACATTCTAATCTCGTACGTATCTTCTCGCTATTATATTTCTTCGTGATAACGGATAATTGTGCGTTATTCTTCGTATAAAGAACGGTAAACATAATGTTTGTGCAAATTACTTGTGAAAATACAACATATTAATGAATATCATCATTATTATATCATCATTCATTGGATGATTATAATGCAAGGTATGCATAGTTACGTGACCTCATCAATGTAGTCAATAGATATTATTATAATTAGAAAAATATGAAACCTGTTTCTTATAATTTCATACAAGACAATAAAGATTATATAATATAAATAAAATACACATGTTTCTTTAAAGTGTTTTGCGAACTTTAGTTGTATTGAGATCTAAATGTGTCAATATTTTGTCATGAAATTATAGATTTTCATCAAAGTCGCGCAAAACAATTTCGTCTATAAAGGATATATACAGAAATCGTGCGTTCTAACTTTATACTTGAGCATAAACGAGTAATCAAATTTAACACAAATAATCAAAATAAGCTAATACTATTTGCAAACTGATATAGCGGGGAAATTATTACACAATTGTATTACGCGAGTAGGGAATATAATGGTGACAACCTTTTTAACAAATTACTAAAACTGCAGAATTTTAATCTCGCAGTAATATAAATAATTCTGTAAGTAATTTAATTTTGAGCTGAGTGCATATAAGGATGAATTAATTAACAATGGCATTAGATGTTATTATGTTACGATTAGGGATATTAAAAAAATTTGTAGCAAAAACATAAAGAAATAAAATCAGGGTTTCGAGATTATTCACTCCGAGACGAATTTATTGGAAATTCTATAGGACTGCGATTCTATCTATGCGACTTTTTTTTGATTATCTTACATTTTTGTATTTATAGTTTAGATATTTCCATCATGCATGTAATTTGAATGAAGAGTTTGTAGGAATTAAGATAGGAATCTCAACGTTGTTCTCGTTAGGAAATGTCCGTATTAGAGATATAGAAAAAAAATTTCTTCGCGATAAATATTTTAAACGCTCCCGATAAAAAATTTCGCACAATATTTTACAATCTACTTACACATTGTATACAAAGGTATAAAATTCGCATTTTCGCGTTTTGCCAATATAAATCACACGAATATTGCCAGTATGTGTCCGGACGGTATCCGAAAATATCAACGATATAACAACTTGACCCTCTTTTGAGGATTTCTTGATGCTTTGTACCATTATTCGCCATCCAGATAACCAAGGATGATTAGTCATATTGATTAATCATGTCATCAATATTACTGTCATGTTGATTAATATGATTAATCATATCGCTGTCATGCTGCCAACAAGTACATAGAACAATAATTATGACAATCTCGTAGACAGTTGGCTATTTGGATAAAAGCGTAGTAACGTATAAACGAGAAAGAGATAGAGAGAAAGAGAGAGTGATACTTTAATATTAATTTTGTCCCTCATCCCGGTATGCACCTAGACGCAATAATTAAAACTACGGAATTATATCGCGATAAAAATACTAATAATTATTATTATTATTACTAGCGTTTATTACTATCATTGTGTGAAAAAATCTTACTTTGTAAAAATTCGCGACTCTCAGAAAACTTTTAGCTTTTCTTAAAAATATACCATACCGAAAATATATATTGTCTTATAAGAACTAGAACTTTCCTTTTCAAATATTGCGTATCTCTAAAAATCTATCTATCTAAGGGTGTCCTTCCATAGTATATATTCGCTGACTCATATTTCGTTATCATTTTACGCGCGTATCTTAAATTTGGCAAAGTAGAAGGAACATCGGCAACATACATTTTAAATGATTATTACGTTTCCATAAGTCTATAAACGCCCAGAAGAAGGAACAAGGAAACAAGAGAGAAAGAGAAAAAGAGAGCGAAAAAAAGAGAGAACGAATGTATGTGTATGTGTGTGTCAGGCGAAGAATAGTTGCTAATAATTAATAATTACTGATAAAATAATTCTTAAGTGCACATCACGGGATCACAACTAATTGTAACGGGTAGCAATTAAGTAACAAACGAGATATTATGTGACTAGCGAACATCACGTAACTTTAGTTTTGTTCTTCCTAAAGGCCGGAAAGTGTAGCTTTCTACGCCTCCGTTTAAGCTCATCGTTGTCAGCGGTAGAATTGGAATCGGTCGAGAGCGTCTCGTCGTCAATCGACATTATTGTAGATAATTCACGAAACGGTTTTTTGACGCTCGTTGTCGTAGTCGTCGTTGTCGTTGCTGTTATTGCAGGACGGCAGGATCTGTCGGAGATGTCGAGCGCATTTTCCGAGTATGATGTTTTCGGCAGGAATGAAGACGAAGTCTTGTCCTCGCTCAGCACGTTTGTATCCTGACTATAAGACCGTGTAATGCCGGATTTCTCTTTGCACGGCACTACAATCTTTCCTGCAGCGGGCTCTTCCGGTCCATCGCCTACCATGAAATGGACACCTCCAAGTTCCTTTTCCGCTTCACTGCTTGATGAATCGGAGAGTTCATTTCCAAATCGACCAGCGGGTGGTATCGATGACTCCTTCCACGCTGAGTTCTCCAAAATACCTACGGATATGTCAAGTAATGTCCAAAGTTCAATTAATTCCATTCTTCCTACTTCGTTATTAATAATGCTAATAAAAGTTGCGAGGAAAGAAGCGTTAAATGTCGCATTTGAACGACAAGTGTTTATTCCAACTCTCGTGCATCACTTTGACGCAGAGGAAACGCACGAGAGATAATATCGCTTGCATCATGAAAGATCTTCCTTCACACTACTAATTCTATAGTTATATTACACGGAATACATATATAAGCTTGCGCGAGTAAAGTATGATTCATTAATCAACTATAATATCTTTGATGCTTATTATTAGTGATTGAGATTGCATATCAAGTTAATTTAAGTAAAATATCAAGTTAATTTAAGTATTTCTTTTCATATGAAATACTTATATAAAATATAATTTCGTTTTAATAAATGTTTCTTAATCAATTATTTTCCATTAACTAAATCATACCAGTTTTTCTCTAAATGTCTCTTAGTTAGTTATACATAAAAAAAGGCGTACAACATCTCTATCATCATAATAAAATTGAAAATAATATTATTATAAACATCTTATAAATTATTCGGCTTTAAATAATTTCTATGTATATAAGAGCGTATATTATGCTCTATTTAATAACATGCAAGCAATTTAATGTACGTCAGGTTTCAAAAAATGTAAAACATGCAATAAATTGGAGCATTTGATATAGGTCATATTAACAAGCTCACATATTCTGGTTTTTCCAAGCTTGCTTAAATTTATTATAATAGAGATTACTTAATATTTCATACAGAAAAATAACGCCAGCATGTTATGTAATCATTATAAAAACAAAAGGCACACATACACACTGGACTCATTGTAATACATGTATGGAGTATATTTCTGTTCTTTCATATATATATATATGTAAAATTGTAGAACAGTTTAGTATAGTTTACAAAATAATTTTAGGAACAATTTCAATCTTAGTTGGTAATGCATTATTTGCTTACAATTAGATATTTTTTATCACTGGTATAACAAGATATATATATATATGAAGAGAGGTACAAAACGTTTTCCAAATATTCACAATTCGGCTATTACTAATAAATTCAATTCTAACATACATTAGATAAGTATATATATGTATATAATGCCCATAATACGTTGATTGTCACGTTTTACGCGATTCTATATCAAGATCCGTGACAATTCAAGAAAAGAGATTCATAAACAAGTTCTTTTTATATTATTAAAATATTATTGCACACATCTTCTAAAAAATTTTACAATGCATTATTCATTGAGCATTTATCGATAAACACAATTAATTCTTACTTTTTGCTTCAGAATTGTAGAAATTGATGTTTATATCTACACTTATGTGCAATAACACATTGATTATTGTATGTAATTTTGTATTATTATATGTAAGTTTTGTTGCATTTTATACTCATGTAATCAACATGTATTCTAATCAACAGTCAATAATTTTTTTATTCCTGAGCTGTTGTCATGTATATGTTGCACTCAAATCTAATATTATAAACAAGTGAAAATGTTATTGAATATTTAAAAGAAAAATTATAGTCTTGTCTTTTTATCTAATAAAACAAATTTTTGTATACATTTCTTTTAATTTATACACGAATTTCATCATATAAGATATGTATAGCAAAAACATTATGTCTACAGTATATCATTTTGCAGTTCTTAATAAAAATAATTATATAAAATTACCGAGTTTTTTTATTTATATTATTCCTATCGAAATCGTAAGTAAAAGTCATTAAAATATAATTGATTGATTGATAGGTACATATATACATTATAATTGCACTTTTATATTTTATGCACATTGCAAATTATCTTTCATATTGTTTTTGTTCTCTTTTTTTTTGATATATTTAATGAGTATTCATATAAGATCAATTTTTCATTCGTCATTTTACACACTAAATATCTAATAGAATATACTAGTTATAAATATTATAATTTTTTGCTCTTTTTACATTTTTCAAAAAGTTTTATAATGCTATAATATACACTTTGGCACTATACTAGAATTATTTGTTTTGATTTTTTAATATAATTTTAATATATCTTTCATTTATCAGATAACATATGTAAGATTGAAATGCATTTCACATTTCTCATATGCATATGTTGACCATTTTACTGCTGTATTACGATGTACATCTAAGGCACATGATATTTTAATATCAATATAATTTACTTTTATAATGTTATATATCTGTTATTGGCACAAAAATGGTAGGAGAGAGAAAAAAACTATATCTTTTATATTATTAAACACGTTAAATTCGTTAGTAAACTATCATTTGAAAGTTTTCCTGTGTGATGTACAGATACACAATATAGATACACAGGCCAAAATAGTATTTAACTATAAAATAAACATTAATATGTCAATCTAAGTACTCATTGGAGTCCATATCCAGCTTACCTGTAGCAACTGCACTGACTGATGATGGCGTGTACACTGAACTTGCTTCATCATCTAAATCATCTTGGCTACTAAGTCGTCCTATAATACATTACATATAGATTATCAAAAATTTACAAAATAACTTTCAAGTAGTTCTTGTCCTTTTTAAAAAATTTTTTTAATAGATAGTAAAAATGGATAATTTTATTGTTTTAATGAAATGCATGATGTAAGTTTTAGATGTATGTATGTTAGTTATATAATTCTTGTATTAAAATAAAAAGAAAGAATGTGTTATATTTCATATAATTTTGATGTAAATCTTTAGATTCAATAGAAATAATTAATTGTTCATAATAGATTATGTTATAGAATTAAATACCTCTTAATCCAAGACCTCTACCATTAGGTGTTCCTCTATACAAAACGGTCTCTAAATAGCTTAATCCATTATTGTTGATTATATTGAAACCACAAAGCAATTCAATTTGCTTCCAACGATGTACTCTTTCTTTCAGCTCATTTGTTACTTCGTTCAGTGAAGTCCTTGCTTCAACTATACTCTTATCAACTTCATCAATGGATTTTCCATGAGTCGAAACAAAGGCACCTACCAAACTGGAACGTTTCTTTCGTAATTTTTCGCACTGCAAAATTATAAACAAATTTTATTTTTAGTAATGATTTTTCTTATCACAAATAGCAAGCTAATTATAAAGGTAATATATAAAATTATTATAAAATTTGTAAAATTGCATTCATTTATAAATTATTTATAAAATTGTATTCAATAATTTATAAAGTTGTTTTTCTCACCGCTTCTCGTGCTTGTTGAAGCTGTTTTTCAGCTGCTATCTTTTTATGTGTATATGCTTTGTTCTCAATTTCATGAGTTAATTGTAGCCAATGTTGCAGTCCAGCTGGTGGTGACCAGCATCTATCTTCAAGTTCACCCTCTGCCCGTTGTAATTCCAGCTTTAGCATCTGCAAGATATATAAATTAATAAGAGAATAGAACAAATGTATTAAATATATTCATTATATACATAAATGTGAAATAAATGAAAAAGTCATTACTTCAATTTCTGCTTTTAATTGTGATACTTCAAGATCTGAATATGAAGTATGTAATCCCAAACTTTCATCTTGCAAACGTTTTTCCAAGTTTTGTTTCTCAGTAGTTGCACTTTCTTGCTCCATTCTTGCTCTCTCCAGCTCTTTCTGAAATGAATTATATATCGCTACTTTAATAAAAGTTCCTAATTAAAGTGATTTATTTCTAGTTTCAATTAAAGAATCAATTTTTTCAAGAATACCTGTAAATTTTCTAGTGCAAGTTCTGCTTTATGCAAACTTTCCATATCTTTCATCATTCTATGGAGATCCTTTTGGGAACTTTTCTTTTGTTGATATGCATACCAACATCCAATAAGTGCTCCAAATAACAGTGTAACTAATACTAAGTCTTTGATGCTGTGCCCAACATCTATTAATTAATAAATATAGAATTAATTCTCAGAGATAAACATATCACATATACATACACCATATTATAATATTAAATAAATACCTTTAGGAGGCCCAAAGAGAACAACATCCATTGCTTTTAAAGCAATTTTCTGTTTGTGAATAGGATCTTTAATACCCAGAACATTATTAAGATAATGCATATTGTTCACAGCTAATCTAAAATAAATTGTAATAAAAAGATTTATACATATATATGTATTTTCTTATTAAAGAATCATATTTATATTTTTTTATTATCATTATATGTATTTTTATTTAAAAAATCATAATAATACACTTACCGAGGAAGCGTAGCACCAGTTACACGATGCTGTATAAAAGTAGGAACATATTGAGGAAGCTCAACATTGGAAGTTAACCATTCTGATGTTTGTTCTATTGTCCAGTTATGAACCTAATTTATGGAAATGTTAAAATGTATAAAATATAATCATATTGTACAAAATTATAGATATCTTCTTGTTATCTAATCTCTAGATAAGATTTTTTGTATTACTTCTGATCGTAACCAAGCCTCCCAGAGCTCTCGTACGCTGATATGCATATCGTCATTATGATGGAAAGCCCTTTGCCTCCTTTCATAACCGGCTTCATATTGTAGTTCTTCTCTTAAAAACTGTCAAAGTTAAAATTTACATTTGTATAACCTTGTATAAATTTACATTTGTATAACCTTGTGTAGACATCGTATAATAGACATTTTTTCTCATGATATAAATATCCTTACATCATCCGATTCGGATAGATCAACGTTTCCATTAGCGTCGTCATCCAATTGACTGTGGAGAGACTTTATAGCTTCTAAGCCCAGACGATCATGCGAAGCCATAGTGATACAAGCTAGGTCGTCGTTACAAGTATCCGCAGCTGAAATAAATAAACTCGAGTATATAAAGTGCTCCACCATCGTATCCGTGTATATTAGTGCGACAACCTACTGGATTCGTGGGCCACAGCCTGGGCCAGTCCATCGGTGAGGGTAGCGGAAAACGCTGCTATCTTGGAATGTGAAGTGCTCGAGGCACCGGTTTGAAAGGTCGGGGTGGAATCGAGCGCCCCGCCAGTGGCCGCTACCGTGTCGAGTAACCAATGCAACAGATAAATTCCCAACGGTAGAAGCGCGTTCACGGATGCTCGCATCTTAGGTTAGCGCTCCAGCTTCCTCAATGACAGCTTCGCGCCCCTCTTCGCGCGATCCAATAGACAAGATCCGCGGAGGATTCAGCGGAGGAAACCGTCCTAGACTCTCTCTCCCTGCGCTCACCTCTGATGCGGATTCGCGATCGTGAATATATTCAAGGTTACTACAATTCGGACCCGGACCGACGATATATCTCGACGAGCGCATAACAAGCGTGACCGATTACGAGTGAGACGGCTTCATAAATGTGTCACGCGCTAATATTATCAGCTCCATACAGGCAGACTTCCTTGTTAATACCCGTGATACAATATAATAGTGAAAATATTTGATTGCTTCGTTAATTAAGTGAAATTAAGTACATACACACACCACTATCCCGAATCAGATGTTTTATCCAAGGCTACTAATAGCACTTCCGATCAACGCGATTTTAATCGATTTAAGATCAACCTTCATGTGAAGTCGTTTTTAATTAGGAGCGTATGGCATCACAGAAAAATATATACGTCAGATAAATATACACATTTTTTTAATTTCCCCTTATTTATGTAATTATTGCGTTAATTCAAGGTCCGTCTCTATTCGAAAGGAAATATATTTGAGTTACGTTTCCCAGGATAACTTTACTCGACAGCCGAAATTTTTTCGAACGGTTCCGATTGGTTCCACGTTGGCCATCGGGTACAATTTTTCTCGGAGATGACGTTTTGGAACTTAACCTTGGAGTGAAATAAAAGTTCATGAAAATTGAACGTAATATAATTTACGTATACTTGAGGTCAGAATTAGAAGGAGACAGCATATATTTTTGAATGGATCTCTGTTTCCCTTTATATTAATTATATAAACTAAAAATATTTTTGATATCGATTTATGAATCTAAACAATAGAATTTGAGATAGAATTGTAAATTATTTATTTTTCTTTCAATTCGTAATAATTTTGAACGAATTCCTGATAAGGATAGCGATCCATCCACCATGTCGTATCCTTTTCTACAAATTGGTTCATTTTCTCATTCTTGAAGATTCACTTCAGTATGTCATAGCATTATAGAGCTTAATATTTTCATCTATATTTTTTTATGTTCTTTCTCTTTTTTTTCATCTTTATATAATAACAAACGTCATTCGAATTAAGAATTTGAATTCAGAAAATAAAATCTGCAATTATGAAGCGCTGCTGTCTTCATCTTTCTGATGATGGAATATCGTATCTAGATAGTTCATGCATCATGACTTAAAATTGTGTCTGACATTTTATTATACGTGTTTGATATATACATGTGAAAGATTAAACTTAAGGTTAAAGAATAAATAATAAAGATTTTATATAATATTAAAAATGTATACACGGATTACCTACAGCTAGACCTACTTCTTTTTCAGAAGACCATGAGCATAAACTTTGGTTTTACCGTATGATATGTTACACAAATATATCGATGTATACGAGAAAACTATGCGTCAGATATAAATAAAGAACTAACGTTTGAATGATAACTTAACGCATTTTAACGCTTTGTAATATTCGTCTGGGAAGAAAGAGGACTACGAGAATGTTGAGTGCGATAGAGAAATCAGGAAAGATTTATTTTGACGTAATTTTGCTTCGAGTCGAATAGTCCAGTGTATTTCGATGCGAAGTAGAAATGGCGGGTGTTATATTTATGCATTTTGCACTCTTGTTGACATTCAAATTATGTTATTTAGGTATGTGGATAAATTTGTGAATTTTAAGTGATATTCATCGTATGATGTGCAATTTCAAGCAAGTTATAAATATTTCTATTTATTGTGTTATTCATATATATAGTTTTGCTATATATAGCTTTGTGTTGCTTTCGAGTCTAGCAAAAAGATTATTATCTTTACGATACACTAAAACAATTTATGTGATATAAAATATATATCGCGAGAATTGTGCGATTTTTTTTCATCATTTTTTATTATAAGTATAAATACATTAAATGATTTATATTCTGCTCATATATAATTTTTAATTTATATTATTATTACATATATTTAATTTATATTTAGGCGAAGGGGTGAGTGCTTTACAAGATCAGGATATTTCTCTTGACAGTGAAAAATTGAATCTACCCGAATCATCGGAACATAACTTTGTTAACAATGCAGTTGGCCACAAACGTTTCAAGTGCCATATATGTGAAGATGCTGAGTGTTCACCATCTAGCATCTGTGAAGATGCAATTACTGTAAAAATTTTTATATTCTCTATTCAACATCTTAAATTTACGTTACATCTTTTCCTAGAATATAAGTTAACGTCTTCATTTTGTTTTCTAGTGTTGGAAGTCTAGGGTGAAAGAGATTGATGGTACTGAATCTGTTAGTCGCGGCTGTTATAAATTAGAGGAACATAAGTTGTTTATGTGTAATAAAGAAGACAACCAAAATGCAGAATATAACAAAAGGCATGTTAGAGGATTAGTAAGTGGTGTTCAATATTCAGTGGAATGCTGCCAAGCAGATTTTTGTAATGTTGGACCATATCCTGTGCTGCAAGATTCAACTAGTAAGATAATCTAGTCTGTGTATACATATACATACACACATACACACAAATATATATGTATAATTGAGTTGCAATGAGATGATTGATTTTGTTAAGAGGAGTTTTTATACTTATATACTGTTTCTATATTTATATTCAGATTCTGATAAGGGAAATTATGTAATGAAATTAACTTTCGCAATTCTTGGGCCAATGATTGCATTGGTTGTCGCTGGAGGGATTCTATTCTGTTTCCTGGCGCATCGAACGCGAAGAAAACGGCCGGTATCGCGTCGGAATAAACTTATTTTAGATCCCGACAATGAACCTTCCATGTTACATTTCTCTTTTTCCTCGCCTACATCGTCTGCCACTTGTCATCCGCATGAGCTTAGAGCAACGGCTGCTGGTGATAGTACACTTAAAGTACATAATGCTACTTTTTTTGTTTTTCTATGTTTTATATAAGGCATGTGTGATATATGATGATTAATTTTACCAATTATATTTTTGTAGGAATATTTAGACGGCCGAAGTTTGACCAGTGGTTCGGGTTCTGGATTGCCCTTGCTAGTACAAAGAACTTTAGCTAAACAAGTGGCTTTAGTAGAGTGTCTCGGTAGCGGTAGCAGTGGATCTGGATTCGGTGGAGAAGTGTGGAGAGGAATTTGGCATGGCGAGAATGTAGCTGTAAAAATTTATTTTTCGCGAGACGAAGCTGCATGGGCTCGGGAGACTGAGGTTTATTCTCAGTTGTTACCGTCTAGACACGACAATATTTTGGGATATGTCGGCAGCGATATGACAAGTAGAGCCAGCTGCACTCAACTCTGGCTGGTAACGCAGTATCATCCTCTAGGTTCACTCTTCGATCAACTCAATCGGCATCCGTTAACACATCATCAAACGCTTAATATTTGTCTGAGCATCGCTAACGGTTTGCTTTATTTACACACGGAAATTCATGGTACTAGAGGGAAACCAGCTATGGCCCATCGTAATCTTAAATCGAAGAATATCTTAGTCAAGACTAACGGTTGTTGTGTAATTGCCGATTTTGCATTAGCGGCTACGCAGGATCGTCTTACAGCGGACAGAGTAGATCTACGGCAAGGAACTAAACGTTATATGAGTCCTGAAATTCTCGATCAAACGTTAGTGGAGTGCTTTTTTCCTTTTTACTTTCACATTATAAGCTGGCCAAATTAATTACAATACCTATTCTGATTTATTTTCAGAGTAAATATCGAGTGTTTAGAGAGTTTTAGACGGGCCGATATCTATAGTTTAGGATTGGTGATGTGGGAAGTCTGTCGCAGATGCATAAGCAATGGCGTAGTCTTGGAATACGCGATGCCGTACTATGAATGGTTGCCTAGCAATAATCAAGAGCCCTCCATAGAAGAAATGCGTAAATTAATCTCGTTTGATCAGCGAAGACCACCGCTGCCTAATAGATGGCATTCCGATCCGGTAAATTTTTTTTTCAAGCATTTGTCAGAGAAATATTCATGTGTATATACATATACATATATATATATATATATATATATATATATATATATATATATATATGTATATCTAAGTTAAAAAAATTGAGTTTGCATTATTTATTACATGAATAATTGAAATAAATGCTAATTTTTTTTCAGACATTAGCCGGGATGGGAAAATTAATGCGAGAGTGTTGGCATGGGAAACCAGCAGCCAGATTACCCATTCTTAGGGTAAAGAAAACACTCGTTAAATTAGCAGCTAACGATTCTCGTGTTCATTTACCGCTCGATTGACCAGCATTCATCTTACCGAGCTCTTTTTCATCCATGTATTTATTACTGTTGCTGCAACAACCCGACACGCGCATTGTAAGTTCGATCATCATCATCATTATCAACAATCGTGCGTTATTGGATGCATTATATCAAGAAAATAAAAAAAAATATCGCATATCGACATATCGAAGTAACAATGTTAATATGTTTGTTAATGTTTGGCATATGAATTCTGTTGCCTTACGTTCTTTATTACTGTTACCATTCTGGAACAATGTTAGTATTAAGTGTATAGTTTTGTAGCGTTGATTAAACCAAATCGCTAAGTAGAAATATTATTAATTCTACAAAATAGTTTGAAATTATTTGTTAAGAAAAAACATATTCATTGTATATTGAGGAATATGAATTTTCATAATCTATAAGACAAATACGACTTTCTTAATTATTACTATATTAACTATATTGTTTTTATTTTTTCAGTTATGTGAAAAATAATGAAATTTTAGATATATATAAAATAATTATTATATATTTAAGTTTGTCATTATATTAATTCATATTAAGAAAGTAGTATTGTTTCTATTAAAACATTATTTTTTTGTAAAACATAACATTTTGTAAAACATAACATTTTTGTTTTGTAAACATATAAAATTTATATATTAAAATTAATAACATATTTTTTATATGTTTTGCTTCAATCAGATCGACAAGTTATCATATAAAAATTAATCTCTTTTATTGAATCAATACATTTTTTTTTTAAGAATCTTCAGTAAATCGTGCGCAATAGTTTGAATAAGTGATCAAAAAATATCTGTAAATAGTGTGTATCTTTGGATTGAGCTATTATATAATTAATAATATAGCTATTATCATATGTCTTTCTCATAAAATCATCAGCAAGATGTAGATAGAAAATAAGAATGAGTGGGTGAAAGAGTAAGCAAAGACTATTACATATAAAAGATACATCTTTCTGTACAATACTTGTAATAATTTCACAAGTTGCTTTCTTTTAGATTACGTTCGATTTGATATTGCAATGTTAATTGGATCATTTCTTTATCGTATACATTGAAAACTAATAAATGATGTTTATGAATGTTGCAATTATCAAGTGGAATGTATAGCCTTGACATTATATATAAATAACCACTGTATTATTATTAAAGATGAGGATGTGAATGTATAAATAGCAGAATATGTAGTATATAATTGTATGTAATAAATTTATTGTACAAAGGTTTTTGTACGTAACACAAATGTTACATACTGACTTAACATGAATGATATAATGCTACTAGACTATTTTGAAATCCAATCATTCCTCAAGAGGCAATGACAGTAGTCTTCTCAAGAATATTCCATTATCTAAATTACAGTTATCTATACATTGCTCGAAAAATTGTCGGAGATGTGACGGATCATTTGTGTGTAATAAAATGATAAGTGCATATCGCCATACTAAAGGTTCCAATTCAACTGGATATTCCAGAAGTTTAGGAAATAAACTTAACGCATGTTTCCAATCTTGACGATTGATGTACGATTGCATCTCCGACAGTGCCAGACTTTTTGAAAATCCTACGAGTGATGTTCCATTTTTCTTACCCCCCTGAAAACTCTTGCAATAATGGGTTTTACGATCGTTTGCTATTTCATTCATATCCTCCTGATGTTCTTTATCATTTGCCATTTCTTCCACATCCTTCTGAAAATTTTTATCGATTTTTATCTCCATTTCTTTCATTTCCTTTCTATTTTTTTTATCCGTTGCCATTTTTCTCAAATATTTTTGACGTTTTTTTTCAATCTTTTGTTTCGTTTTTATCATTTTTATAGCTTTTTCCTAAAAAGTTAATCACAGTACATGTATATATTTGTGCAATTAAATTTTAAAATTATCATAGCTATGCTAAACAAATTATATACCACATTAGATTTTGTAATTTTTCGAGGAAATCTCAAATCGCACGACATGATTGTTTTGTACGCCTTTATTACTTTTTCTTAGATTTTCAATTATCACATTAATAATCCTTCTCAAGATATCATAAAGTTTATACAAATATATATCGCTAACGAGATATTTCTTTTTTATATATTTGCGAGTTTATTAATTAATAGAGAAAAAATTACATGTTATAACCTTTCTTTTGTCTTGTTATAACAACTAAACATGATAGCGTTCTAAAATTTACTCCTTGGTAGAATAGCATTTGAGTAACCAATCATAATAAAAGAAACAGAAATTTCTTTGTTCTGATTGGTTAATCAAACACTACTTTACTCCAAGCAGTAAATTTTAGAAAGCAACCCAGGAGCATCGATTTAAGAAATGAAACACGTGTAAGGGTGCGTTTTCACTTGACGCTAAAAAGTAGCGTCAACCATTGGTTAAACAATGAAGCAACTACTTACTTCTTTGTTCAACCAATGGTTGACGCTACTTTTTAGCGTCAAGTGAAAACGCACCCTAAAGGTGCAATTTCATTGATGCTAGAAACCAGCGGCAAATTAAAATCACTAGACTTTCTCTAAATATGGCGTCAATAAAATAAAGTTCAAACAGTTTCAACTTTTTCAGTGTGTAAAGCGGCCTTTTCATTGACGCTACTTTTTAGCGTCAATGAAATTGCACCTTAACAGTTGGCAGCCCTACGAGATAGGCTGTGCAGCACTGCGCGTATATAAAATAAATTTGAAATCGCTTCTAGCCTAACCATCTTCACGCAATCGACTTTATTTGAATTGCATGGCATCGCATCGAATTATGATGCGGCGTCGATTTGTTCGAACGTAATTCGGGACATCGCGATGCTGTATAAGCGTCGAATGAGCACGAATTGTCACGCAAATATGATAAATCACATCTACTCACCGTTCACCGGCTGTTCCACAGGCCGCTCCACTCGCTCGTCTCGGGACGTCCCATTCCGATCTTGATGCACACGATATCATCAACGCGAACGCGCGACACTTTATTCGGCACTCCCGATGTTCGCTCGCATCCGATAATCATCATCAAGGGCGCAAATAACGCGACGCAACTTCACTCCATCTTCGCGATCGCACTATCACTGAACTGTGAAAAATAGCTGTCGTGCACTTTCACCGACATATTATGAAAGTCGCGCGATCATCCTTGGACACTTTCGACGCTCTTTTACTCGCGATATTCGTTTAAAAACGGTTAAAAGACGCGAAAAATGCGGACGTACGACGATCCGTGTAACTGCGTATGACTCCGATTCACGTATGACGCGTATGACGTAGCAGTGACGCGCTAACATGGCGGCCGAAGCGCATTCGTTTCTGCGCACTGGTTCGGCCGCCATGTTAGCGCGTGTCGCTACGTCATACGCGTCACTGCTACGTCATACGCGTCATACGTGAATCGGAGTCATACGCAGTTACACGGATCGTCGTACGTCCACATTTTTCACGTCTTTTAACCGTTTTTAAACGAATATCGCGAGTGAAAGAGCGTCGAAAGTGTCCAAGGATGATCGCGCGACTTTCATAATATGTCGGTGAAAGTGCGCGACAGCTATTTTTCACAGTTCAGTGATAGCGCGATCGCGAAGATGGAGCGAAGTCGCGTCGCGTTATTTGCGCCCTTGATGATGATTATCGGGTGCGAGCGAATATCGGGAGTGCCGAATAAAGTGTCGCGCGTTCGCGTTGATGATATCGTGTGCATCAAGATCGGAATGGGACGTCCCGAGGCGAGCGAGTGGAGTGGCCTGTGGAACAGCCGGTGAACGGTGAGTAGATGTGATTTATCATATTTGTGTGACAATTCGTGCTCATTCGACGCTTATACAGCATCGCGATGTCCCGAATTACGTTCGAACAAATCGGCGCCGCATCATAATTCGATGCGATGCCGTGCAATTCAAATAAAGTCGATCGCGTGAAGATGATTAGGCTAGAAGCGATTTCAAATTTATTTTATATACGCGCAGTGCTGCACAGCCTATCTCGTAGGGCTGCCAACTGTTAAGGTGCAATTTCATTGACGCTAAAAAGTAGCGTCAATGAAAAGGCCGCTTTAAGGTGCGGCCTCATTGACGCTAAAAAGTAGCGTCAACCATTGGTTGAACAAAGAGGTAAGTATACTTACCTCTTTGTTCAACCAATGGTTGACGCTACTTTTTAGCGTCAATGAGGCCGCATCTTTACACACTGAAAAAGTTGAAACTGTTTGAACTTTATTTTATTGACGCCATATCTAGAGAAAGTCTAGTGATTTTAATTTGCCGCTGGTTTCTAGCGTCAATGAAATTGCACCGTAAAGGTGCGGCCTCATTGACGCTAAAAAGTAGCGTCAACCATTGGTTGAACAAAGAGGTAAGTATACTTACCTCTTTGTTCAACCAATGGTTGACGCTACTTTTTAGCGTCAATGAGGCCGCACCTTAACGAACAGACCTTAAAGTGTAGAAAGTGCAAGCAAAACAGATGGATTAACCTTTCAGTATCAGTGGTCGCACGCGATCAGCGAATTCAGCGATCAGCATTTGAAAACATCGGAGACATGTTATACTGTTTTATTATGCACATTCGAGATAGTGACGATTCCAGAGAAATAAGATTGCAGTTGGAATTTACAATCATCGCTATAGATTTTAAAAATTACCTTTATTAAAAAAAAAGAAATGGAGAAATCTACGAGTAAACTTATTGTGCAAAATGATGCTGACACATCGGCATCCTCCATTTCACTCATTGAATCACCCAGAAAATGCAATTTGTCTTTTTCGATTAATTTCGATTTCAACGATGTTGATAGCGAAAATTCTACCGATTCCGAAAACGCAGATTTACAAATAGATATATCCGAGGTTGACAATTATGAGCCGTCTAGCAAGCATAAAAGAGAAGCTATTGAAGAAGCAGAAGCATCGGTACTTAATAAAATGGAAGAAGAGATTGAGAGACAACTCGATGCCAAAGCTGCCAAAACCAATTTAACTGCCACTAATGTAAAAAATATATTAAAACACGTGCTCCCTTATGAACATTTAATGACAATGTTACAAAAATGGCTTCAAGATACAGAAGATGATGTTAACTTTGGTCCCAAACTCACAAGAGCTAAAGCTAAGTATGTATCGTTAATTTTATTATTCGTATATATAATGGATATTTTATCTGTATGCATGGATATAATTTTTAGCTTATTTCTTATAGAAAATTGGCAGCTGCACAGGTCAATATACCATGGCCTATCACTACAACACAAAAAGCTTCATCAGAAGTTCAAGCTTTGATTCAAGAAGAACTGCCAGAAGATTCGTCTGATGAAGAATATAATCCTGATCATGATAAACACACAGAGAGTGATGATGACAGAGAAGTAGAAAATACAGCGATTAATGATATGGAATTACAACAATCAGTAGCAATAAATAATAGGAATGTAGTTTGTCCTGAACAACAGAAATTATCAGATATACAATATGATCCTGAAGGAATTTTTAAAGTACCAATGTATGTGAGAAAGAGATTTATATTGCAACCATATTTAAATATACAATATTATAAAGAAAGTAATTTAATTGATTAAATTGAAGCTTCTCAAGTTGCTTCCTAATATTGTCATTTCATTTTAATAACAATTGACAAATATATTTCAGTGTTCCACATGTTGCAACGGAGGAAGAAAGTATTGGTCAGAGAACACGCTCTAAATTATCTTTGAGTAAAACTTCTTTGGAAGAGATAGAACAAGCATTTTTACCACCTGACATAACTGCAGATATGATTGATTTGGATGTTGAACTTGATGAAGATTGGGATAACTTTTTAAAAGAATTTACACAACCTTTAACACAAGAACCAACCATAGAAGATGATCCAGAAGCAGATCCAGAATACAATATTTTAGAGGATGAAGAAACAGATTTATGTATGTATTGTAAAATAATTTTTCTTTATATTTTAGTCTTTTATTTTCTTTGTTGATATAATATGATTGTAATTGATCTTTAATAAATATTAATAGTGGACAAGGAAGAACTCAGGACAGATAAAGCAGTAGAAGTTCCTCGTAAAGAACAATATGATTTAATTGCAGAATTACTTGAATTAACTCCTATGTTCTCAACACAAGAAGAAGAAATATCAAGAAAAAAAAAGATTCCAGATAATATAACCCCACCAATTGAAACTAATACTATGGTAAAAAAATTATTTATATTATATATTAAGAGGCAGCAATATAATTGAACTTTCATATTTTCATATTTTTAGAACTCCTCTATGGTGGATCTTTTACCGGTACTTGCAGAACCCGAATTACCAAAATTAGTTAATTTCGAACAACGTCTTTTATTAGCCACACAATTTCGGCAACATGTACAATTAATGGCACAGCATTTTGTTATGAGTTACATGCATCCGGATTACCATCCACTAGCAAAAACATGTAAACAGAACTTGAATAGTTTAAGGTATGAGGAAAAGATAAGAAAAAACATAATACACTAGAAACTGACAAGTCGAATAAAAATCACAGAATTGTGATAAATATTTTAGATATTTAAGTTACGGGCCAAATTCTGCATTTAATGCAGAGAACTTGGAAGAAGCTTTGAAATTAGTATCAACTTGGGAAAATAAGTTTTCTGACACACAATTCTACACAGATTTCAAACAGAGTATAACAGATAATATTGCTAAAACTAAAATGTGTCATACAAATAGGCGAATATATGTTGAAGAATTTCTTCCTGAAGTAGAAAAAATACTTGTCGAAAGTAAAGCTCTCATGTATCCAGAACTTTTGCCACAAATGCCTTTCAGGAGTGGAACCAAACTTTTAAAATCTACATATTCAAGAGCAGAAGAAAAGTAAATGTACTAAATATGTTATTTTATTATATTCTAATATGTAATTTTATTCTATTCTATTAATTTTCAGTTTAATTGCATTGGGCATAGAACAATTTTTACCATTTGTTGCATCTAGACCAAGAAAGCTTCGCACAAAGAAAATTCTATTAGTTGATGCTGCTCAACTTATTTGTTATTATCTGTTACCATGTAGAGATGCACAAGGAATATTACATCATATCAGAAAACGCCGCGTTTCTAAAGATGAAAATCCGATTAAGGTATGCACTGAATAATTTTTTTCCAGGTTTATATTGTAATTATAGTTAAATATATTATTGTATTAATTTTATTGTAGCATTATTTTGAGAAAGGTTGTGCTCCTAGAATAATACATCGCATAACACTTGATAATAAGCCTAAAGCTCCAAAAGATCAGCCAATAAATCTTTTACCTTTAAGATGGCAAAAATATCTCCGTAATGTAAGTATATAACAATTATGATTTTGCTTATATCTAAAAAGATATTTGATATGATATTTGATATGCAAAATTTTATTTATAATATATGTAATAACATACATGTAATAACTGTAGCTTAAATAATTCGTCTTACATGATATTTAATGATAATTGTATATTTATTATTACAGCAAAAAGAATACAAAAATAATTTATTGAAAAGTAATTATATACTTGATTTAAGCAGTAATTTTGAAAAACAATGGATTAACATGAATGCAATAATGAAATCGTATCCTAGTGTCTCTAGTAATCATCCGTTAAGAAATCCAGTTGTAAATATATTACCGAAAATATTACCTGCAACTGTAAATCCAAAAATCTCAACTATTGATAAGACAAATAACTTTACTATGAAAAAAAATTCTAAACCAATTGATGATAATGGTGAAAAACAAATAATCGATAATAATATACAAACTGCGGGAACAGAAATAAGTAAATCTAATAAGAATTTGCATTCTGTAAAAACAGGTACTGTTGATTCAAAAGTGGTGCAGATGGATAAATTATCAAATGAACAAAAAAATAATACTAAATTAAATAATATATCAGTTGAAAACTCTAAAATATCCAAAGATACATCACAAAATATGTCAGGATTACCACAAATACGCAAAACTACACCTCGATTGGCAAAAACAAGAAGTGCACAAAATATGAAATTGATGGCACAAGTTTTAAGTTCAAAAAGTTTGGCTAATTGCAATACATTAAAATCTAAAGAAAAAGACACCACAGATAAAAATAATGACGAACATTGTACTGTGTCAAAAGTTGTGAGTTCTATTTTATTACATTAAAAAAAATGTTAACTTATCTTTACTTAAATTATTTTTACTTAATTTGATTTTTGCATAGGATAATGAGGAAGAGATAGCAGAATTAATGCTAGCTAGTACTACAATAATAAAAGATTCTATAAGTAGAAAAAAAGCTAAACAAACTAGAGAACTGGAAATTATTAAAAGATTATTAAAAGCTGAAAACCCATTGACCGAAGAGGATCGTGAAAAAAGTAAGCCTGTTAAATTATAATAATTTTATGAAAATAAAATTTTTGTATTTTTCTAATCTGTATTCATTTTTTTTAGAATTTGCAGCATCATATCTTCAAAAGTTACATTTAACATTGGAGTCTAATAATCCAGAAATATTTAAAAATGTGATAAAGCTGTATTTAGATTATAGTGAAAAATTAGAAAGTATTAACCAAACAGTGATTGACCCACCATTTCCTGAATTTGCAGCAAATAAAGAAATACAAGATAACACAATTAAAAAAGATATACTCACAATCAGATTATATCAAGATGTTTGTAAAAAATTGCAAAATTACCCAGAAATGTGTACAGATTTTCTGTTATTCTTAAAGCCGCATCAAGCCACGATGATTGGTAAATCCATAGAGTATATGATGTTACAAAAAATGAATGATTTCGTTCATATTGCGCAAATATATTTCGCTAAGCAACCATCACGAATAGCAAAAATGATGCAGGCGATCACACAACTTTCGTCTGATCCACATACGACTCTAGAAACTATTCATACCGTTATGAGTCCAGTCTTTAAAGGCCATCCACTCATTATGGATTTATTCTTGCAAGTTTTACCTACTGCAAAGCCTCCTGAAAGGTAATTATGACTTTCTCTATATGTATTTTATATACAAATAATCTCAAAGAACATAAATATTGCATGAGGATTGCAGGTATTATAAATTACACAAAATTTTAATAACAGATTTCATTAATAACGAAGAATTGATATTTTTTTGTGTCATAAAATCTGCGCAATATAGATATACAAATTCATTTAGATTAGAAAAATACAAATCGGCGCATTCATATATTTAAAAATATATCGTTTTATAATATATACAATATTTATTTATAAAAATAAATAAAAAAAATAATTTAACATTTTATATAATAATTAAACATTTTAAAACAAAATACCCCAATTAAAAATCTATTTAATTTATTTATATTACTATTATTCATAAGATATGAAACAAATATAACTATAATTGTGTATAAAACTTATTTTTAATATTTTTGGCAGCTTATTTGTACCTCATATGTTTGAAAACTTGACATGTCCATTAGGACCTTATGATAAAAATATTACTTATATCGAAAATGCACCAGAATTATATGAAAATATAGAATTACCCACAGCATCATACCAGGAAGATCCATATGGTGGGGAAAATTGTAAATGTGATTGTCATAACATAGATGATCCAAATCTTAAAAATAATTCAGAACATTGTGTTTCCTGTGGTACACGGGTATGTATGCCTTTAGATCTAATTGTATAATTTCTGTATTTTTTCATATCATTTTATGTTTCTTTTTTTATAAAGATTCAATTAACATTTTTTCCATGTTTCTTTTTATAGTTTCTTAATGGAAGAATTTATCTTCAAACACCTGAGGGATTGCGACCTGCAAAAATTACATTTCCTGGAGAGCATCAGGAAAAATTAGAAAATATTGCACGTGTATCTTTAAAAATTGCTGATAAAGTCGCTCCACCAATTTCATCTAAAAAACGACGGAAATCATCAAAGAATGATTCTAGTCCCGAAGAAATTTGTCAGAAGCAAAGTATTACAAAGTATTCACCATTAAAAGATAATGAAGACAATGAAAAAATAGTAGCAAAGTCTAAAAAGAGTGTCAAACTTGCAATTAAAGCAGAAAAGAAAAATTTGAAAAGAATAGGCACTGTAGACGACGCAATTGCGAATAAAAGAATACGGATATCTCACTGCAGGAATAAGCGAGAAAGAAAGACTGAAGAAATTGATATCTCAATAGAACATAATGAACTTGATATCATGGAGCATGAGAAAACGAATGTAGAAACCGAAACCAATAGTTATATGCAATCGTCAGTGCAAGATAATTCATCAAGTACTGAAATAATTACACAAACTGCTGCAAGCAGCAATGCTGATTGCGATTTAAGTAAGTTATATATAAACTTATATTAATAGCAAAATTTTATAGAAAAAGTAATAAAAATTTGAAGAATGTCAACTTTTTGTTCTCAGACTGTAAAACAGTAGATACAGAAACAGCAGTCGTTGAAAAAATTGAAAATAATATCCAATTAAATTCTGATTTAACAAATAATAAACCATGGACGCGTCAAGAAGATATGATTCTACTACAAAGTGTTAAGAAGGAATATTCTGAAAATTCATTTTTATTAATTAGTGAAAAATTAAAAAACCGTACTGTCGATCAGGTAAAATTTTTATCTCTAAAATTATCTATATAATTATATATTTTACATTCCCAATATATATATATGCAATAATTAAATTCTGTTGTAGGTGAAAGAAAGATGTCAAACTTTACTTTCCTTATTACAGAAAATAATGTAAATATGTACATATATTATATGTAAATTTGGCTTTGTATAATATTATATACTTAAATCATTATAATCATTATAATGACATCTTAGACAAAAGTAATATTATTAATAAATACCTGACTTTATGACATCAAGAATTTTATTGAAAAATTGATCTATAGATATATTTGTGTGATAGATATAATACCAAACAAAAAAAAACTCCTTGTTTTTCATATCCCACCTTTAGGAAGTGTCAATTATAACAATGAACTTTAATTTTGAATTTGTTCTCTAACTATACATGTCATAAGATTAAAGATTGCTCTAGCTACAATATATATTTTAAAGACACAAATTTTTATTTTCTTTCAACTATAGAGTTTAATACAAAAGTTAATGTAAAATATAATCTAATTTGAAATGTAATACAACATAATTTAACAATTTTTTTTTTTTTTTTTTTTACGTGGGGAAAATGCTCCTTATGCACACCCCGGCGGGACCTATTTAGCGGTCCCGTCAGGGTAGTGTTGGGCTCTCCCCGCCGCCATTTTAACGGCAGGGACTACCAACTAAAAACCCCACGCGCCTTTCCTTAGGCCCGATTGCACCAACTAAATTTATTTATTTAGAAAGAAAGAAAGATAAAAACAGACATATATTTAAGTCCCGCTTAAAGCTGAAATAACGTTGGTGCAATCGGGCCTTAGTCTTCCAACGTTCGAGCTCCCGGAACCGTGTTCATAAGGAGCATTATATGCGGTGGTCCTAACAAACTACTATCCTATTTCTTAAAAGGAATATTAAAAAAATTTTAATGATTTATTTCATTCTACTTCTTTAATTTATACAGTTTAATAATAAAATATAATTTCATTATAAAAATAATATATAATACATATAATTAAATTTCTATTCATATATATACAATATATACAATAATATATAACACATATAATTAAATTTCTATTCATATATATACAATATACAATATATATATACAAGTTTCTATTCATATATATACAATATTCACAGATATCTAAAAAAATATTTTTCTTAATATCTTCAATATTAAACTTTAATAATATAAGTTTTATTTAGATAAATTTATATAAATATAATTAATGAAATACAATTAACGAAATTACTCTTAAAATATATATAAATATAGAAATTTTATAAAAAATATTATTTAAATTAAAATTTTAAATACATAAATACATAAATATATATATAAATATATAAATTTTATATGAAAATTATTATTTAAACTAAAACCTTAAATATATACATAAATATATATATATATATATATATATATATATATAATACATAAATTTTTTATTTATTAAATATATATATATATATAAGTATATAAATATATAAATTTTATAAAAATTATTATTTAAATTAAAACCTTAAATATATAAATAAATAAATATATAAATTTTCTAAAAATTATTATTTAAAAATATTATTTAAATTAAAATTTTTTGTAAATTTTAATAATAAATCCTTTTCTATAATTTCTACTCATTATTTATCTATTTTAAATTATTCAATTCACATATTTAAAAATAACTTATAAATTTATAAATAATATGCTAAATTTATCCATATTGAACTAAAAAAATATCTTAATATATAAATTTGTATTTAAAATTTTTCACATATATAAAATTTCGTATTATATAAAAGTACATAAATTTCATATTACATAAATACATAAAATTTCACAAAAAATTCGTATTACTATATAAAAATTATTGAGTGTTAACAATTTAATTTTTATCCTAATTTTTTTTATATAAATAAAATACTTATAAAAAAAATACTCAAAAAGTATTGATCCCTTAAAAATTCTTAATATTAATAATATAATTATTGAAATATTTATTAATCTGTTATCCCTAATATTATTTAAACCTACATTTCCTGATTCCTTAAAAGATACATAATATAAAATCAGCTAAATTAATCACATAATAGCCCTAACAATCCTCTACTTTTTGAATGGAAAATTAAAAAATCTTAATGATCACCTAATAGCCCTAACAATCCTATTTCTCGATTAAGTGAAATTATTCGAGAAAAGCCTATCTCTAATCACGTATATTTTAATTATGTGCCCTAATTACATTCTCTAACCGCATGCCCTAACCGCGTGAATAAATGTCCGACATTACGTACTATTGTACGTAAAGCTTTTCTTCAGGCCAGTTGAACTTACTTTTCGTTGATCCTGGCCAATTTCTCGCTCGATCTCTAATCAGAGATCGAAAAAGGAGATAAACACTCCTTCTTTTGCCGATTAATTACCGGCAAATGAGCGTAAATATTTCACGCTCATCGTAACGATCGCTCGATTTTACGATCGTTTCTTAAATATTTGAATATAACTTTATTTTAACTCAAATAAAGCCAAATTACTACAAATTTCTATATACTACATTTTCTAATAAAATATAAAATTCATGTATGTGTATAACTTTTATGATATTACAAATTATTTAATTAATTAATCGTTTGGCTTTATTTTAAGTTAAAGTAAAATTTAAAAACAATATCTACAAACAAATTCTACAATGGATGAGCTATGATATAAGAAATTAGAATAAAATAAGTGCGCGTTGTAAGAATAAAGTAGTATCAAAAATTGATAAAATTGTTAAAATTATTAATGCGTGCTCTTGATTTAATAAACTAATCAAGTCTTTACAAAAAAAAATTTCTTTTCTTGATTCTCTTTTTTAAATTAATACTTCAATATATTTTCGTAATAGATGCAAAGCATTTCGAAAGAATTTATTAAAAGTTATTTAATTTAATCCTATCCTAGCTCATCCATTTTAAGGCAACGGACTTACTCTACAATTCACAATCTACAATCTACAATCTACAATCTACAATCTACAATCTATATCTACAATCTCTACGAATCCGTTACCTTAAAGTTAAAAAAAAGTTTTTCTCACTCACCGGCACTGATGCGCAACAGCGGAGTTGTTGTTATCGAAGCTAGTTGTCTGTAACATACAAATATAAAATTCATTTATATTAATGCTCACAAAATGCAATCAATATTTCAAAAAATTTTTATCGCGCGGAATTTTATATCCGATGTGTAAAATAATAAGCAGAGATAAACGCATGTGGAAAATTTTTATAAAATTTTAAAACTGTTTTTTAAGAAAGTTTTTTAAAAAGTTTTATATAACTTTTATAAAAATCTTTCTCTCTAATTTTCTCTTTAATTCATTTAAATAATAAGATCGAATTATTATGCGTACGATTTATAACAATTGATATACAAATAATAAATATTCACCATCAGGTTGCTCCGCCGATGCAAGATGCCTCTCCCAGGCCTCCTCCTCCTCTCATGTTGTTGACGCGCGATACTTTCAACGGCACTCCCGCACTCACGAGCGATATTTTTATATCGCTATTTTCGTTATTTTACGCGCGATACTAAACGGCACTCCCGCACTAATTCGGTACGATTAAAAATTTTCGCGCGATGTATATATTTAATATATATATACTTTGTCCGACACTCCCGGTTTCGGTACGACCGAAAATCCCATTTCATTTCGCGAGAATCAATTTCGAGCCAACAGGTCGGGAATGCAACGATACAACGAGCAAAGATTAGGCCCGAACCGGAAAGAAGACGAAACGATTGACGGAATAGAGGAAAATAAAGTTCACCAGCTCTTTTTCGCGCATAATTATCCTATCTCGTATCGAACCTGGACCCGCTAAGCACGATTTCAAGTGACCCGCACGGATGCTATATCACTAGCGCAGTACACAAGGCTGATAGACGGTAAAAGAAGAGGATACCCACATTTTTTAAAAGCTAACATTCAGCAATTTAGAAAATGGGGAGGCAACCCCTTTTACCGAGCGAAAATCGTGCCTAGGGGAATCCACTCGACTCCTCGACAGGGTTAACACACGCTAGGCGTATGGCTGTAGAGTAGACGAGCAAAGAGAAGGGACCCATTGACGACCATTTCGAACAATCGATCGAGTTCTAACCGATTCGGGCCAAATCAATTGACGAAGCAGAGCGTGTTCATCACTAAGCCGATCGAGCGCGAAGCATCGAACCCGCGCGCCCATGTACATTTTGTACTGGACATACGTTCTGCGCGGCCGGCATCACCAAGTGCCACGTTGCACAAGGCGCGAGTACGTCGCAAAGCAACGACTCGATGAAACATCCCAGTTAGTTGGCGTCGGAAGGAGAGACTCGTTGACAAAAACGAAATTGGGATTTTGAAAACGCGAAAACGCGATAACGCGAGAGTACTATAACGCGAAAACGCGGTTACGAAGCGCAGCCGTCCGCGGCACGTTGACGGCACCGACGACGCGAAAGGGTACTTCGCTTCCCTTTCAGACACCATAAGATTTATCGTAAATAGAAAAATTTAAAATAAATCTCAAGGCACCATCCAAGTACTAAGCCCTCCCACCACGACAAGGTGTACCCCATGGGAGGGTTATATTATATATAATTTTTTTTATATATAATATAATATAATATAATAATTGTAATTAATAAGCTCTCTATAAAAAATAATTAAATGGAGTGAGAGTAAAAGCTCTCAAATCCTTTACTCTCATTCCATTTAATAATATAATATATAATATGTAATATAATATATATATATAATTTGGAATTTATTTTGAAATATAATATATAAATTTAAATTTACATAATAAGATTTCGATTAAATTGTGTATTTAATTAACAAAAATTGAGAAAATTTAAAGCATTGGTTGAAATATATTTAATTCTAATATTATATTCTAATATTATAAAGAAATATTATAATAAGCATCGATCATCGAAATATCAAAACATAATCTCTTATACTCATTTATGCATAATCTGTTTCAATTTTTAATCGCAGTAATGAATGATTGCGATTCGATAAAGATTTATCGTTGCATTACTGTTTCATGTCGCTAATTAATTTTTAGTTAATTAATTTTTATTAAAATTTATAGTAAATTATGTTTCCATACT